TCAAAATGTTGAAAATATAATGTGTGTTATGATTCTTTGTCATACATCCAAGCCACTTCTTTACGAAAATCCCAACCATGCCCTTAAACTTGTGAGATATTGGTCTTATGAATGTTAACTTCCAAAAGTAAAAAAGTACTGTTCGTTTATTCAGAATTTCATATAGAATTTTAATGTGAAGAAGTGTGTTTGAATTGTTGTATTTCTCTGTGGCTGATTATACTGATCAACTCAAACTTTGAGGTGCAATTTAGAACTGTTCTGAGTTATACGCTCAAAATGTGTACAGCTTTACCTGTGACAGACCCATTAACATTCACTCTTTTTTCTTCCTGGTCTTTGTCTATTTATACATCAATGCCTAAGCAACCAAATAAACCATTCCTTGCAAGTTTTCCATCTTCCAGTTCATTTTATTTGAACCTCATCAACTAAAGCTTTAACTGTTACTACAATGACATGTTCATGACAAGCTCAATAATTTTTCAAAGAAAAAGTGCAGTGCATGGCAAGTCTTGGGTTACATGTAACATGTGCAAATGGGTTTTTAGGCATAAATTTTATGTTGTTTGGAAATCCTCCTCACAATTATAGCAGAAAAATCATATTAGCTAATGGTTTTTTTCATACAATCTATTAATCATTCAACCTTTTCATGATGATTTTAATAGCAAGTAATCCTTTGAATACAATTTTCTACAATAAAGTTGTTGTAGCATCAAAATAAGATAGCAGTATTTGCTTCAAGAAAATTCAGAAAGCTGCGACACATTGATAGGCATTTCTAGTATAAATTTTGTCTGGTGAGTAAGTAAAATAGGTTCTGCAAAGCTATAAAATACAAAGCACATCAGAGCAGCCTTGTACATGATGTGAACTCTTGTCAACAATTTAAAATGCAACCAATTAAACATTAACTGCTGTCTGTTAGACAACTGAATAATCTTTCACAGTAACTGCAATTCCAGATCTGCTTGTTTTTGTTGGCTTCAAGGGGTTTGATGATTTCTTTTCCTTGGCATTAATTGCAGCATATAAACAAATATACAATATCTATTCTAATATTCATTTGGTTTGAGTAATACCAACAAGGAATCATATGCACTTTCTGGAAACTAACAAACAGAACAGCGAGCATAGAAAGTAGGAAAATACTCAATTTGCCACTAGTGTTGTAGTGCTATCAAAATAACAATGTGCTCTTGCACATACTGTAATGTTGCTAAAACAATAGCAAAAGTAGAAATTGGCTAACTTTTGGCATTGCAAGGGGTGCAGCCCCTTTTTGTGACAATCCAGTTTGTTACTGTTGCCACTAATTGGGTTTTTTGCTGTTGCCATAGCCCATTAGGTTTACAAAATTCCCTTATTTTGCATAAAATAACACTTCAAAGTTTTTTCAACTTTAACAAAGTTTTTGTTGACAATGAGATATTTCCAGGGACGCTGGAGAGGGGGAGTTGCAGGGGGGGCGTCCTTGTTGCCTTTTAATAAGAGGAGGAAGAGAGTCCAAGTGCCCTTAGCACTGGCCATTTGTAATTTAAAAAGTTCATATGAAATTCTGACTGAACTGACTTTTTTATGACGACATTTTTCAAAACATTCAAAGAAATATCTTATGCCAAAAGCCAATTTTTAAGTTATCTACAAAAGATTGTAACAAATGACAATTACAAAAGAATTGTAGCTGGGAATTATTTTTCAAATGCCCTTTTTCTCAAGCCTGCCCCCCCCCCTCCCCCTTAGTCGTTCCGGCATCCCCGGATTGTTCCAGACTGAGCTGGTGTTAAATCGTGAGACAACAAATTTCTTTGATGCTAAAGTGGTTCTCTTCTTTTCAAAAACTGAATGACTAATAACAAATAGTAATCAATAACAAGTAGCAAAAGGTAATGTCGAAAATAGGCACCAATTGTATGGTCAGTGGTATGGTCTCTTGAACTCAATGGCAAGATATATGCATATTAATGATTGTGACAGCTTTTATTTAGAATTGTCGCAGAAACCTGGGCAAAATAATGGAATTCTGGCATCATAACGAGCATGGAGAAACAGCAGAACCAATTAAATAAAACAATCCAATGTACAGGAATTTAAAAGGTAAGCAGGAAGGAAAAACATAAGGAAAATGTTCCCTAGTGTCCACATTTTCGAGTCGAGGCTCATAGAATCTGAAATCGAGGTGGATTTCAAATGGCGCTTGATTTTGTTTTGGCGCAAAAGAAGATGTGTTAACGTCGACAAACCTTGTAATCTGCCAGGCAGAGTAAATTATGCTACATTCGTTGAAGAAAACTATATCAGGAGCAATAAGTAGTATAAAAGATAAAGTAAGCCCATCGCTGCCCGAAGAAAGAATACAAGGGAAGTATGATAAACCGAACCTAAAAAGGGTCCGCCAGAGCCAAAGGTATAAGTTCTGGTTTTTTAGCCTGGTTTTTCAATAACAAGCTATCTTATCATGTATGGAAATTTTCCTTATCAACAAGTATGACATTATTACTAGGCAGGGTCCAAATTAGCATATTGGTCAGAGTGCAACAAGAAAATTGAGCGACTAGAAAAATTGTCGTTCTTGTCATCAAGATTCGAAAATGAGTCGAGTCATCAATTCTTTTATCTAGCATCTAAGAAACAAAACCATGTTAGACGCTTCGCTTCATTTTTCTATCTTGACAATTCCTTGCTAGTCTTAGGAAGGCTTACGGTAATTCTGTGATTGACTGTTCTGTGTAGATCTACATATGATAATCATATTGTTAAATGCTCATAAATTTAATTAATGGCCTTTTCCATAATATGATTCCTTCTGATGTTGTGATCACATATGCACACGATCTCAGTGCAAATAAAAGATTGGTAGCCTGTCCCAAAATATGTTTTCTTTCTTTGATATTTTATTAAAGTGTTTGATACTAAAAGTTGAATATCAAAAATTAATGGCTTCCCTAAGCTTTTGATCAGTTCAGTAATCAGATGCAGCTAATAACTTAGAAAAGAATGAAATGCGCTATAATATTATATAGTCCTAGAAAGTTTGAAAAACTTACTGGGCCTCTGAAGACAGCATATTATTTGCCTTGGGTTGTTTCTGCAAGATTGAGATTCACATGCACAGATGGTATCACACACATGTCTGTTTATAACTCTTGTTTTTTCTAAGGTCTATGTCCTGAAAACTATACTTTTTAGACTTATGTTTTGTATTTCTTTCTTTCAGCCAATTTCTTTCTGAGTCAAATTTGGACCAAGACATTTTTGGGGTATTCCAAACCATCAAAGATTTGTTCTATTACCTTGTCTTCTGGATAAGTTCTTTTTGAGTTTCTTCAATGAAAATGAAGTCTATTGATGGTTTTGTTTGCATGAAAATAATATTGACAGACCATTTATTAAGTCTTATGATAAATATAAAAGCAAACTTATTATATGATTAGATCAAGCTTCATGCCTTTTATGAAATAAAATCATAATCTTTCTAGTAGGGCAGTCCAAACCTTCGGATATTCCTATTTGGTTATTCGGCTTAAAATTTAACGAATATGGGTGCTGCAAAATGGGTGTGACAGGGTGGTGGTAAAAAGCTGCAATCTGAAAATTTCTTGTAATTTAACCAATCTATGAATATAGCTAATCAGTCATTACTATTCAACAAGTCAAAACCATTAATTTTTTGTTTTCCTATTGATATTTCCTGTGTTTTACGTAACTTCAAAGGGTGTGCTGCAAAGCAGTTTTTAAAACGATTTTTTGTCAAAAATAAATGTTTACTCGAACCTTCTCTAGCAATTTGTCACCTCTAATGGCCAGAAGGTCAGTATCAAATTAACAACAAACCAAAGTCATAACTTTATGACAACTAGTTTCAAAAAAGGGTTGTTTCCAACATTTTGAAACAAAGTGAAAAGCTTTCTAGCACAGGCTTTGACACAGGTTGGGAAGTGGAGGGGGTGGCAAGAGAAAATTTAACACCCATAACAAAAGGTTTTGTGAAAAGTTATATTATTCTGCAAAATAGTGGTAGGGCCATAGCCCCCTGGCTTCCCCTTCGTCGGAGGCCCTGTAGCACAAAAATTTCCTGAGAAAAAGCCCCATGACCCCACCCACTACCAACACTCCACTTCCCTGCCCCCTTCCAATCTTGCTTTATTGGCTTTGTAACTTTTTCTTGGGTTTGCAATTTTTAAAGAAGGCCCATATCCATGAAACTCTCTCAAAGATTGAAGATAGGAAGTTGCCTTTCTCCTTTAGAACAATCCTTGATATTTGACTAGTCAATGCTATTTGGTTGGCAATTGCTATTCGATCAGCCACTGCTATTCGATCAGTCACGGTTATTCGAACAGTCACAGCTATTTGATCAGTCACGATTATTTGAATAGTCAATGCTATTCGATGAGTTGCGGCTAATTAAATATTGTGACCTCCAACAGTGAGGTTATACGCACTATTCATCTCCAACCGAATAATCATACTATTCAAACTATTTGTTTGTAACTGAATAATTGTATTTGGGCTTCAGCTAGCCGAATAGTGAAACAAGTAACCAAATACCGATTATTCGACCTGCGGTGGACAGGCCTACTTTCTAGGTATTTTTTCTTACTTAAAATTATAGAGATTGTTTACAATGGCTAAAGTTTCTGTCTTAAGAAATATGCTGTACTCCAAAGTTATGTAAGTTATTGATACTTGGCCATTTTTAGCCTTAAAGAAAGTTGTCATTTTGATTTTGATTTATGAATATAAAGCCTCTTTTTCCTCTGTTGTAGGTGCCAACTAAAAAGAGATTGAAAAAGAATAATGAAGGTATGTAATCTGTACTAATATTTACATCATATGTTTTTTTTAATGTTCTTTTACTGCTTATAGTTTTAATTTTCTGACTTTATTACATATTTCCCTAAACAGTTAGCATGAAAAGCACCCAAACTTTTAGCATGTTTTCTTTTTTGGTTAGGCTTTATCAATGATGTATTACCTAACTAAGCTGTTATGATGCTATTAGTAGAGAAATTTACGTAGAGTTTAAGTAAGTTGGTCAAAGTATTTTCAAATGGCCTCACAATTTGAGGAAAGTTCATTGTGAGCAGAACTTTTTGAAATAAATGGGGTCAAATATGAGATAGTATGAGGAAGTGGAAAGTATGAGATATATAAGATAGCAGAAAAAGATGGACATTTTTGTTGGTTTTGTTTGGTTAGAAAATGAAAATGTTCAGTGTTTTTGCAATCAACTACTTTTAAAAGCTCTAAAGTATTGTAGCATTGTAGCAAAAAAGTATTGAAGTTTTTATCAAAGAAAACACAGGTGACAGCAGTAATAGTATCTGAGGACCAGATAATAATAGTATCTAAGGACCCAACTACTTGCCATCAGAAGCATGGGCTGTTGCTTGGTCTGTGTTTCATGCTTGGTGTCATCATCAGATAACTGACTAAAAGCATGTGCAGCTCTGCCTAAACAATATTGAGCATCTTATGACAGACTGGTAAACAATAATTTCCAAATTGCCTAAGGACATCTTATCTATCAATTTTTCTTTTCTGTTGTACATAATAGCCCTGATTTGTTATTTTTATCATCATCATGGCAACTTTTGTGCTTGATCAACATTTCAAATGAAATTTTGAACATGGATAGCTGCTATAATTTAGAGATGTGTTTTATCATAACACTGATTCATCTAAGCTAGATTTTCTCAATTGCATTGTGTTTTTTTCTCGATCAGGCTTGAATAACTTTCTTGAAACAAACAAGGGTGGAGACAATAAATCAGATTCTACTCCAAAAAATTTACTCAGTTTTAAGGCAAGCCAGGCAGTCACCTCACTAGCAATGGCCTATACAAAGGACCCTCAAAATTTTAAAGTAAGAGACTTTCAATACTATTTATTTTATATTCTTAGAGTAATCACATATACTGTTTTTGCCAACATCAATATTCTGGATATCTCCAGTACCATCTAATTGTATAATCCCCCATGCATATTAATTTTTTGACCCCCCACATTTATTCCAATCTATTTTTATTAAAATTGAATTGATTGTGAATTTTAATTTTTAAATGATTCCTCCTGAAAAAATATACTTTCATAAACTTATTAACTCTAGCCTATAAACTTAGTCTTAAGATGTCCATGTAACAAAACCAGATTTCATGAGTACAATGTGTCAGTAACAAAACCACTATAGAAAGCAAGGGGGTGATAAATATCTGACAGTCCCCCTGATTAATTTCATCCCCTTTTCCGTTAATTTGGTACTCCAAATAAATAGGTCCATACCTTTTTCATTTGAATGTTGAGTTCTTTAACAGTAGCTGAATAGTTACAAGACATTGTGGTATTTTGATAAGCATTACATCATGCTAAAATATTTGAAAAACATTAAAAGTGGCCACATGTCACATAACACTTCAGTAGTTTTTGTCAAACATTCATCTAGCTATAATCAGTTAATTGCCAAAAAGTTAGAATTTTGTTCAACTGCAGATGAAAAGTAAATTGAGAGCAAGAAAAAAACAATTGGTTCCTTGTTTTTGACAAACTATTAATGATTGATGGTTAATAATTGCACATAAAATGGTCTATTGCATTTTCTGCTAGAATCCCTTAAAGTTGAAGAAGATAGAAGAAGCCAAGGTTAGGATCCCTTCTATAGCACTCCAAAGAAGAAAATGTAAGTATATGTTTAATACTGCATGTTAAGTATCTTTTTACCCCAAATGCTTTATAGCTGGTTGCAGCCACCCGCTAATTTCACAAAATCAGAGCAAGACTTTTTACAGTTGTTTTTTGAATCAATTGAATTAATCATAACCATAATATGTTAAAGCAATGTGTAAAAATATTGCACTCCTCCTGTCAATAGGAAGGCAGAGTAGTTGTGTTCTTTCGATGCTGAATATATTTAGCTTATACATATAGTGTAAATCATGTTTTGCAAGATTCACTGTAGGTTTTATTGTAATTCTGTTAATCTCTTAGCACTTCATGGAAGCATAAGTGAAGATGATTCAGAATTGCTATCTTGTGTCACTGGAAAAGAGACAATAAGCAGTTCATTGCAGTTAAGTAGTGATAGAGTTCTTAATGGAGCAAAAGGAAGTGGAAAAGTGTCTCTTCAAGAAGACACCGAAGGATCAATGTTTTCAATATGGAATAGACAGAAACGAAAACTATATGCAGCTGAGACTGTAAGTATTGCATTGGCTGTGCTTTCTTCATTGTAAAAAAACATATGACTCCCTTTACGTTTTACACTATTGGTCATACTACCAGCCTGTTTCAGTAAGCTAAAACTGTGTGAAACCACATAATGTCTTAATTTGATTTAATTTTAATTGAATACTGTTTGATTTTAATATTATGTTTATTTCACATCAAAATGAAGATAGATTTGTACTTCCAGTTGTAATGCACCCTTGAAATTTTAGAATTTCTTTAACAAATTGTTTAATTTTCTTTAACGTAACTGCCCATAGAAATTGGTTGTCAGTGTTTTTAGAATGAAATTAAGCTCCCATTCCCATGAAGAAGTGTAAATCAAATATGAGTCAATAGCCCCAAACAGTATTTAGAAGTGTACATACATTTGTCCATTGTTTACTCTCATGTAAATCTTTATTGAATTTTGTAATAAAAAGCTGTGTCAACGATTAGAATAACCAATTTAAATGTTGTAGTGTCTGGATAGTTAACATGTGAATACAATGAATTATATATTATTGCTATTACTTACTTTTCAAAGGCAGTAGGTCACTTTTATAAAAATATCCTTGCTTCTTTTGGGTGTTCAAGGATGAGACATAGTTTGATACAATCTTGTAATTAGATAAAAACTTTACTCCTAAGAAAATTTTATTAGCAATTTCCAAAAATGGCTCGGTCAGAACAATGGGTACAGAATTAATGTCTAAATGCGCACATGTTGTTAAAAAGTAAACCTCCTGAGAATGCATATACATAAATCCGCAGTATACATTTTGGTACAAAGTGGTGATGGCACAAATTTTAACAAAGCACAGTCTGGCACTGTCTATTCCTACTAGTTTCGAAATCGTTTTTATGCATAAGGAAATACTGGCAACCAAAGCTTTTCAGCTTACACCGAGAGTACCAGGTTTCCTAATTTCAGTTTAAGTAGGCAAGAAGCTAATATGTATCGTTTAATAACACCTACTGGAACCTATTTCATCTGCTGCTACGCATCTGTCTGTTGTAGGTTATTCGACTAGAAGAGCGTGATCGATACAAAAAGCTTCTTGAAGAGTACACAAATGCGTCATCGGCTTTTTCATCAAATTCTGTTCCTGAATCAAGACTTAACAAGGAAATGCACGAAAGATCTCAGCACTTATTTGAAGATGACAGTTATCCAAGGTATTTTAATTTTAACTTGATTCGTTTTCAGTGTTTACCTTCTAAAATGTTTAATAGTAATAAAATGTTTTACATAACCTTCTTTAGTATCAGCTTACTTACTTGTTAAAGAGATTAAAGAACAACTCTAAAGAAGAAGGTTAAAGAAGAATCTGTGAACCTATTTGTAGTTTGATATCTTGCTCTTAAATAATAGATATATACTAATTAGTTCTATTTGTATATCTTAATTTCTTTTATTATTAAAATCTAAGATAATTTCCAATGCCATTTTTAACAAAGCCTTTATTCTTGTTGTTATTCAAGGTTGCGAAACGCTGGCGCAATTCTTGACAAATTCAGCAAGGCATTTGAAGTGAATTCGTCTACAAATTCTCTACTATCATCCACTGCTATTGCTTCAGAAGCCGATTTACTCAGAAGTGCGAACTGTATGAGAAAAATTTAACTTATTTATCTTGAAATTTAGGATTTATAATACTGCTAGGATAGATACTTCTATGTTACATTCTGTAAATATTTGTGATCCATTACATTTTTCACGGTTACATAGCTAATTTAAGAGACAATAAGATGGTAAGATTTTATTCTGTTGCATTAGCTAACTTGCTTTATTGCTTTTTTTAGCCAAGGCAAGAAGTTTTAATGGCACGGACACAACTAATATCAATAGGTATATATTATTCTGTCATTTTTTCTCTTGATATATTGATATAAACATTGTTATTTTTAGTCCCTATTATAGAGCAAACTTCAAATTTATAAACTTATTAGGTTGGTTGTTCGTTTTTCTGTTATTTGAGATTGAATAATTGAGAAATAAGTCTTAGGTTAATATTTTTTGTGTTGTATTGATCGGGGTGCAGGTTCTTGATATAGACAAAAAAGGATTCTACGAATAGTCCCTCCCTACTATTTGCTAATGTTATTTGGCGAAACGCAATGGCTACACTAGTAGCAATACATCCTTGGGTTGAGTAACATATGTAACGTCACATGGGCGACTCATTAAAAAGCAGAGAGCATATGTTTTTCCTTATTCCTTTCCCAACTTCGTTCTTTTGATGCAAGGAACAAAAAGAACAGTTACTTTCTTTAATAGAGCATTAATCCCTTTTCTTAACTTCTGAGTTTGGATGTAGGGAGTCATTTAAATTTCCTTCGCACAATCGCCGGTTCCCTGGATCTGGGTACGCTATTTGTGGCAATACATAGGCAATAAATTTTGCAGTATACATCAATAACGCAGTTCATAGTTACCGGGTTTGTTACTTATGACGTAGGTCTCCCGAGAGTCCACTACATGAAGACGCAAACCCATTAGGGAATATTTGGACGGCAAGATGGTACGTATACATCTTCTTTTATTCATGCATACTTTGTTTCTATATCTTGTATTTCGGTCACGCAAAATAACGATTGTCATGGCTCAACACATACATCAAGTTGAAGACTTTGTTGTACTAGTTTGCCAAAAATTTGTCAAGTAATTATGTTTATCATCATCATTATGAAATGTGTAAAGATATGATCGCAAATTAAGATTTCGTTGTACTTCGGATTTTTAGGCACAGCCATGTTTTCCTCTCCATTGCATAATTTTCAATTTATTGTATGTCTGCTGTAGCAATTTGTCATTTCACTTTATTTCGATCATCTCTACCTAGCGGCAATCACATATCTCATAAGATATTTTTTATTAGGAGAAAGATTTTAGACGAAAAAGAAGTAGATCGACGAAAAAGAATTCAACACGAGGAATCCAAACTGAGAAGTTTAGAGAGAAAGGTTTTTTGAGATTTTGAAGTTGCTCGACCTTTATATTAGCTTTTCATGAACTGTTAAGTAACCTTGATTGTTATTCTTGATGATAGTGAACGAATAAGCGTTCTAATATCCACATTTCTATCTCCTTTTTTGTATCCAGAGTATTTAATAGGGTAAAAATGTTACATGTCGATAGATTGTCGAAATAACAATGTAATATTTGACTTTTCAGCGGAAAGAAAGAGAATCAGAGCTGCTACGAAAGGTAAACACATCACATTTGATATAAGTGATTAATACTAACACTAACAAGCAGCATTACTCTATGTAATATCGATACATTATTGATGATATGTTCATGGTGTTTGCTTCTTGCCATTAAATGTTTTTTTATTCATCATTTGTAGATCGAAGATCGAAAGAACCTTGACAAGAAAAAAGTAAATTTTTCCTTCAATGTCTTTTTTTTAAGTGTAGTATATTCTTGCTTTATAATTGTGTTGTGAGTTCATATCCAGTATTTAAGTCAAAATTTGTAGATTTGTTTGCTTTTAAGCAAAACTATTTTACGCGTTCTTAAAATATTACTTCTGGCGAAGGAGTGTCAATTTCATGTTTATCATGTTGTTGTGTATATCAACTGGCAGCTTTATTCTAGTTCTTGACTTTCTAGCATTAGGAAAATTTTTGTTTACAATTCAGATTTTTGAGATTTCAAGAAACAACAAGTGCTATTATAATTTTATATCGCCTTGTTGATTAACAAATAAGCTACAATCACTGCCAAAATTACTTGGAACACCCGACACGTTGTGCTGTGCTTTTCTATTTCTCAATTGTTTTCCCGAGTACTACTACTTCCGTCCCCTTTTTCCCCAAACAATGTAAAAAATATAGAAAAATGTCAAGCAGACGAAAAAGTGTCTAACCCCTTTATTTTTTCTATAGTGAATCAACATTGTTTAAATTGCCTTTGAACTGACGTTAGTGTTCCAATTCAGTGATTGTAGTGATTTAAAAACACCGGAATAGGTGAATGCCGTGATGAGGACGATTCGTATAGTTCTTTCGAATCTTTGACCTAATATCTTCAAATTACTCCATGCATTAAAGCAATATACCTGTATATTTATAAGGTTGAACCAAAGTTGCCGCCTTTGACGGATGAAATGTGCAAATTGGTGAGTAGAACGTCTACTGATCGACTCCTAGCTATGTTTGATTTCATTTGCCATGTCTTAGCATTGTTTGATTAATATTGTAGCATCGTTGTCTTGCAAGGGCTGCTTTAGTTTCAACACACTATTTTATTTCGTGATAATATTGATCTCACATGCAAGATATGTGAAAATAGCTGTTAATCACAGGCTTGAAATAATGACGACATTGCGAAACCTTGTTTTTACAGCCTTCTGTTGTTTTGCTTTTTGCACTACATCATTTTCACACGTAGGTATCTTATTGATAAAAATTTTTAGATATCATATGCCTGGTGCGCGGGAAACCCGCAGGAATGTTTAGTTGATGCATTCAATGTATCAATAACGAGACACGACATGGCAACACTTGCTCAGCTGAACTGGCTGAATGATGAGGTGATTTTTTCATTTCATCCTATGATGCTATTCAATGTCATTTGATTCTATATTATGTCATGCTATTTAGTATAATATAATATAATATAATATAATATAATATAATATAATATAATATAATATATATAAATATATAATATTAATATAATATAATAATATATATATATAATATAATATAATATAATTATAATAATATAATAGTATATATAATATAGTATATAATATAATATAAATAACATTATATAAATATGATAATATAAATATAATATATAATATGTAATATAATATAATATAATATAGTATAATTAATATAATGTATTATAATATAATATATATAATATAATATGTATAATATAATATATATATAATAATAAATATATAATATAATATAATATAATATAATATAATATAATATAATATAATATAATATAATATAATATAATATGTAATATAATATGTAATATAATATGTAATATAATATGTAATATAATATGTAATATTATGCTATATAATGTAATTTGTTTTTTCCATTCATTTCTCTTTTATCCAAATGTAGTTTACTATATAGTATTATGAAGTAATTGCATGATATCTTGTCACATTTCATGAGCAAACTACTATGTTATACCCAGGGGTGTAGAACTAGGGGGCTCAGAGGGGCTGAGAGGGGCTGAGCCCCCCTTGTTAATGCCTAAAATTGGCAATTTACAATTTTTGCTATTGTTTTTTAAAAAATTTTGTGCAAGAGCCCCCCTTGTTACTTTGATAGCACTACACCACTGGTTATACCTTGCTATGGAAAATGTTATATCCAATTTTTCTTTAACCTTCTTTCCAAGTTATAATTTCTTTACAGTTTAAATTTACTGTAGCTGTGATTCCTTACAGATCGTTAACTTTTACTTCAATTTATTGAAAGAAAGAAGCAAGCAGCCGGTAAGACAAATTCGATTTTCCTTGAAATAAGGCTGAATTGTGTTTGTATGCATAGAGTGAAGTTTTCATTGTCAATTATTCTTGATTCATTGTTTATAGCCCAGGAAAATTGAAAATCAGCAAATGTATTTATAAGCTAGAAAGAACGCAGAAAATTTCTATTGTATCAAGTTTCGTTTAAAAACTAGTGCTTTGTTCCTTTAACCTTTTGATATACCAGCAGCCCTGGGACTTACGGGGGTGGGGGAGGGGGGAGGAGCAATGTCCTTTTTGTTGCCGTGGTGTTTTCATAATCTCCAACTGAGGGCAACGATAGAGCGTTTTCAGCACGTTTGATGTTCTTATTGGCTTTATGCGTCACTTTTCTTGATTTCGATCAACCATGCAGATATCTTCGTATTTTTCAAATTTTGTGCGATCAAAACATAGTAACAAAGTAGCGTCATTTTTCATTGTTTCCATCATTAATGCATCGTTTTCACGATGACAGCGAAACAACGTTGGGTCATTTCCGCAAATTGTCAATCACCGCAATGATAACTCGTTGCCATTAAGGCTGAATCTTTCCAGGCCTGAAGGAATGTAAGATCAAAAGAATAAATTTGATAAACTGAGACCATAATTAAATTTAAAGTGGGACAATATTCTTATTATAAAAGATATTGATTTACAAACTATCTCGAGGAAGTCCTGTCACACAGCTTTTATTTCTTTTGATTCCGTTAAATTTCATCACAAAATAAAGTTGGTCATGTATTCTTTATTGTTGCTGTTTTAGGGACAGTTAAAGATGCATTTCTTCAATTCCTTTTTTTATCCAAAATTATTGAAGACTGGTTACGCTGGAGTTCGAAGATGGACTAAAAAGGTGAAAGATAAATACCACTGTTACATGAAGATTGGAAATCTTACCCCATTATTTAAACTATGTACTTTGAAATATTTTTGGAATCTATTTAAAATATCTTTCATAAGAATTGTAAAATATCTATTGGGTTGGCCTAATCCTCAGTCTGGTAAGCTGTTGAATCTGTCAAACCCTTCTTTGCAAAAAATATATCGTATATATCAGACCAAAGCTGGTGGAGTTACTGAACCTTACCTATATCATGAAAGTTCGCCACAGTTTTGCAAATGTTTAATAATTTATGCTTTTACTTTGTCCTAGTTTTTTGTGTTATTTCACTAATGATTATTTTCCCCGTTTATAGGTTGACATTTTTTCAGTTGACATGGTTGTGTTGCCAGTTCATCTGGGTATGCACTGGTGTCTGGCCGTGAGTATTCAGCTTCCTCAGGGTTGATATTGACAACTGGCTTAGAAGTCACGATTGCTCTTTATTAAATCTTCTGAACTATTATGTGGCTTCTTTTCAGTATGCAAAGGATGCGTCAGTTTTTAATAAACAAATCTTGCCACCTGTTTGTTTACATTAATTTAAGTTCATAGATTTTTCATTGAAGTTCATAGATGGCTTATGCATTGCAGGGAGCTTTGCTTGTACTTTTGAACGCTTTGAAAGTAATTGCAATTTGCGGTACAAGTGAGCGTTTATAGAATTTGCAATAAAAGTAAGATTTAATCTTTTTGGTTCTTTTGAACCTATAGTTCAAAAGTAAGATATCTTACGTTCAACGAAATGTTTTCCTACCTAGGCGATCGATATGCGAAAGAAGCAAATAGCGTATTACGATTCGCTGAAGGGAAACAATGCACAATGCATTAGTGCCTTAAGGTATTTTTGTATCCCCATGCCTATTTACTGTTTTGAAAAGTGTTGTAATCTAATGGCCATAAAAACATGATTTTAGGAAGACATTTTTGACAGTGTTCGACTGAATATTTGTTCGACTGCTCATTTTGGAGACAGGTTTTTTCAACTCCAGCCTTCTTTCCTTGAGTTTTGTTATTTGTTTTTACTTCGCTTATTTGAAGTCGTACAAAGGTGGCTTGGGAGATTTTCACATACCTGCTTTCCGAGCTTTACGTCAGCAGAGAAACTTTTGTATCTAGGCTGTCACAGGCATATCACAGCGTCTCTAATTTCTTCTGAGTTGTATTCTTTTTTAAACTTCGCACTGTAAACTATGAATTTCATCTCTGACCACATTTAATTTAGATGCTGATCACATTTCGTTTTGGCGCTAATAAATGCTTGTTGCAAGAAATATTATTCTAACTGCGCAACCTGGTGATTAATTTTCGTTTCGGGTGTAGAAGCAATGAAACTTCTTCTGCTTTCGGCAACAGCCCTTTCAGGCCACTATTTATTTTGTTTGACTTTGATTGAAAAGCGTGCTTTTAAGTAGCAGTTCTGATTTTTTTCTTTGCTAATTATATTTGCTTGTAATAGGACATCGTTAGCTGTGACACATAAATAGTCATAATTTATTGCAATATAATGCGCTTTACAGTATACATGTTTGCAATTTTCGTGGTATTTTTAAATCTTGCGGTATCAGAGCTGTTTTAGTATACAGCACTCCAACCTGTCATTCTCAATCCTTGCTCTTTCTATTTCATTTAAATTTTCACCATTTTCAGTGTAATAGCCACGCAAGAGAATTTCTGTGGTTCAGCATCATCCGTGCATTTTGCGCTATATATATCATAGTTTTGAACGGATTTCAAGTTGATCACACTGTTTATGATTCATGTTGCACTGCTCACCTATTTGACAAATAAGCCAATTTTTCAACGTCAGTTGTACGCTGAATTCCTTTTGCAGGAAATATATCTCTGAAGAGCATAAAGACAAAAAGAAATCTCCGCTTAATATCGACGAATGGACGGAGTGTTCGCCTAAGGTTTGCCAAATTACTCATTTCTTCAACTGTATTTAAAGAAATCATCATATTGAATTACTTTGATACATGAAATAACTTTTTTCCCAAATTTTAACCGTTGCTTGTTCTTTTGAATATGTATAATGGAACGCCAGGATGAAAGCTTTATACATTTGGTTTTTGCTTGAAGGTGAAATTGACCAAATTGATATGTAAAAACTTGATTTGTCAAAAAGTTTGTTTTATTATAAGCCAATATGTTCATATAGTAAATAAAGTCTTACACGCTTCATCCCTACGGTTCACTTTACTGTTTATTGGATTTTTCCCGATACATAACCACTTTCCTCAAGTTTTATTTTGGAATATTTTTAATATCTTTTGCTTGCATACGTTCATTTGGATATTTAAGTTCATCGCGAACCGTATGATGATTTTTAAGTATGTTTTGACTTTTTGAAAACTGATATATTTTAACAAGTTTTGAACACTTTCTTTAATGAATCCTTAGTTTTTGTTTCTCGTCAACATCATTAGCTTTTCCAGACACACATTCTTTGTATTGAGCTAAGAACACTGATTATGAAATTCTTCCTTGAAAGTAGAATTAATTAATTTTTGTTTGGAGCCTTTTCAAATTGCCCTGCAGGACATTCCAGAACAACTAAACGGGTGCGATTGTGGTGTTTTCACCTGCAAGGTACGGAATTTTTGGAATTGATCTTATCATGTAGATACCATCTATATTGAAGTAAATGCTTTGATTTTTTTCCAGCTATGTGCTAATCTTTCGATTCTTCTTCGTAAAATGCTTAGCTCGGGTCAATAGCTTACTATATAGCTGGTCTCTACAAACTTCTGGACTTTCCACAGTCGATTAGCCTGCAGCTGGTGCTGTTTCATGTTCTTTAGTTATCTACTTGAGTTATCAGGGCTATCTCGATGATCCTGCTCTATGAAAGGTTCTACCTATACCAGCAATACAACTTTACAGGCAGAATCGTTCTTGAAGACAATGCGAGTTGTTGCCGTTTCCAGCAAAAGTTTCTTAAATGTATGCAAGAGATAGACTTTGCTCGTTAAAGTGTTCGATCAAAAATTGCAATATGCATGCTGTTTAATTTCTGCTGATTTTCTAAAACTTTATCAATACGACTTTGATTATGGCGATATTTAATGTTACTTTTTTCATGATGACGGAGATACAACTAATTGCTTTTTTACTCAGTTTGCAGAATGTCTTACAAAAGACTCACCAATGAATTTCAGTCAGGCAAGTATAGCTATTCACTCCCGATTGACTGTTTTTGCAGACGACATCGTTAAATTGTAGTTGCTTCCTGCTGTTGTTTTGTCATCACCCCCTATCTATTGCATTCAATATCTATTCAAGCCATACCACCTGGTTTGTCCTTTGATAACCTCGATCGCTTATTCATTAGAAGCATCCAGTGCTTATTTAGCCTTTATTCTAACAATTTCGTGGGCGGAAGCTGACATTTCAAATCTTAGGCCGTTGATGAAAATTAGTTTCATCGAATAAGTTGTCCTTTTGACAGAATTATAATTCTGAGTTGATAGAATGATATTGAGCGGGTTTATTTTCAGAGTTCTTTAGAGTTATCTACACATTATTTATAGCGATAACACATTTTGATGCCATGAGAAATGCCTGATCTTGTTACAAAGAGCAATGCTTAGAGATTGAATATGTACAATGCTTGCCAAAAGTCTTACTACACTACGCTAAAATTTCGCATAAGTTCAATAGCTTCCCCATCTCTCCCTTAAAAAAATGTTAAACAAAAACAGTATCAACGCTGAAAATTCATCCAGTGTATCTCTATTAGCTAGTTTAAGTAATAGGCTTTTCAAACAACATTGTGTTGTGAAGGAGGGGAAATATTTCTGTATCTTATGACCGGAAAAGTATATTTTATCAAAATCTTCCATTGACCGCTGGATGTTCTAAAGGTTGTATGTATATGTATGTAATGCGTGATCTTGTTACGAGAAGCAATGCTTAGAGGTTGAATGCAGATTTATTTGATCAACTGAGAAAATCAATGTTTTTCAGATCTGTTTTGCGTTTTCGCCACTGATCAGTTTGATGAGAATTTATTGCAAAATATTTTATAAAAATAGTGTTTTGTCTTGTTTCTTCAGTTTATTTTGTTTTCTTTTAGGGGTTATTGTGTAATGTAATCAAAAGGCTGTTTGCAATATAATTGCATTGTCGTCGCTGTTACTATGAAATGTTTATGCGGATAACATGTCTTTGTCTTACAGACAGATATGCCGTACTTTCGGAAAAGAATGGTCTACGAAATCATGACGAAAAAATTGCTTTAGAACCATAAGGACGGAGGGAGCATTTGTGTCAGTGACGACCCCTGGTATAAGAAGTTCGAGGTACTTGAAACTGGGATTGGTTTTAATTCCATTATAAAAGACGTTTCACGAAGAAAAACCAGTTCAAGAATAAATGATACAGAAGGAAAAGGAAACAACAACAATTTTTATGCATAAAAACACATAATGAAATTAGCAGCCTAACGAGGCTATTTTAGCAGCCTAATGAAATTATTGACTATGAGCTAGAAGATTTATTTGAGAAATAAATGTCCATGAATTGTTTAATCCTCGAATTGTTCTGCTTCAATGGTTTAATAGTAAACCCTTTACAGTAATATGAGTTAGTTAGTGCAATGTCAACACGCCCGCTCTATATTAACAATTCCATTCTTATTTTCTCTATATATTTATTATTAATTATAAAACCCTAAACAAGCCGCCTGTGAAGTATATTTGATCATATTTGATTTTGAAAAAGTCATTTTAATCTCAGAGAACTCCGCAGCAAAATATAGGTCGTCTCATTTATGGTTCCAATGTTTAATTTCATTTTTTTTACTTTAAATTATTTCTACACGAAAATCCCTTCAGCTAGTTCTAATAATACAAAAAATAAACTGCTAATAATTGGGATGAAATTTATATTAATTGATAGTTTACTTACAGCTTATCAATAAAATATAAAGCATCAAAACCTAGGTCGCTGCTGATCTTCCAGGGGGTCGTGTTTTAGTTGGTTTTCAGCTCATCAAATGTGTTTTTCAATGTTTTTTTAATTGGTATATGGTAGAAAGCTCCCTGATAGTTATTGGAATTTCTTTCCAAACCTTAAGGGCTGAAAAGGAAAATCCTTTTTGGCATAGCCCAGATTATACTTCAGGAGATGAGGATCTCTGCAGAATTGCGTGTTATTCCGTATTATAGCAAAGAGTATTTGGATCTTTTATCAAATTTGTTCCAGAGATTTCCTGGGTTGTATCTGTGCATGATCTTAAAGGCCATATACGCAAGATCAAATGTAATAAGTTGCTCGGTATTAAGAAAATATTTTAACCATTCGTCTTTTGTCGTCTTTTATGATTAAAGAATATACAACTAAATTGATTAGACTTGTGTCAGCCAAGGTTCGCGTGGGTATGAAAGTGAGTTATTGCATTTTTGACATGTGCTGGGCATGCGCAGATCGGTTGTCCTTCTGTTGATAAATGTACGCAGTACAGTAGGTAGGGTATTATCAAAGGGTTTCTATTGATTAAGAACAATAGGAACAAAAGGTATTGTTCATTGGAAGACAATAACTTTTACAGCTTTTGGAGTGCGCGCATCCCCTAAGAACAATAGTAGTTATGGCTCTGTAGCAGGACAAGCAGTGAAATAGAAAATTTAAAAGCTGTAGCGAAAACCAAAAAAATAGGAGGGGAAAGAAGAAAAATCACAAACTCTGAGATCCCAAGAAGTAATATTGAATGTACAGAACTGTGTAAACAATAAGGAAACCCATTCATGTAGATATTGGAGACTGAGAAATTCCGTCAGCCGAGCAACCTACCAAGAATGAAAAATGGTTAAAGAAAGTAATGAACAAGCAAGGAAGGTACCATTAAACTAAAACCAGCAATGAAACAGGCAGCTGGGATTGTTGCAATTGACAGAAAAAGAATAGTTAAACGCTGTAGAGAGTGTCTTCAAAAAGTCAAGAATGTTTTCAACGAATTAAAGATCGAGATTCCCGATACAGTTGTTGATCGCGCGCACAGGATTGGCAAGGTCATAAAGGTCAACGGCGTACACGTTCGGCAGATGATAGTGCGTTTTACCACATGGCCGCACAGAACCATGGTGTATAATGCCCGGAAAAACAGTGGTAAATATAAAATAAAACTCGATCTCACAAAGCATCGAGTAGATTTGTTAAAGAAGGCAAATGAGCTGTTGAAATCGGATCAACACTCGTTTGCTTTCTGTAACATAAACTGCCAGCCCTGTTGGTATAATAATGGAAAATACCACTTCTTCAATGATTTACATGAACTCGAGAGGCTGTTTAATAATCGTTAATTATTAGTAATGTTTTGAGTTTGTTTCTTTTTTATTTTTAAAATAAACATGTTCCTTTCAAATAATTTTTGTATTCAAATAATTCATACGCTATACAATACTTTCTCAAGTTTTGTTAAGAAGCATTTGTATCTGCTTTTTCATACACGAAACAATAGTTTCTCGCTTTTGATAAAAACCCTTTGTAACTGCTATTCATACGCTAAACAATAATTTCTCAAGTTTTGTCGAGCACCATTTGTATTTGCTAGTAATGCACAATAAATACTCACATGTTGACAACAGCCTTTGGCTCAACACAGCCTACAGCTACAGAACTTAATAGAACCAAACAAATTATTTGATGTCAAATTAAAATTGCCGCTTGGTACAAGCAGGCTAGTTTTTTGGCATCCTTGTGTAACTACCAGTCAGCTATATGCATCTGCAGTAATTAATTAATCACCACAAGTTTTTATAGTTATTTTCTATTGTCATTAATCAGCTGAGTTTTTTATTTAATCTATATTTCAGTTTAGTTTACAGTATCGTCTAAGGAATAATGACATATTCGCATAACCTGGGACTGCCCTCAGATATCGATGGACTTCCAACCTTCGAATCAACTTCAAATCTAACAGAAATGCCAAATCTAAGTGATTTTGATGTTGATGAGCAAATGCCTCAAACAATCGAGTCCCGCTATTTTACTATTCATGAACTTGCCTCTCTTAACTCTAATTATCAGGACCTCTCTATTCTCCATACAAATATTAGGAGCCTTTCTCTTCATCACGACGAATTAGTCTCTCTTACTGATTTTTCAAAAAAGTCCTTTGATGTTATTAGAGTATCTGAGATGTGGCACTCGGTACAAAACCCAATAGTGGCCAATATAGATATTGAAGGATATAAATTTTACGATACTAAATCATTGAGTCAGAATGGGGGTGTCGGACTATATGTTAAGACATCTCTAATCTCTACCCCTTGTAATGAATTGAGCTTCAAATGTATGGGTTGGTATTGGGATTTGAAACTATATGGGTTGAAATAGAAGTAAAAGACAAAAAAACCTCTTCTTCTGTTGCGCTTATAGACATCCCGATTCCGATATTGATATTTTTACTGCTCATTTCAAATCTCTTCTTCCCAAACTGATTAACAAACGGATTTTCATAATGGGTGACTTTAACATAAATCTTTTGAATTATGATTCCAACATACCTACCAATGACTTTACTAACACCTTATTCACCAACAACTTCTTACCATGTATACATCACCCTACTAGAGTCTCGGACCACTTTGCAACAATTATTGATAATATATTCACAAACTTAGAAAATTCTAACATTACCTGTGGGAACACTTTAACTCAAATATCTGACCACCTCCTTCAGTTTCTTTTTTTAAAAAACGTTAAGCTATCGTGCACTAAACCAAAGATACTGAAATACGATTATTCAAGATTTGATGAAAGAAAATTTGTTGAAGAATTGATCTTTGGAATAAATTGATCTGACATATTCAAATTGCTCGTCTGATGCTGAAACTAACTGTAACAAATTTCTTGAAGATGTTACCTTTTTGGTTAAAAAACATGTGCCAATTAAAAAGTGCACGAAACGAGAAATAAAACTTAGAACCAAACCATGGATCAATAGCAAAATCCAAAAAATGATGCGAATTCGAGATCGCATTTTAAGGAAGACTAAGAAAGGTAGATCAAAGACTAATCATGATCTCTACAAAAAATTTAGAAACTGTATGGCTAATGATTTGAAGAAATCGTGAGTCAATTATTTTCAAAACTACTTTTCTATAAACAGTCAAAATATGAAAAAGCTGTGGTCAGGAATTAAATCAATTATTTCCAATAAAGCCTTTACTGCTTCTAGCATAAATAAAATCAAAGACGAAAACGGAAATACAACGTCTGACCCAGTTAAAGTGTCTAATATTCTAAATAACTTTTTTGTAAAAATTGCAGACAATATTACCAGAAACATGCCAAGAACACCAAAATCGCCTCTAGACTATATTACTAATACAAATCAAAATTCAATATTTCTTTCTCCTGTGACCTACATAGAAGTAGAGGAAATAATTATAAACCTTGACCCGTCAAAATCTGTAGGACCACACAGTATTCCAATTGACTTATTGAAAATTCTAGGCCCTCACATCTCTGAAGGCCTAGCCAAACTGGTCAAACAAACTTTTCTTGAAGGCATCTTTCCTTCTAAACTCAAGCTCGCTAAAGTGATCTCCCTTTACAAAAAAGATGATCCTGAAATAGCCTCTAATTACAAACCTATCTCTCTATTACCTCTATTCAGTAAGTTGTATGAGCGATTAATGTACAGAAGTCTTTACTCCTTTCTCATCTACCACAAAATAATATATCCCTTGCAATTTGGATTTCAGGAAAATCATTCAGTTGAACATACGTTTATTAGTATGACTGAAGTCGTGAGGTCAACTCTTGACAATAAAAAGTATGGCTGTAGTATATTTCTCGATTTACAAAAAGCCTTCGATACTGTTAATCACAATATTTTGCTCTCTAAACTTGAATGCTATGGTATCAGAGGAAATGCCCTTAGATGTTTTAATTCATATCTATCAGATAGAACCCAATATGTTTCAAATAATGGAACCAACTCTGATTGTATGAATGTTACTTGTGGTGTACCTCGGGGATCTGTACTTGGACCTCTTCTCTTTCTAATTTTCATTAATGCCTTGCCTAATGTCTCAAGAAAATTGAGATTTTATCTCTTTGCCGATGACACCAACATTTACTATGATACGGAAACTCTTGATAAACTTGTTAAAACTGTTAATTATGAGCTTAAATAAGTTATCCTTGAACATAGACAAAACTAATTATGTTATCTTCCATTCTTCCTCATCGTCAATACCTCCAGACACTGTAATTAAAATAGGAAAAAACACATCACCAGAGTCAAATATTTTAAGTTTCTAGGTCCTTTGCTTGATGAAAACCTAAGCTGGAAGTATCATCTTGGTGAACTTTCCAAAAAAAATTGGCAAGAACGTGTGGCATTCTCTTCAGAATTCGAAATCTTCTTACATCTGAATCACTGATATATATCTACAATGCTTTATTCATGTCATTTCTACAATATGGCATCACTGTCTGGGGACAAACATATGACTCGTACCTGGAGCCAATATTTAAGCTGCAAAAAAAGGCTGTCAGAGCTATTTCTCATCAATCCTTTCGTTCTCCCTCTCTTCCCAGTTTTAAAAAGCTTAAAATCCTTAGACTTCGATACATTTTTCAGCTAAGACTATTAACATTTGTTTATGAATCTATAAATAAAAAAAAATTCCTCTTGCTTTCATGATTACTTGTCTTTCTATGCAAATATTCACCAACACTTTACTAGGCAATCTAATCGTGGTAATTTGTTTTTGACTTTAAGGAACAGTTTTTACAATTTTACAATTTTAGACTACACTTTGAGTGGTACGCAAATTGGGAATACGTTTTCTCAAAATGCGCCTGCCGAAAGTTATAAATATTTATTTAGAAATGAAGTTTGTTCACTTTGTTTGTTTGATAGCCTAGTAAATAGCCGAAGAAATTAATTCCATGAACCCATCACCAAGTAACAGGCTTACACATGTTTTGAATGAGTAAAACTAGTCTTTTAGGGAAACAATAAGCGAAACCTCGAATACATGAATGCTGATCAAATATTAATGAAATTTCATAATATTCTCATCGAACGCTTGGCTTTGTCAAAGGCTTAAGTGAAAAGCTGATTCACTGATTCTCTTCGCTCAAAACTTCAAGGAGAAGAATATCGACGCCATAGTTTTGACTTTTGTTAGTAATCGGGTGATATTGACTGCAAAAAAGTTAACAGCTTTAGCATGTTCGATGAATCACTATCGGTAGTAAAGAATTCGTCCGTGCGGTGCGGCTAACCTCTGATCTTAAATTTTTCGAAGATGATCGAGGAAGAGCCTGCTAGTGAAGGATGAAAATGAAAGATGCAGAACTATGCACGACAATCTTCTGCTTCACGTTGTTGATGTCATCTACAGTAGCTTGTCGTGCATCGGAATACAACATCACAACGTTTGTTGAGAATGCGAACGTCATCGGAAGATCGAATAGTTCTTATCAGCATGTTAACATAAGGAATGCTTCATTTAACATGCGATATGAACTTTTGGACAAGAACAAGGGGCTTGCGAATATCATAGAGGTGTTATCTGAAAATAGTTCAAAAAACAGAGTGGGGCTAGAAACCTACTTTGTTGGAGATAAAATAGAACAGATCTTGCAGGAAGTGCATGCCATCAAGAAAGATGTTCATTCATTGGAAATTGAAAACTGCTCTGAGGTAATAAAGAAAATATCTGAGATTATACTTTAGTAAAATTTGATTCTTAAATCAACGCAAACATGAATTTTTTTAATCTTAATATTCATTGGCCTGCGTCACTTATCATATCGAACATCGACTTGATATAGTTAACAGTAAGAAGGCTGTTGACGGGTCAGGAAAAGCCTACGTTAAAAAGATCAAGACGATATTCGATTTGGTCATTGAGGCGTGTTAAATTGTCTTGCGATCTAGTAATGTCAATGATTTTCTGATTAAATGTTGTTGACAAAAGGCATCACTACTTGCATTATTTGAAATTGTTTTTCATTCTTTTCATGTTTTCTATGCTTTCGTCATAACAGGTGTCAATGTTTACCATCAAAGAGCTAAAATTCTGTAAAAGATATAAACAAGTCTATGTCAATGCTCTGGAAACATTAATGAAGGATGTGTTCACTCAGCCAATCATGATTATTGTAGAAGAAGATCAATGTGCCCATTACTTTGCTGACAAACTAGCTCATGTCACGGATAAACAACGCCAGGAAGGCTCAAGGCAGGACACAGGTGAACTATACTTTCACAGGATTGGCGGTGGTTCCACAATGATAGAGGATATTCGTACAATGCTCTATAAGGCTATAACAACATCAACAGCAACAATCATTTTATTATCCTCTGATGGTTTGACAGAACTAATTTTGGCAAGATCAAAATCAATTGCTACCTTGAAATCAAATGTGATTTGGGTGACGCTTGAGTCAAACATCGAAGAAAGATTTGTTCCTTCAATTTTGCTGAATCTCGAGTCGGATGGAAATGATGATAATTTGCCATCATTAAGTTGGAGCAGCCTAAACTTATTGAACATTAAAAGGGCAATGATAGTTGGAACTAAAGAGAATCAACTGTCGAACTCGTAAGTATTCATTTTATTTGCATTCATGCATTTGTAGTTGAAAGAAGCGATACAAATTTCAAATGGCGCTCTCTTAAAGGCTCTTGGGCAACCGGCATGCTTTGCGACTGTAATTTGAAGAACCGGCCTAATATCGTGCGGCATGAAAATACAAAACACAGTCAATTTCTCAAGACAACTACCGCTATGCATTCCGATCTAAATCGCTGTTTTTGTCTTCAGCAAGAAGGGTTCTTTGAAGATAAGCTGTCACCACATCTAAATAGCAAAGACATGATTCAGTAATATCTTCAAATTTTCACCCACACCTGTTTACTCATAGCCGCTGCCCAAACTGTAGGTCGAGCAAGAGGACCTACTTGGAAAACAATGCAAATAAAATAATTTTCTTGAAATATTCATCTCCTAAGTTGCTCTGGAGATAGACTGCATATAATGGGAACAAGGGTAAGGAATATCTCTCTTGTTAATAAAGGCATAAAGCATCAATCCTATTGTCATTCAATTCCAGATTTCTCTTTCCCAAAATTTTCGACAGATTCAAAGCCATTGCCGATAACTACAAATTTGTGAGTCCACAAAACTCATTTCTGCGTAAATTTTCGATTACACGGACCCCGCGGAAATAAGATATTCTAAAAAAGAATGTAAAATGAAAGCTGTGCGCCAATTAAATGACTTCAAGAATTTAATATTTACTTCTTCCATATATGCCGACAAAAATCCGTACATATTGAGCGATTACGAAAACAATAAGGTTCAATCAAAACAACGATTTCTTTTATTTGGAGTTATACTGTATCCTAGATGAACCTGTAACCTTATCATAATCACAACCTTTTCGCAAACGATCTATTTTCTGCACGTTACCCCATTCCTGACTACTTTCAGATTCATTCCTTGATTTTGACAGGCTTATCTCGCACTGTTATTTTTTGTAGGCTTCGAAGCTCATTGTATTAGGCTATTTATCAATGCAGCGCCGTCAGCTAAAACGAGGCCTCGCTCTAGTTACTTTCTGTTGAAGGCAGTGTGTCGCGCTGTTCATTTTGTTTAATTTCGAGGGTCCTCGAAATTAGAGAAGCATGACAAATTAGAACAACTCATCGTTAGCATCATTAAGCGTCCTTTGTTACGAAATGAAAACTCACTGAAATAGATACTTTGTTCTTTGTTTTGATAAACCAATGAACGGCGCAACGCACTGCCTTTAATCAAATCTCTCTCCCAGACTTATGTTTCTTATGTTGCTTCTTGTTAGATTGCTTTATGTGCAGCTTTCGCATCGAAGGATCACATCAGCTAATAGCTGCCAGAATTGCTTTTTTGGTGAGAAATCTAAAAGAGGGTTGCAGTGCAAAGAGGTTGAAAAATTTTAAATGACTGATATTTTGCCTTTGCAGTTTGCACGGAAAAGATCTAAGGTTGCTACCTGCCTTCAGTAATTTAAGCTGCTATGTTTTAGTAGTTTAATAACACTGTAGAATGGGCAAGGACTGTAGTGTAGCTTCCATCCTTTGTGGCTTCAAAATGTACGACGGCAGGACTTCTGTAGAAGCATAGTTAGAAAAGACGCTTCCATCTACTGAGCTGCGCAAACGTCTCATTAAAGGGCTTTACTGTTATCGGTCCAATGTCCAGAAACATTTTCATCATTCTACCGGCTAGTAAGCCAAATTTTCTGTATTTGTTTTTAAAATGAGCCACATCTAGGTGCAACTCAGTGCGATAGCTGAGAGATTCGCTTGTTTGATGTGCTCCCTCACAATCGTCAACCATCTATGTGCCATATATTCTGTAGTGACTTATTTCTATGAATTCTAATCTACAAAAATTTTACTCGCTTCTTTCACAACTGGATATGATTATGATTATGTTTTAACAAATGGTATTTCTACAACAGGGATGCCAAGCTGGTGATTCGGGATGCATTCAATTTGACGCAAAGTGTTTGTCGTACCAAAAATGACAAAAAACAAACTGTTCTGGTTTCTTTGCGACGATCAAATTTCAACTGGTTACCGATGTATTCCTGGTCAAATGAAAAACAAATAACATTACTCTCGTTTGATCCTAAATTGTCATGGCTTACAAGATCAAAATTTCATAAATCACTGTTAAGGGTTGTGACAATTCTCGAAGAGCCATTTGTTGCGACTGTTTCTGAGTACTTTGATAAGGAGTCGCAGTCGTGTAGTCAAGGTATTCCTTGTAGGGTTCCACACTCGGTACATAATGTTACAAACTGGCAAATATCTTGCTGTATTGGGTTTACAATGGACCTTCTTGAACGGCTGCAAGACGATTTGTGGATCTTGATAGATCTTTACGTAGTTGGAGACGGGCTATACGGGAGTGTTGTTGATGGAGAATGGAACGGGATGGTTGGAGAACTTGTTAAAGGAAATGCTGATTTGATTATGGCACCTATAACAACAACTTCAAAAAGATCTAATGTCATTGACTTTGGGGAAACGGTTCTAGATGTAGCTTTTGCCATTGTTCTTCTCTCCAATCAAAAGACTGAGTTTCCATTCGTCAACCTGAGCTTTGTAGAAAATATCGACGGATCTTTATTGTTAGTTCTTCTTGCAATGTTTTTGTTCGGACTTTTCTTCATTTATCTCCTGGAAAACACGCTATTTTATAAAAGAAACGAGAGCTCAAAGAAGATTTATAACTTTAAGGATGGCTTCTCGTACATTTCGGGGATTACATTTCAAAGAGATCTTGGTGGAAAGAACCCGAAGAAAAGCTCGGCAAGGATCAGTTTTGTCGTCTTTGCTTTTGCAATGGTGATTGCTATGTCTACGTACACTGCAACTCTGACTGCTGTAAAAGTCAAACAAGAAGATCAGGATGTTTTCCAAGGAATGAACGACCCAAAGGTATGGCGTTAAAGCTTTTTGGCAGCTATTTTCACAACTGTATTGACAAATTTCTGGTTTATTCATAAAGGAAATTTTATAGGAAAAGGCAATCATAAAGCCTAGTTTTGTTTGGAAAATACAATATTCCCAGGTGATGGCTGGGTGATTTATTTGTGCAAAATATCAGGTAGCTTAAATCTTAAAAAAAATCCTTGTTTAATTTACAAAAAATTCATAAGAAATAAATTAGGGTGTGGCATTTTTGGCGGTAGGGCCGAGGTAGAAAATAGGTAATGTTTCACTGCAGATATTTTACCAACCGTTTGTGTTCCTGCTTAGGGCTCCTAGATTCGTATCAAAAAATTACTCTAGAAAGTAAGTTTAAAAAATATTCTTCGTAGAAAAACGTAAATTTTTCTCCCGGGTAAAAGTATAGGGGTAGGTTTTTCTCCACAGCAACTGTGTTTTGGTTTGAAATATTGAAAAATCTAGCTCGAAATGGAGGCAGGTGATTGGCTAATGACATTTTGTAAACAAACTCGTTGATTGGTCTAGAACAAAATGTGCCCTTGTTTCTAAGGGTGGCATATTTCTAAGCACCTTTATATCATTCTATACTCTCTTCTTATCACAGCTACAGAATCCTACAAGTAATTTCAAATTTGCTACAATAAAAAGTTCAAGCCTTGAGGAATACTTCAGGTTTTCTACCAATTCACACTTCCATAACATGCACTTATTCATGCATCAATACAACATCAATACAACTGAAGATGGGATAAAGAAACTTCTTAATGGGTAGGCTCTTAAACGTTTCTTGAATAAAAATTGCTATAAAAATAAAAAAGATTCACTTCATTTTTATGTCTCTTATAACAAGTTAGCTTACCAATGCATTATGTCCTAGCCTCAGTGTACTGCTTCAATATTGATTAAACGAAAATCCTGAGTCATCCTAAAACCTGACCAAGTCTCGCATTTGAGCCTTTTTTAATGTTTCATACTGCCAGAATTCCTCAGTTATATCAAAAGCTCTGCTAATGGTTAGAGTTAAGGTTTTATTTTGTACCTATATTTTGTACCAAGTTTTCATGCGGAATTTCTTTTGTGAATACAAATTTATTCCACGCAGGCAACTTCAAGCTCTTATTCTGGAAAATCCCATGGCCCAATATCGTGCTTCCAAACAAAAGGATTGTAATTTCCAAGTTGTCACAACTTCATCAGGGAAATCTACGTGGAATGTCGCATTCCAACGCGGTTCTGCCTGGAATAGTGTAATCTCTACGAAAATACTGGAGTACAAGGAGCAAGGATTAATTTCTGATTTCTATAAGAAGTGGATGCATAGCAGCTGCATGACTCAAGGTGGAGTTACAGCAACACATTATGAATTTACGATAAAACATTTTGGGGGATTCATAGTTATTCTTAGCGTCTCTTTCATCATTTCTTTTGTCATTCTTTTGTTGGAACACATTTTCTTTAAGAAAAAAGAGCACACAAATAGATATAAATTGAAAGCTTAGGTTCTCCTGCTACACATGGTACAAGAAAGCATCTAGACGCATTAAAAAGTGGTCGTAAATTGTCAACATTAACTTGCTCACAAAATCAAAATTGCTCACTTTATTTTGTAGTATTCATTAAGTTTGTAATGCCAAAATCAATGCGTTCTTATGTTTCTTTGTCTCAGGATTTTTCATTAACAAATTCAGCTGTGAACTGAGCCCCAGATGATTTGTCGGGAAAGGATATCCTGGACCTGGAGTTTCCCCACCTGGTGTGCCCCCACCTGGTTTTCCCCCCACCTGGTGTGCCCCCACCTTGACTGCAATCATATCCACTTCTTAATAAGTGCATTGATGTGAAAAATCCGTGGATACGTAACTTTTCCTTAACTGTTTTGTTTCGAGAGCAAACGTATTCGTAACGTAACGTAACGTTCGAAACGTTTTCGAAACACACAGGACAATAATTAATAATATACTACCATGCTTCTTAAGCTTTATTTCGTGAAAAAATGAAGAAATTTACTATGTACGCCCTTCTTTCTGAGTTTCAACGTTACTGTGGGAAGTTTCCCCTTTGTTTTCAAAAATTTATTTTCCAAAACGTTTATTACTTCTGGAACCAGACTTATCTAGTTGTCTCTCAGAGTTTCACGCTAAGTGCGATCATCATTAGATGTTTTTATAAACATATTGCCAAGGAAGATTGAAAAAAATCAATAAACACCCCCTCTTTTAAACGCCCCCTCGAATAGACACCCCCTAAAATATCAAAATATTTAATAAATGCCCCGGGCGTTTAATCAAAGCATTGCAGTACCCGTAGCTAGACTAGAAGCTTGATAAAGCATCCCCTTGCTCGCGGCACATCTCAAAGTACCTTTACTACGGAAGACCTAGCCCCCCCCCCCCCTTGACTCTTGCCGAGTAAAACGAAGTGCAAAACTGGAATGCATGATATTACAACCAGAGGCGGATCCCAGGTGCGAATCTAGACCGGTTGCACAGGTTTAAAAAAACCAGTCAAATTAAAAGAGCCATGTTTTTCTGTAAATTTTTAATTTCTATCTAAAGTTCCCAGCTTCCTAATTCATCTTCTATACCAAAATATCCGAGGAATTCAAAATCGAGGAAATCAGTCGCCACTCGAAGTGACAGTTTGGAGTATGTTATCTATGCGCCCATATCTCTATGATTGAAACCGGTGGCTTTTGTTTCCTGAAAACCTTAGGAAACCGGTGCGCATGTGTTTTCTTTATGCGAAAAAACCGTTGGCTAAAAAGCATATTCGATATCGATATCCATAGCTCGAAAGTGTGGACGCTTTAAAACGAAATCATACAATATGAAATACGGATGCAAATAAGAATCTGAAGTTTTGTATTGAGGGAATAGAATTTCTTTCTCGAAAAAAATTCATGAAAATCAGTTGTTTCGGAAAAATTTTGGGAAAAATAAACGAAGTTGCAAGATAAGGATCAAAGGCCACGATGAACCGAGTAAAATTGTCACATTTTAGATAAAGTATGGGCAAATTAATCACATTTTACTAACCTCATTAGCAACTTTTAGCAATATTTATGGACCAGTAACACACAGGACCGTAACGGGGTAAAGCACCCCGAAACCGGTCATAATTTTGGCTAGATCCGTGCCTGGATCCAGACTACAGCAACCTATGCAGAAGCATAAGTCAGATCTTTACAACAACAAAATAAATGGAGATGGAAAATTCTTAATTAATAGTTTCTTTGGCAAATTCTTTAGCAACGTCCGTCCTAGACCTTCCCCCGTTGATACCAACAACCTGCCGACGACAGGGCATATTTTTTGTGACTATCTTTCGGCTTTTTGCACAGATTAGTCGAGAGGCGATTCTTGGCATTTATTTGGTTCGTATTTTCTGAATCCAGAAACTTGTTTGTCCCTCAAGAGCTGGTTTGACTTATGCAAGCGTCTTGTAAGCCAATCAGAGTGTACTTTACCTCTGCAATCTTTGGCGCGAGCATAGGTGAGATTTGATTTATCAAATCAGAAGTCGAGCTTGCCTCTGCAGCGGTACAGCCAACCAATAGGAATCAGAGTTGACCTATGCAATTGTTTACAGTCGACCTCTGCAAATGTTTGTTACAACTAATGAAATGAGAATTGACAATCGCTGCTTCACCCCTGCTAAGGAACCTCTAGCTCAGTCAGTCAACCTTGCAATGTCTGTTCTGTAGTGTTGTAGGATAACTACTGCGTTCGGAATGCGGGGGGGGGGGGGGCCTGGTTCAACTCCTATCGAGATCGGGCTACTTAAAACCTTTTTCCTTTGAATTGCAGGTAAATTTAATCTTCTCTTTGGGAGTGGCTTCCTTAGAATTCCTTTTGGAACCCCCTATTCAATACCAGTGATACTGATTTTATTCAGAAAAAAATGGGCGTTTCCAACATTAAAGGGCGTGGCCTATCTTTCTGACAACCTTTGCATAGGTAAGAATTCAGGCTGGATCCGCGCCTGACAACAACTATCAGCAATGCACGATGGTCTATTGCTGGTCAACAATACGTAAACAAGCTGTCTTCCATGGTACTTTGCAAATCGGAGCAATAGTTTGCGAGTAATTCTAGAATAGACATTCCCAACAATTTCAATGAAAGTACAGGCCTGGGGTGCTTTGCGTGAATTATTTTCAATACTAATTTTTGGCTATTGCTATCAGTGGTGATTTTGTGAATGCCAATTCTTCTATTGATCCTTGCTATATCAACGTTAAGTAAGCAATTTCAATGAAGCAAACCCTCTTGATTTTGCTTCGCCCAATTCAACAATCTCTATTCTATTCTTCCTGTAATTAAATTCTTTATGAAGATCTGAAATGTGAATTGGTGTCTCATTATGGCAGGTTACGAGCTCAGTATTTATTCATAATGCATATTTCAGCCTAAAAAGCTTTTACGGTACTGCCAGGCCTTTCTCAAGCGCTAATTGTACGAGCTAAACCTTAGCTCTCTAAACTCAATCTCTGGATTTGTGGCGCGTGATTTATGTGTTTTGCTAGTTCCTTATATGAAAGTCTTAAGTATCTACATTGGAAAAAAAACAAGCAAGAGAATACTTCTAGATACTTATGTATGAGTAAAGTCATTCAATGGTATCGTTTTTACTTTTATAGAGGGTTGATTTCCTTAACGAGGAATGTCACTGCCTTTATACGCAATTGAACAACGGGAGTGATGCAAGTTTGATGCAGAGAGAGTATGCACAAAAAAGGTGAAATAAGCTGGGAAAATGAATGAATGGGGCGAAGGAAATGTACAAGCGAGGTGGATTAAAGCAAAGCTGAGCGCTGTGCGTTGACAGAAGGTTTGTTGTTAACTAGGAACTTGTCAAACAGAAAGGGCCACGATTGTATCAAAAAGGGAAGTAGCATAGCTGATGATGAGCTTAAAGCCATGGCTATTATGGGAGGCGTGGAAATGTGATTGAAAAAATTCTATGCTAGAGTTTTTTTCTATCTAAAGATGCTTCGAATTTTGAACTTTTCAACAAATATAAGATGGCTCTTTGTTAGAAAATGAGACTTGGACAGCCCTCTTCCCTCTTGAGCACTATAGCCAGTGCTCATATATATCGGATGAACTGGGAGAAACTTAATATAGAGTGGTCAAAATATTCCTGCTTTATGTAGATGATGTCATAGTAGAGAGGCTTGCTCACAATACAGTACAATATCATTCAATAAAATTTAATACAATGCAATTTTGTTTTTCATTTCTATTCCAAATGTAACAATTTTTCCCTTTCTTACATCCAAAACAATGTTGATAGTTTACTTAAATATTTTACAAGTCACACAAAAAACGTTCAAGCCGTTGGTACCACAAAGTTTCAGAATAGCAGCGAAAAGCGAAAACTGGTCTTACTAAAGTAGATTTCGCATGACATCCTTCAGATTATAAGCGTTGGATAACGTCCAAGGGTAAGCAGAAATTTTACATCAAGGTGTGGATCGAAAGAGGAAGACGTGAGAGGGAGAATAGCGCGATTGATTGTTCTTTGTTTCTGACCAATCGCAGCCGCTTATCTCACACCTAGTTGAAGATTCAGAGAGAGAAAACTCTTTCTATCTACACAAGTCGGGGTCCCTCTTTTTGCGCCCTTTTTCAGGTAGACAGACTCCAAAACACCTAGACGAAAATACGAGCATTTTGCGTCTGATCTTAAACCTCGTTTTGTATGAAGCCAACAGGAGTGAGGGGGATGGTTGAATTTGTCCTTGAAAACTATGGTCAGTGCTCCAAGACTCGTAGCATTATCAAATATGAAACAATGCGCTCTTACTTTCCTTGTACAATTCCATCTTAAAATGATGATTTAATGAAATTTAATCAGAGTTAATGTAACGAGGGGCTTTTGCATTGGCTGTTACTCCTGAGTTGATTATTGACTGTTATTCATATTTTTAGTCTCATGTGCCACGCTAACTCGTTGTTCTCTTGCATTTGCGTTACTCGTTTATTGGTATTGCGAAGTAGTCTTGGCCTCCGGGGGATTTGTTTAGTAATGCTAGGGCAACATTTATGGCTCATGGCGGTTTTCATTCCCTAGGTTATTCTTGGGGGTATTTAAGGGTTTTTTTGGCATAGTGTTGGTTCACTTTGCTTGGTGAAAGGCGACTAATAGAGTGTGCTGTTTCTTTTCGCGGCCCTCCCTCCCTCTTTTTTTTTCTTCTCTGGATGCCTTCAATAAAGTTTCTCGTACCTTTAGGCATTCCTCTATGCTGTTAGCATTTATTTGGATGCTATCAGGTAGGACTGGTGCATCGGCTGTTAGTGGGGAAAAGAGTATTTTCTTGTCCATTCCCTCCCCTTTATCAATTAAATTTGGGGGTTATTATGGAAAATTCCAAAGTAACAGCTTCCTGTTTAAATCAGTGGTAGATTTAGCGATTTGCGCCGATGCACCAACGGCCCAACTCGCTCTCGATGATGTGGGAACGTAGCCTCATGACTGAATTTCTGATGTCTAGGGCATGATTTCTGAGGGAGCTCTTTGCCCTTCATTTTGTGGGTATTTTATTCACGAGTTAGAAAATTAATCCAAATATATATTGTCACACGATGTTGTACGATATGCAATCTATAATATTTATGAAATGTTTATGTAAAATATTACACCTTGAAACGGCAATTGGAAGGAAGTGAAGTTTGTAATTGCATGATCGTATGAAAGCACATCAGGGAGAGGTTCAATCTGCAGTGATGACTAATTTGGGCAGAGATGCAATTGTTTTTATAGGCATAAAGATAAAAACTAAAAAAACCAATTTGTAAATATAAAATGAGAAAGAGAAAAATGAGAAAAAAGGAGGTAAGGAGTAATCACTACCACGTGGTAACAGCCTCAAACTCAGATGGGTGTTGATTGTGTGTGCCCTTTGTACGTTTTGGGCAATAAGCTTTAAAGTGGGCAGAAAATGATAAAATAGCAACTCATCAGCCAGAAACCCACGAGGGACATTTTGGGAATTTAATTCGGTAGGTCCATTTCTCGTAGGCGCCCCTCGCAATCCTGCGCCCATTATCACGGTTGCAAACGTAAGGAAATACAGATAATAATCAAAATGTGGGAATCATCACAGAATGCTTATCAAAATACTGTAGAGTGTCTGGAGGCACCTTAATTGAGTGCGTGGGGATAAACATGATTTGACGTGGCTCTAGAAACAAGGGGCTGGGAGAAGTATGAAGATTAAGGTGTATAACCTGTACATAGAGGCATAAAGTTAGAGTGGGCAGAGTTTAGTGTGACTATGGGAAGGAAGGGGCAAGTGGGTAGGGAAAAGGAAGAAGTAGGGTACCTGAACTGGAAATGGGTTTGGATGGATGAAGTGGATGGAAATGGACAGGGTTGTTGATAGCTTGGGATAAGGGGTTGGCTGTGGGATGCCTTATCTGTTTTAGGGGCCCCAATTAATCAATGTAAACTTTAGATTTTGAACATGTGCATGTTTCCTTGTATCAGACGCCAAAATCTCGTTTTCTATAGAGGATGTGGCAAGATTATTGGTGGGAAAAATATTTTTTTTGTTATATTAACAGTTATATCAACGAGCTATTGTAAAATCACAATACGAATACACCTGAGGGGTCTAGTAGATGAGTTGTAATGGCAGGTATGTGCCGCTATGTCACTGAATGAGCCGTTTGATTTGAATATAAAATTGTATTATTATATTTCCAATAGGTGAGATAAGGAGAAATCGTATGTCGAAAGCCATCATCAGATTGTCGAATTCGATTTTTCAAATATCGAACGTGTTCTATTTCATTCGACAAATCGAAAGGTGAATGAATGACATTTTATCTCGCCCACGCTGCTACGTCACCCGAATTGTCATGTTCTGCATTGGTTCAACAAAAAGTTCAACAAAAAATGAAAAAAAATTATTCATTGCTAAATACTCATGTATTTCATGTAGTCCTTTACTTCGGTTAAGCGCAACTCGTTCAAATATGTAGCGTATGTTCCAAATACAGGACATTGATTCAGCCATTCTTTTGTCCATTTTGTTCGTTTTAGTCTCTTCATTTCTTCGTTTTTTTAATACCACTGCTATAACTATGGCAGCTGAAGCAACCTACTCCATTTCAAAAACAGAATTGAGGAAGTTGACTCTTATCTAATTCGACAAAATCTGATCGTGTAAAAGGGGCATTCGATGCGACAAATCTAAAGGAAAACTAGATTCGACGTTATCGAATTCGACAAAATCTGACCGTGTAGCAGCTTAAATATTCGTTCATTGACCGCTGGCAGGGGTGGCGCTAGAAACCAAACTACTATGTGCCGACAGTCTTAGAAAAATTCACGTGCCGACGAATATAAAATTGGTTGCCGACATATTTCATGAACTCCCATTTACAGTTTCTTGAAATCTTAAAATGTTTTGAAAATGAATGAAAAAACGTTTTAATCTGTCAATTAAATCGTGTATACGTGTATAATCTTTAAACTAACAATTTCGTTGTATGTGCCTAGCTTGTAGGCCTTTACACCGTTTACTGGCTAAGCAAGTTTGAGCCATTTATTGCCAGGTTTCTGCTAAAGACAGTATAATCTTACTGTTTGGAAATCTTTTTTTTAAAAGATCGAGGACAACGTCAAGAGCAAGCATATAGGCCCTCTTTGACTGAATATCATGGAAATATCTTGTTGACAGTGACAATGGTTATGCATTTAATAGTTATTACAAGCCCTGGGACAAGAAACCAGAAGAGACTTTCCTGCAAGCGAAGCGAGCAGCAAAATTTTGCGATTACGCCCTTTAGTTTAGCTTAAAAAACATTTCAGAATATTTCTTGGAAATTTCGGCACTCTGAAACTGTCAAATGAGGAATTTACTTTTTTTATAAGAACAATTATAAGAATCAATCAATACAATTCACATATTGCATACTTCTAGTCGAGGTGTTTTATAACATATTTGAATCTAACGAGGCTCCACACAGCAACCAGTGGTATGAAAACAGCCCGGTTTTTGCAAGAAGTAATAAAATAGAATTAAAGAAGTATACAAATAACATAATTTAAGCAACAGCAAACAAGCAGAACCGAGCAGAATAAAACATGGATAAATAAAATTAGTCTTTGCGGGAGACAATAAGCAAAAACGTCGAAAATATGGATGCTGATGAATTATTAATGAGAAATCTAAATTGTCTCATCAAGCGCTTGGTTTTGTGAAAAGGACACTCACTGGTTCCCTTCTCTCTTAATGTAGATACCAACGTCGTAGCTAGGATAATGGTTTGAAATCGTGCTCGGTGCCACGGATTCTCGAGATTACGTTGACTCGAATAAAGTTAACAGTTAAAGTTGACTGGAATAAAGTTAATCTAAGCATGTTCAATTGATCTTGGTATACATAACAGAAGTCTATCGGTAAAGGATTCGTTTTGTGCGCCATGGCTTACTTCTGATCTGAAATTTATAGAAGATGAACCAGGAAGAGCCTGCTGGTGAAGGATGAAGATGAAAGATGCAGAACTATGCACGACAATCTTCTGCTTCACGTTGTTGATGTCATCTACAGTAGCTTGTCGTGCATTGGAATACAACATCACAACGTTTGTTGAGAATGCGAACGTCATCGGAAGATCGAATAGTTCTTATCAGCATGTTAACATAAGGAATGCTTCATTTAACATGCGATATGAACTTTTGGACAAGAACAAGGGGCTTGCGAATATCATAGAGGTGTTATCTGAAAATAGTTCAAAAAACAGAGTGGGGCTAGAAACCTACTTTGTTGGAGATAAAATAGAACAGATCTTGCAGGAAGTGCACGCCATCAAGAAAGATGTTCATTCATTGGAAATTGAAAACTGCTCTGAGGTAATAAAGAAAATATCTAGGATTATACACTTTAGTGAAATTTGATTTGTGAGTCAACGCAAGCAAAAAATCAAATTGTGTTTGAATTTTTTTTAATCTTAATATTCATTGGCCTACGTCACTTATCATATCGAACATCGACTTGATCTAGTTAACAGTAAGAAGGCTGTCTTGCCCCTACGTATGGCGCATAAATTAGTCGAAGCTTCATGTATGTGTGACCCGATTAGAGGTCAAACAACATAAATGTTTTGACTGTTAGCAACATCAGTTTAAGAGGGCTGTTTAAAACTTTACCATTTCTTTTCGATATACGAAGCGAGAAAGACATACCTTGAAAACTCCCTTCTTTCCTAGCTAATATTTCCTCTTCCTACGTTTTTGGGACTTTTGTCACATGATGGGACAGGAAAGCCTACGTTAAAAAGATCAAGACGGTTTCGATTTGGTCTTAAGGCGGGCTAAATATTCTTGTGATCTAATAGTGTCAGTGATTTTCTGATTAAATGTTGTTGACAAAAGGCATCAATACTTGAGTGCTTTGAAATTGTTCTTCATTCTTTTCAAGTTTCCTATGTTTTCGTGATAACAGGTATCCATGTTTACCAACAAAGAGCACAAATTCTGTAAAAGATATAAACAAGTGTACGTCTATGCTCTGGAAACATTGATGAAGGATGTGTTCACCCGGCCAGTCATTATTGTTGTAGAAGAAGATCATTGTGCCCATTACTTTGCTGACAAACTAGCTCATGTCACAGATAAACAACGCCAGGATGGCTCAAGGCAGGACACAGGTGAACTATACATTCACAGGATTGGTGGTGGTTCCACAATGATAGAGGATATTCGTACAATGCTCTATAAGGCTATAACAACATCAACAGCAACAATCATTTTGTTATCCTCGGATGGTTTGACAGAACTAATTTTGGCAAGATCAAAATCAATTGCTACCTTGCAATCAAATGTGATTTGGGTGACGCTTGAGTCAAACATCGAAGAAAGATTTGTTCCTTCAATTTTGCTGAATCTCGAGACCGATGAAAGTGATAATAATTTGCCATCATTAAGTTGGAGCAGCCTAAACTTATTGAACATTAAACAGGCAATGATAGTTGGAACTAAAGAGAATCAACTGTCGAACTCGTAAGTATTCATTTTATTTGCATTCATGCATTTGCATTTGAAAGATGCGAGAATAGCTTCAATTCAAAAAGTGCTCTCTTTAAAAAGAGATTTCTTTGAAAAGAAACGTGGATAATACAACTTCAAAGGCTTAAAAATTATAATTTTTCTGTGCTCCCTCCCCACCTAATAATTAAAAGGGTTCGAAAAAGACAGTTTCAAGCCTTCGTAACTAACGATAGCGAAACAAAATTGACTGAGTACAATGGCTATTTTTTCATAAATTCATCAAAGATTCAATCTTTTGAAGAAAATTTAGAATATCTTTCAGCACATTTTACACATTTTTGTGGAAAGTGGTAAAAATGTCCTTAAAATGAGCCACAATAAGGTGCAACTCAGTGCGATAACTGAGAGATTCGCTTGTTTTTGATGTGCTCCCTCACAATTGTCAACCGTTCATGTGCCATATATTCTGTAGTGACTTTTTTCTATAAATTCTAATCTAGATAATTTTTACTCGCTTCTTTCACAACTGGATATGATTATGATTATGTTTTAACAAATGGTATTTCTACAACAGGGATGCCAAGCTGGTGATTCGGGATGCATTCAATTTGACGCAAAGTGTTTGTCGTACCAAAAATGACAAAAAACAAACTGTTCTGGTTTCTTTGCGACGATCGAATTTCAACTGGTTACCGATGTATTCCTGGTCAAATGAAAAACAAATAACATTACTCTCGTTTGATCCTAAATTGTCATGGCTTACAAGATCAAAATTTCATAAATCACTGTTAAGGGTTGTCACGATTCTCGAAAAGCCTTTTGTGGCGGTTGTTCCTGAATACCTTGATAAGGAGTCGCAGTCGTGTAGTCAAGGTATTCCTTGTAGGGTTCCACACTCGGTACATAATGTTACAAACTGGCAAAGATCTTGCTGTATTGGGTTTACAATGGACCTTCTTGAACGGCTGCAAGACGATTTGTGGATCTTGATAGATCTTTACGTAGTTGGAGACGGGCTATACGGGAGTGTTGTTGATGGAGAATGGAACGGGATGGTTGGAGAACTTGTTAAAGGAAATGCTGATTTGATTATGGCACCTTTAACAACAACTTCAAAAAGATCTAATGTCATTGACTTTGGGGAAACGGTTCTAGATGTAGCTTTTGCCATTGTTCTTCTCTCCAATCAAAAGACTGAGTTTCCATTCGTCAACCTGAGCTTTGTAGAAAATATTGACGGATCTTTATTGTTAGTTCTTCTTGCAATGTTTTTGTTCGGACTTTTCTTCATTTATCTCCTAGAAAACACGCTATTTTTTAAAAGAAACGAGAGCTCAAAGAAGATTTATAACTTTAAGGATGGCTTCTCGTACATTTCGGGGATTACATTTCAAAGAGATCTTGGTGGAAAGAACCCGAAGAAAAGCTCGGCAAGGATCAGTTTTGTCGTCTTTGCTTTTGCAATGGTGATTGCTATGTCTACGTACACTGCAACTCTGACTGCTGTAAAAGTCAAACAAGAAGATCAGGATGTTTTTCAAGGAATGAACGACCCAAAGGTATGGTGTTAAAGCTTTTTGGCAGCTTTTTTCACAACTGTATTGACAAATTTCTGTTTTTTCTAGCTTTAAGCGATTGCTTAAAAAAGCCTGTAGTGATTGAGTCATGTTTATATAATTACTTCCAACAGAGATTTCCAAACTTGTTACCCCAAGACACTTAGGTGGGTGATGATCCTGAATTAAGATGTCTCATAGAAGCGTTTTTAATTCTTGCTTCTTATCTTCATGTGATTATGTAAGTTTCCTCTACTACCATTAAACAAAAACTAAAGAAATACACTGCAAGCCGTGTCCTCAAGACCCCACTCAATATGCAAGAACAGTTGTCTTTGAAAATATGATCTAAGTTTCAGTGCCATAGAGTTGCAATACCTCTATTACGAAATCTGAGTAGCTTTTTATATGAAGGTATAAAAGGTTGATTTAACGACAAAAGATTTAATCTAAATAGGCCTAACGGAACATTGTTTTGATTGCTTTTAATCAATGATGGATTCAGACATTTTATAGCGAATGAGTTTTGCGTTGAAACTCCCTTTACAATGAAAACTCTGGTTATTTGGTCTGTGCAACTTTCTCCGCTGGTTTAACAAGACTGCGAGAACAAAAATTAAGCTAAAGTTCTCCACATTTCTTCCAAATTTGAGAGCGAGCTTAAAAGTACGTCTTGGTTCTATACAGTCATGCTGCAACTTCCTACAGAGTAATTTGTCCATAAATTTTCAAACAAGCCTGTGTTTTGGAGCAAAGGATAAAGGTTCTGAGGCTTCTTCCAGTGGACTGCTAAAATGTGAGTATCAAACAATGGGAGTTTTCAAACTTCATTTTTCCGTAAAATCAAAAATACGAGCACAAACAATAAGAAAAAATCTATATGACCAAAAAGCATGGCGATAAAACTGAATCTGAGCTCAAAAAAGTCGTACAATGCAGTTCAGAGTAGTGTCCAAAACGAGGCCAGAGCTTGAATTGGTGTATTGACTTGGTTCGACACGGCATGGCTCGACGTATAAAACGGCCCGTGGTTGGAAACATGATTTAGCAAATAGACAAGTTCAGTGACAGCTCTGAACTTTCCGTGCTATTTTCAACGTCATTTGACTCTGGTAATGAAAACCATAAAAGTGTTTCTGTAGCTATTGCATTGTGTCTTAAGTGAAATCCCAAATATTTTCTAAGGGTGGCATATTTTTAAGCACCTTCATATCATTCTAAACTCTCTTCTTATCACAGCTACAGAATCCTACAAGTAATTTCAAATTTGCTACAATCAAAAGCTCAAGCCTTGAGGAATACTTTAGGTTTTCTACCAATTCACACTTCCATAACATGCACTTATTCATGCATCAATACAACAGCAATACAACTGAAGATGGGATAAAGAAACTTCTCAATGGGTAGGCTCTTAAACGTTTCTTGAATAAAAATTGCTATAAAAATAAAAAAGATTCACTTCATTTTTATGTCTCTTATAACAAGTTATCTTATCAATGCATCATGTCCTAGCCTCAGTGTACTGCTTCAATATTGATTAAACGAAAATCCCGAGCCATCCTAAAACCTGACAAAGTCTCGCATTTGAGCCTTTTTTAATGTTTCATACTGCCAGAATTCCTCAGTTATATCAAAAGCTCTGCTAATGGTTAGAGTTACTGTTTTATTTTGTACTTATATTTTCTAAGTTTTCATGCGGAATTTCTTTTGTGAATACGAATTTATCCTACGCAGGCAACTTCAAGCTTTTATCATGGAATATCCCTTGGCCCAATATCATTCTTCCAAACATAAGAATTGTAATCTCCAAGTTGTCACAACTTCATCAGGGAAATCTTCGTGGAATGTCGCATTCCAACACAGTTCTGCCTGGAATAGCGTTATCTCTAAGAAAATACTGGAGTACAAGGAGCAAGGATTAATTTCTGATGTCTATAGGAAGTGGATGCATAGCAGGTGCACGACTCAAAGTGGAGTTTCAGTAACACATAATGAATTTACAATAAAACATTTTGGGGGATTCATAGTTATTCTTAGCGTATCTTTTATCATTTCTTTTGTCATTCTTTTGTTGGAACACATTTTTTATAAGAAAAAGGAGCACACTGATAGATATAAATTGAAAGCTTAGGTCCTTCTGCTACATGTGGTACAAGAAAGCAACTAGACGTATACTGACCATTATCTAACCGTAATATGTCTTCCATTGTATTTTAGTGTACATCGGAACTGCGATGAATGTAGTCACTAAATAAACACTCCATCAGTAAACGTGTCGTTTCCAAACCCAGCGTTTAGTCTTATTTTACGTGCAGAGAACACCGAGCCAACGAGAGAGATAGTATATTGCCTGTCTAACTCTGATCTAAACTGAACTAAAATTGCTTATAATTAAATATACTTAATTATATAAAGAAATGAATATTAGTAAAGTTAAAGCGTGGTAAAGTTAAAGTAAACAATACGGATTAGCAATGCGTGATGTGAGAGTGACGTAGAGGATACCTGTGCTGCGATGTGTGAATGTCATGGAATGAATGAGAAGGAAGAATCAACAGAAACAGGCCGAAGTAGAGAGCAAACAGGCATATGTTCATATAAATATCATAGGGTCCTATGGTATTCAGTAAAATATTTCAGGGAACATTGCAAGGAAATATTGCACATTCATAATTTGATAAATAAAATTTTACTTCTTTTCAGTCTACTCCCTCAATACAAAACTTCAGATTCACATTTGCATCCGTATTTCGTTTTGCATTTCTTTGTATTAAAGCGTCCACACTTTCGAGCTATGGACATCGATATCGAATATGCTTTTTAGCCATCGGTTTTTCACGCATAAGGGAAACATATGGGCACCGGTTTTCGAAGGTTTCAGAAAACAATAGCCACCGGTTTCAATATTGGCGCATAGATAGCATACTCCAAGCTGTCACTTCGAGTGGCTACTGATTTCCTCGAATTTAAATTCCTCGGATACTTTTGTGGGGGTTCAATTCAGTATGTAAACAGAAGAACTGTAGTCAGTCAGGGAGAAATGCAGCAATTGTTGCAATTGAAATTTAGATCAAAAAGAGGAACATAGCTCTTAAAATTTGACCGGTTTTTTGAAACCTGTGCAACCGGCCTAGATCCGCGCCTGCCTACTGAATCAAAAGAATATAACAAACTGTTGTGCATGATATTACAACAACTATCAGCAATGCATAATGGTCTATTGCTAGTCATCAATACGTGAACAAGCTGTCTTCCATGGTACTTTGCAAATTGGAGCAATAGTTTGTGAGTAATTCTAGAACAGACATTCCAGACATTTTTGGCTATCGCTATCAGTGGTGATTTTGTGAATACCAATTCTTCTATTGATCCTCGTTATATCAACGTTAAGTAAGCGATTTCAATGAAGCAAACCCTCTTGATTTTGCTTCGCCCAATTCAACAATCTCTATTCTTTTCTTCCTGTAATTAAATTCTTTATGAAGACCTGAAATGTGAATTGGTCTCTCATTATGGCAGGTTACGAGCTCAGTATTTATTCATAATGCATATTTCAGCCTAAAAAGCTTTTACGGTACAGCCAGGCCTTTCTCAAGCGCTACTTGTACGAGCTAAACCTTAGCTCTCTAAACTCAATCTCTGGATTTGTGGCGCGTGATTTATGTGTTTTGCTAGTTCCTTATATGAAAGTCTTAAGTATCTACATTGGAAAAAAACAAGCTAGAGAATACTTCTAGATACTTATGTATGAGTGAAGTCATTCAATGGTATCGTTTTTACTTTTATAGAGGGTTGATTTCCTTAATGAGGAATGTCACTGCCTTTATACGCAATTGAACAACGGGAGTGATGCAAGTTTGATGCAGAGAGAGTATGCACAAAAAAGGTGAAATAAGCTGGGAAAGTGGATGAGTGGGGCGAAGGAAATGTACAAACGAGGTGGATTAAAGCGAGGCTGAGCGCTGTGCGTTGACAGAAGGTTTGTTGTTAACTAGGAACTTGTCAAACAGAAAGGGCCACGATTGTATCCGCTTAGAGCCATAGCCATTGGAGGTGTGGAAATGTGATACCTCCTTAAAAAAAATTTAGATAGCAAAAACGAAGAGTTTTTTGCCATCAAATTAACTGGGAGAAACTTAGTATAGAGTGGTCAAAAGATTCCTGCATTATGTACAATTGGATAAGACCACGTGACCGATCCCCTAGCAGAAAATATTTTATTTTGAAGCTCCAAAGCAACATAACCTCCTTAACTTATGCTAAAATTGCGTAAATATGATTGGACAGTTTGAAAATTATATTTATTTGCTTAATTTATGCGTTTCCTTCGTATAAATAGCCTAGACAACATGGGCCTGTATCCAGTTGTCTTCTTGAAGACACCAGACAGTCGCAAGAATAGTGCATTTGTTACTGATATGTCAGGATAGCAAGTTAACACTAATAACGTAATCAATGTAAGTAAATTGTACAAGGAAAAAATTTTTTTTTTAAATAATTAACGACATTTCGAGCATAGCCCATTATTCACTTGATAACGGGCTATGCTCGAAATGTCGTCATTTATTGTCGAAATGTCGAAATGTCGACAGGGATGTCGAGGGGCTTCAGTTTTTTAGATTTTTCGAATTTCACAATTTTTTGCCATCTGTTTACTTGGAAAAATAGCCAATTGGCATGTTGGTGCTGGAGTTCACTGCATGCTGCTCGTGACCAGAAAAAAGCCGTTTATTGTGGAAAATGTTGTGCATTGACTTTAACACTACAACGTTTTTATTACCGTTAGAAGTGTTGCAAGAATTATAGAATTTGTCTAGAATTTTTTACGCTTGCGCCACGAATTTTTTTTTTATACATAGACGCTACGCCACTGGACGTCATCCATAGCATTGAAACACTATCGCACAAAACAATTCCACTTGGCAGCGTGGATTTTTACCGTGACGCCACGAACTTTAATCAAGTACCACCCACCCCCTAATTTATCGTGACAAACTTTAATCTTGAGCCACCCAACCCCAAGGCGTAACGTAAATTTCTGAACAGCCCTTAAAGAGTTGACTTACAAGAGAAGTTTTGGAGGTCCTTTGAGAAAATCCGAAAAGCGAGGCCTCCTGTGAGCGAAGCGAGCAGAAATTTTCGCGACCATGCCCTTTGGATTACCGCTTGAATTCATTAATTTTCGTGCAATCCTTTGAAACGTCTTAAAATTTTTAGGCATAATTCTGTTACTTTTAATTGATTAAACTTTAAAACAAAATTCATTTCTTTATGAGACGCCTTTGACCTTGAACCCCTTGCATAATTTACCCTTTCCCCCCCCTCTCGGCGGCCCTGATGGCTAGAAAAACCAACATCGTGAACATTGTTATACTTGAGGTTGAACGACAGTGTTAAGTATAACATGAAATTGCGTGAGTTCTTTCTACTTTAACAAATACCAATAAAATTCAGGGCTTTAACTTACGACCTTGCTTCTGAATCTTTACTTTAGCGGCGGCAGGAGAACGTCAGAGAGAGAAACGGCGACTGGTCTTTATCTTTATCTTCATCAGCATCAAACTAGCGTCTAAATTACAACTTCTCTAAATCTCTAAACTAAAAGCTCAAATTTATATAAGATAAAACAATAGATAGTGCAATAAATCTAAACATCCAATAAAAGTTCCAGCAAAGCAAACGTCCAATAGGAAAAGGGGTTCTTGTTATTATTTGTCCAATCATAAGGTTTTTCTTCGAGTTGCACTTCGTGGTGCAATCCCTGACGGCCAAAATATACCATGACGTAACTTGTTTTGAGTTGCATGTCGTGGTGCAATCTCTCGTAATCTCGTCGTCCAATGACGTAATGTTAACTATACAACAACATAGTTGAATGCAGCCCCCTACTGTTTCCATCATATAACTGAACAGAATCACAGATTAGCGTGGTTGTTTCAATATGAAACCGCATTTTTTAATGAATCCATGGCATGACATGATCGACAGAGTAGGGATCCACCAACCCGCCTTTTTGGTCCGGAATTGCTGTCACCTATTTCAACGTAGGAAAATGATCTTAGTCTACCTATGTTCTGAATTACATTCTATCTTGTTTCAAAAAGGTGTAGGTCAGTCCACTATAGTTGTTCACTGATGATTACCAATTGGCAATGAATTGGCACTCAGAGCAATACGTCAAACTTCCTTTAATCAACCTTTTCACATCAATAGACAGGGGTGTGGAATGACTGATATTTTTGGGAGGACACAAAATTTTCTACTAGCAATAAGCTAATTTTAACTTTGTTTTATAATTAAATTTAGTCATTTTCTTACAGAATTGGGTGAATTCTAGGCATTAGCGTTATGTAATAAGATTCTCTGGCGTAAAGAAGCATTGAAATTGCAATTTCAAAACTTTCAAAATAAGGATTTCAAAGACTGTGATTCGCACCCACATCCCCCCCCCCCTGGCATTAAGGTGCATGTTGATTGTTCAATTTGCCTTGCTTGTTAGCTGATGCTAGCTTTGAATCAAGTTGCTGCAGGTCTGAAACGTCAGTGGCTGAAACCAGAAATAAACTTTTCATTAATATTTTATGAACACTGCAAAGGACAAGCTTGCATTCTAAATTGTATTTGCGAGGAAGTTGACTAAACACATGTGTATTACAACTTATTTGTAAATCATGACTACGCTAAAAATATTTTTGAAATCGACTGTGGCTTCACTTTGGTTATTGTCTGCCATTCGACTTTCTTACATGTTAGAGTATGATGTCACAACCTTTGTGAATAGCAGTTTGATCTCAAATATTACGAGTTCAAAGGCTCATAATTTTACGTTTTCAAATACAAGAGTACGGTTTCAATATGAGCTAATTAAAGGGAGTGCTGGCCTTTCAAATATCGTGGACATACTTTCCAGGCAACAGGATATTTCTAGAAATAGCACTGTTTTGAGAATGTCATATGTTGGAGAGCAGATTGAAAATATCATAACTGAAGTCCTCTCAAGCAAGAAAGAAAAGCTTCATCCATTGCAGCCAGGCAACTGCTCGCAGGTAAATACAATTCTTTACAAGTATCAGGTAAAATCTCGTGGCTAGAAACAAATCTTAAAAGAAAAGTAATGTTCTGAATTGCAATCTAGTAAATTAATCTGATATACTAAACGTTTCTAAGTGTCTGCCTCTTGTTGGTTGCTTCTAGTGAAAACTTCAGCCCCTAATGTACTTAAAAACCGTATTTTGAAATAAAGTTTTAATTTTTCACTACTCCAAAGTATATTTCAAAGTATATTCACTGTGGTATCGCAAAAACTCCCCCATTGTTAGTTTTTTCTTTATCTTGATGAGATTTCGTGGCTTCAAAAAGTCTCAAAAAGTTTCTCTTCCCCCAACCCCGTAAACAGCTTGGCTTTCATCTATCTGCAAACGTCGATACCAGTGTTCTCTTATACTGCTTGTCTCCGATGATCTGCGATCTTCTGTGACCCGGTAAACAAAGAGCCTCAGTTTGATCATTAGTGCACCAAATAAACGACGCAAGTCTATATGAATAAGAAAAGAAAAGAAAAAGAAAGAATATTTTCAAAGAAGCTTCTGTTACAGATATTCGAACTACTTTATTTTCATTTCATTTCATAATAATTGCTGATCTTCGAGCAGGTGCTGTTTCAATTTGTTGAGCCATTCCATGGTCAGAAAATATTTTTTCCCTTTTCTTTTGAAGAGTCCTCATCTTCAGCCTTTTTATCAGAGAGAACGGTAACATGGAGAGGTCTTTGAAAATTATTGTTAAAGGGCAACCCTCTTTGACCATATAATGTAAGAGTAGAAACTAGAAATGATGGTCAACGGACCCAAATGATAATCACATACAAGTTTCTACTTCAGCGATCATTGCTGACAACAGCAAGGACCACTTTTTGGTTCACTGCACATGGGAACCAATATTCTTGACACATGATAACATGATAGACACATAATAATTACGATTATTACTCTGTTTTAAGCTCTTAAATTGTGTTGAAATTATATTCTTTTTTGAGCAGATCTCGGATGAGGCATTCGATGTGCCATCACCTTGCAAAAGATTCAAAGACGCTTATCTGTATACATTCAAGACGCTTATAAATGAAGTTTTTGTCAAGCCAGTAATGCTCGTGACTGACGAGCAGGATCCTTGTGTCAAGAATATTGCAAATACTCTCAGTAAGATCTCAGATGACGGTCTTTTTGTTCAGAAGGTTGGTAGTACTCGCTCCCTTGTAAAAGATATCACAGAAGCTGTAAACAAGGCAATTACAACATCAACATCAACAATTATTCTTCTTTGCTCAAATCACATATCCGAGCTAATTTTGGCGAGATCGATTTCGCATCCTGCTTTGAAGGACAATGTGATATGGGTCACAGTCAGCTCAAACATCAAAAAAGCGATCGTTCCTACAATTCTTTTGAACGTTGAGTTTGAGGAAAACAAGGCTAGTCTGCTGCCATCTTTGAACAAGGACAGCATCATGCTTCTTGCTGCAAAGAAGGTGGTATCATTGTCGGTTGAAAGTAAAAGGCTATCAAGACCGTAAGTTTTCTTAATTCAAATAAAAAAAGCTTGTTGTAAAGTTCGGATTTCGGATTCAAAAAATTTTGTGAATGAGGCCAAGATATTTTTACGAAGAAGAAGAGTTGGTTTTAGGGTATCTTAGACATTTTGATATTTCCTTCAGCCAATTACATATCCCAAACCCATTTTTGAAAGTTTTGTTAAAGGGTGTAAGAGCATGTGACGACATTAAAGATTATTCATTTAGCAGGGACTACCAGCAAGTGAATTATAGGTTTTTTAAGAAATATTATTTTTTAGATCAAGCAAACATACTTGCTTCCTAACGTAGAACTACAGCAGTGATTATAAACGATATCCCAAAAGGAAAATCATCAATTTTTTTTGCCTCGTCTAAGAACTAATCTTTTACGTAGCAGCGCGTAAATTAAGTTCAAAAATTTTCAGCGGATAAAATTTAGGATGATAAACTTTGGCAAAAGTATTTTTGGACATGTTTTTGGCATTTTGGACAAACAAATTTTCGCCCAAATTTTGACCAGTCTTTTAGATGTTTAGAGCAAATTCGAAGCAGGTTATTATTTCACACATATTTTAAAGATTGTTATTAAACTCTTGAGAAACTTGTAAGTGACTCTGAGTTCTAAAAATTTGATATTGCTAAGAAACTTTCAGTACCGAACATTCAGTGACGGTGATTTTTGATAGAGAACAAGAAAGGTGATTTCATTTGATTTCAATTTGAGAATGAGAAAGATGATTTCAATTAGCAGTACGTTAGTTTTAAAAGATTTTTGCCGATCTTTTCATGTTTAAAATTCTACCTTTCGGTTCGTTTTGTTTTGTGGTGGAAAAAGGATTCTGAGATCAATTGATTTCTGTTGCTACAGTCAATTTACATTGCGCTTGCGCAATTTATACGAAACCTTTCTGCGTGACAAATTTTTGAACATCTCTAAATTTTGTACAAATACATTTTCAGCCGAAATTTTGTGCACTTTATGTAGGGCAGACAACTTCGCTCATGCCTCCATCTTCTTGAATTTCTTTTTATTTTCATTCAATTCCCATTCAAAAGTGTTAGAAGATTTCTTCTTTTCAATTCTCTTTGCACTTTAAAGCAAATAGCGTCACAGGCCAATAATCGCAGTAAATTTGATGATGTAAATTAATTTCTTGCGAAATGACATTACCGCCTCCCTTGATTCAAAAGACTGTTTTTTGCATGAATATAAGAGTTGATTTGCTTGGGAATAATTTTTCCAATGTTGAGGCAAGAAGGTTTGTGAATATGATATAAACATAAAGTACAAAGTAAGAGGAGAAATTTGACACTGAAAAATGGCGCCAACATTTCTAGAAATTTCATGGATGTTTCCGACAAATGAATTTTCAGATTTTTTTCTCTTTTAATCTCAAATTTTGCTTTCCTCGAAATGTTGTCAATATTCATTTGCTCTAGGGATGCCATTCTTATGACAAAGAAGGCTGTTAGCGAATTCAAAGCCCTCTGCAATGAGCGGAGTTCAACTGAACCTCTGGCTTCAGTCTCTTTTCGCCTCCCAAACCACCAATGGCAAACTATGTATCGATTGTCCGGCAAAGGCAAATTAACACTGCTTTCACGCGACTCAAAGATTTCTTGGCTTTCCCGGACCAACTTTCATAAACAGATGTTAACAGTTGTTACAGTAGAGGACCCACCATTTGTAGAAAAGGCATCTAATAAGGATATTGATAGAAAAACCCGTTCATGTACTCAAGGCCTTTTGTGTAGATTTAAGGAAACAACTAGCAACGGAACAACATGGGAACGAACATGCTGTGTAGGGCTCATGATGGATCTGCTTAAACGACTACAAAAAGACTTATCATTGTCAATAGATCTCTACCTTGCTGAGGATGGTTATTACGGGAGCTTTGAAAATAACACTTGGAATGGCATGATCAGGGACCTTATAATAAGAAAGGCAGAAATGATAATGGGCCCGATTACAGCCACAGAATCACGATCGGCTGTGGTCGACGTTGGTGAACCAATGTTTCATATATCCCTTGCAATATTGCTCCTCCAACAATATGAGACCGAACTGTCTTTCCTGAACTTCAGCTTTGTAAACAATGTTGATGGAGATCTATTATTGGTTCTTCTAGCAATGTTTTTGTTTGGATTTTGCTTCATTTATCTCTTGGAAAACACGCTATTTTCTAAAAAAGACGAGAGTTCAAAGAGGAGTTATAACCTTAAGGATGGCTTCGCGTACGTTTCGGGAATTACGTTTCAAAGAGATCTTGGTGGAAAGAGCCCAAAAAAAAGTTCTGCAAGGATCAGTTTTGTCGTCTTTGCTTTTGCAATGGTGATTATCATGTCTACGTACACGGCAACTCTGACAGCTGTAAAAGTGAAACAAGAAAATTTGAATGTTTTTGAAGGAATGCATGATCCTAAGGTACAGATTTATTTTGGTGCTGTTTGGAACCTTTATTTACAAATAACGGTGGTCGTTGTTTTTCGCTTTTTTGAAAAAATTAAATGATCTCTGCTCTTTGGAAATGCCACCTAGAAATATTGAAAATTTTGTACCTTATTGTCCTTAATCAACAAATGGGTAAATGGGTTAATTGGGCCATAAAGTTATGGAACCAAAGCTGGCAAAACCCGCAAAACAACTTCATCATTCTGAATAGCAAGCGGTCAATGTGTACACTTTTCCTTCAGAATTCACACAGGTGGCTTAATTCTCCATTGCCTACCATGAAAGAGATCTGTGCGTCATAAATTAGCACTTAATTTATCCCTTATTCATGAACAATGCCACTTGTAGGATAATCCTTGTATGCTGAAGGTGTTTGAGTAAACAGCTATCATTATGAATTCAACTTCTATGATACTTATACAAACCTACAATGCTTGCCAAATATTTTTTAGAGTACCAACGTTTCCAACGTTAATTTCAATCAACCCTATTTCCCCCTTAGAACAATATATTTTCAATATGCTAATTAGTATGTCATGTTTTTCATATGTTAACTATTTCTTTTCGATGTTTGATCCGATTCTGTTTGTTTGCTACCATTTCACTATTTCTTTGACTTTATTAATCATTTATTTCATAATTTGTGTCATATGTTATGCGTGCGCCATATCCTTTTCCCTTCGTTGTACATTCAGTCGAGTTTCCAAGTTGCCGTAGACAAAATTCGTTGAAGGAGCACTTAGCGTGCACATAATTTGTAGTGAACTCAAAGTTCTGTCGCATTAACTCGTGGTTTGATAGCTTTTGGCTGCCGCTAATTTTGATGCTGCTTCTGAGTTTGTTTACAGTAATTTTGATGGTACGTTGCAATGGAAACTTCTAAAGGAATAGAGCAAAATTTTTGACTTTGATCTTGTTAATTCAGTTCATTATTTTCACGTAAGATAAATGTAATTATACAATACGATAAAGCATCATTTACAAGCATGAAGCTTAAACACATATGACGATGGCAATGTCGAAAGAGACACAATTATATGACTTGTAATTATATGACTTGTGAACAACAGATCGAGTTCGTAACTTGAAGTATAATTGTTTGCTTTGTAAATGTGCTTTAGTTTAAAACAGGCAGATAGACTTGTAATTCAACAACACAATCACCGCATACTTTTCTCGCAGTTTACGAATCCTACAAACGATTTCAAGTTTGCCACAATTGCTAGTACAAGTGTTGCAGAATATTTCCGACGTTCAACCAGCGAACACTTTAGACGCATGTTTACGTTCATGAAGAAATACAATCTCAAATCCACTAGAGAAGGTGCAATGAAGGTTCTCAATGGGTATGTTTTAACTACATATCTCTTTGATTGCGACAAGGTTTTGTCAATTAATTGTATTTTCCCACCAATATTCAAAAGGGTTGATAATCAAAATTTGAGAACCAGGTTTATCTATACCTTGTCTGTTAATATTTGCAATTCAAGTTCTATGCAAGGCTATAGGAATCCTTTCTCAGCCTTTTTAAATAGACAAAAATAACACGAGCGTGCTTGATAATTCATCGGACATGACCCTCTGCCCCCTTTCATCTATGCAATTAGGCCGGTTGAGAAATGTATGATCATGTTAGTATGAGCCTTTGCTTCTTGAATTACTTGTGGTTATACTGTGTCTCTTTGCATTCAAAATATAGTCTTTATTCATAATATATTTCTTAAAATATATTTCTACTCCAGAGAACTTCAGGCTTTTATCATGGAGTATCCCATGGCACAATATTATGCTGGTAAACAAAAAGACTGCAGACTTAAAGTGATTCCAACAAACCATGGGAAAGGAACATGGAATGTTTTTTTCAGCCGTGGCTCTTCTTGGAACGGTTTAATTTCAAGAAAAATCTTGGAATATAAAGAAAAAGCTATTCTTGCTAGTGATTACGAGAGGTGGATGCATAGCAAGTGCTCATCAGAGACTGGAACAACAGTTACAAATCACAAATTTACAATAACCCATTTCGGAGGATTGGTAGTGATTCTATCTTTGTCATTCCTTGCTTCATTAGTAGTTCTTATGTTTGAGAAACTTTTCTTTATGAGAAAAGAGTGTTTACAAAAGTATTCTCTACATGCTTCTGAATAATTATAACTGTCGTCAACATGGCCTATTTGAAGGGCAATTAGCTGTGAGGGCAAACTTTTAGTTTTTCAAAGAGGAGTACATTTGCCTATCGATTAAAACAATGGAAAGTCACTGGGGCTGGAGGGGCAATTGCCCTCCCCCTAGTTAGTTTGCTAAAAAGGGCGCTGGTCCTCAGATGCTAAGAATACAATAAACGGTATTCTTCTGACATAACAATTGTGACTGTGAGAGAAACTAAACCGTTCCTGAACTGTGACCACCATCATTTATTCGATGCCAACATCAACAACCGAGCATATATAGTATCGGAGTAATATTAAATGTCTGTATAATGCAGGGACATGGTGTCAAATAGAGTTATCTGTATAACATGTAGATAATGTACGATATAATTAACGATTACATCTGAAAATATATGGTAAGCACTGCTAAGTTATGTAACCTTACTCTATGTTAAATGAAGTTGTAGTTTTTAATACAAAGCAATGGAAAATAACAATTAAATATTGATAAATTTTCTAACATTTTCTACTCTATGGCCTCAATTTTGAATCTCAGTATTTGGTTTTTATAATTAGAATAAAAACAGCATGAAATGGTTTGAAAATAGTAAAAAGTCATATCTAGCATTAAGGCAGAGACAATGCTTGTAATATGTTAGATCTAATGAAAATGCACCTGTTCTCAATTTTGTACCTAACTATTGTTATAAAGCTTAATTTGTGTAAGCTGTATTGAACATTTGTGCTGATAAATTTACTTAACAAAATTATCAGCTGATCGTACTATAGATGCCATACCTTTTGCATTAAAAATACTTTGATTTTTTTGCTGATTCATGCCACCTTCAAACTAAAAATTCACCAACTTCAAGAATTTTCCCTTGGGTGCATGGCTCCCACTGTCCTGATTGGTTTTTACAAGCATCCGTCAGAAATAATTCCTTATTGTAATGTATACATAGTATGTATGTCTTTTTCTAGTACACTCTTTTTTTATAAGAGCCAGTAAATTTAAGTTCAGGCTGACTGTTCTTAATTTTTTCGAAAATCCGAGGCTAGATTGTTCTTAATTTGTTCTTAAATTAATAGGATGCAAGCAGGGCAATTGGTATCTTATTCACTCTAGAGAGGTATTGAGGCCTCATTTGCCAACAAAGTGAGTGAGACAGCCTTTGTTTGCCGACAAGTTTGAGTATTCGCCGAAAAAGCACCCACACATGGCTAAAAATCTTCGTTTTTGAAATGAAACGTCGTTCAAAATTGCATTTTACAGACTCAGGTTGCTCTTAATTTGTTGTTAACTTCTGACCAATTTTGAGGCTCGTGTTCTTATAAAATTGTTCTTATTGAAAAAAGAGTGTATCGTAATTGACTCCTGTCTTCATGTGTATTGCAACTTGAGTTTGGTTGAGTTTGGCAGAAAGTCTCCCAAATAATAATAAAAGAGGTTAATGGCTAGAATTCCCCTAAAAATGGAAGCAGAAATACAGGGGCGTTGGGAGTGTGTGGTGTGGGGAGAGGCACCCCGAATCTTCGGCAAACTTGTAATACAGCCAGGGCCGTCGAGAGACGGGCCGGGCCCCAGGGCTGGGACTGTCATGGGGCCCCACCGTCGAAGGCTGCAAAAACCTTTTTTGGATTACGCCCTTAGCAATGCAGTTAGATGGACTGTAAAAGACATGAATTTTGAAATCAACGCCCCTGGAACACTTGAATTTGTATTTTAAGGCCTTTAACAGAACATGTAATTAGTGACTATATAAAAAAAATCATCAAAACAAATCAGTTTAAAAATCAGAGTTAATTTAATGTTTAAAAAACTGCTTTTCTTGCTTTCCTCATGGCGGAATCCTTAATCTTTTCCCACAATCTTTTCCAGCTGTCGTTCGCTCCCCAATCATCAGGAGAAGCCAATTTTGATTTTGAACCATTATTAATAGTGTGCTCAAAGAACCTGCATGGCAAACAATAGAGTGCAGCCTTTGTAGGACTGAAAACAAGCTAGCTTCTTACTACCTCCCCATTTTGCTGCTTCACATTTAGGACCGTTGTTGGAAATTTGTGGCCGTCGCAATCTTTGGGAAACTCTGGAGAATGAGGCAAATGACCAGTTCTAACAACCTTTTCTAACTCCTTTTTCGTTGGAAATCCGGTCAATGTGCCGACATCAAAACTAGATGATCCACTATGAACAGTATCTTGATTTAATGACAAATCGGTAGTGCTTTCTCTACTTTCTGTGGTGTCATGGTCTCCTGAAGCAGCCAAGCCGTCTGTGTCTTCTTCTTCTTCAGCAGTGCTTCGAACAGAGCTTTCACCAGGTTTATTTAAAGTTGAATCACCTTCCTTGTCTCTTTTGTAAGCACCTACCTCAAACAATGTGCGAGAGGCCTTCTTTGCTTCTTTTTCTCGTATCTTTTTTACCTGCCTTTTCTGAGCACCAGACGTGTGCCTGTAAGATAACATCGCAGGGGTTGCTTGGATCGTGATCCCGTTTAGTGATTTTGATAAAGACTTTTATAGCGTTTGGATTTGTCTTGGTTCTTCGCATGTGCTTTCTCTCTGGTCTACACCGTGAATGGAAGATTTACTTTTACGTTTATAGGAAGTCCACACAAGGAATAACTAAAACATCTGACCTAAACATGGGCTCCGACAAAGGTTGAAAAGTGGGGGGCCAAGGAAAAATTTAACACCCAAAACAAAAGATTTTGAAAGAAACTCTATTGTTTTGCCAAGGCCCCCCTGACCCCCTCCTTCGTTGGGGGCCCTGCTAAAAGTAGATTTATGTAAGTGCAATCGAATTTTTCGGCTTCCGGAGAAGTATATTATGATCGTATCGGCAATGTTTTAATTATAAACCATAACAAGAAAAGGCCCTCGTCATAGACCAGCTTGTTGATCCCATGTTGAAAGATTAAAGTTCGAATATCAATCGGGTCATGGGCCCGCCCTGCCAATGCTGCTAATTGAAAACTCATAGCCAAAAATACATACCTTATTTTCTACGGGCCCTCAAGCCCTGGCCCCCTGGAACTCCTTTACCCCCCCCCCCCCCCCCTTCGACGTTCCGTGAATACAGCAATACCCCAGTATCATAATCATCTTCCTTCTTCGCTCGTGCAAAAGGTTTTTGTCCGACAAGAATAGGAGCCATTTTTGTGCCTTGACCGGCGAAATCCCTCGCGACCTTCTTCATCGATTGATTCAAGCTATCCAACCTTTTTTTTTTTTTTGTGACTTGGAAAAAAAAAAAACAAAGGAAATTGCAATAAAAACCGGCGTTAGACCAAATATATTATCCCGAGAGAATTTTCCACTCTTGGGCTCGCCCAAACAACGTATGAAGTAATCAAAATGAGACACAACAATGCTTCAAGACCGCCTACAAATTAGAATAATCTAATCGTATTGACTTACATTTTACGCTCTCAAACAGTCAAGAAACAAATGCTGAAGAAATTATGATAATCTACTCATGTTGAATGCTTCAATATTTTGTCTAAGTCTCATTGAGAAAAAGGTAAGTCATTAGAAAATAAATATATATCCGCCAAAATGTCACAGCAGATTGTTAAGTGTCTGTCGCTTTCATGCATGCTTCGATCATTTAAATCTGGTACACCCTGGCCGGCTTAACAGCTTTACATTTTCACTTGGGTAATACAAAAATTAGGAAAAACTCCCTGTTTATTTTAAAGTCGGGATTTTCTATTCTAGTTTTGTATAAATGAAGAAAAGTGTGTCGTGTTTGTGGTTTCTACAACTGGTGATGGAGAACCCCCTGATACTGTGAGAAAATTCTTCAGAAGAATTAATAAAAAGACTCTTGCTGATAGTTATCTGTGCAACCTAAGATTTGGATTTCTAGGTAATCAAAACTTATTTATTTGTATTTATTTATTTCTAAAACTTATTTAAATCATATGCTTATTTACGTTTAATATATATATATATATATATTATAAATATATCTACCTATAAATCTATTTATAAATGTGGATGTTATATTATATAATATAATTCTATATTGCATGCTGTGCCCAAATATTGGCCTAAAGAGGTTGAACACTCATTCATTGTAGGGAACATTGCACAAAAGAGTCATGTTATTTCTTAAGTTCCACAATGGCCGCTAACAGATTTTGATGAAACTCCCTTACCCCATTAGTAGCTAAGTGCTGCTCACTTACACACAAATGAATTTTTGGAGGATGCCTTATGAGATCAAGACTTTTTTTGGCAGTTACAGAACTTGAAAATGGATTTGAAAAAAGCAAAAATTTCACAACTACTGAAAGCTTTTTAGTCTGACACTCCCCAGAGTATAAAATGCAGAATAAGGGTACAAAAGAACACAGTGGAAAATATATAACCAGTTGTGGATTAAAATGGCCAATCAGAAAAATGCAAGCACATGACCAGCATAGTTATCCAATCAGTGCTTCGTCCCTACAGAAAAATTACCACAGGAATCCAAGAGAGAAAACAAACTCCTTCTGTCTACACAATGGTGGCTTTTTTGTTTGTATGTAACAAAAGCAATCTGCGATGTCTAACAGGTGTTGTCCGATGGCAAAGTCACTAGTTTTTGCTGTGTTTTTAGACCTACAAGGTTGAGGAGGCTGCTCTTTTTGAGTTGCAGTTTGAGCAGCCTGTTTTTGTTTCGTATGTTGGAAGGAACATGCTGTTTTATCCTACCCCCAATCTTCGAGTTGTGCATCCTACATAGTGAGAGTCACGCTGACACCTAAATTCATAAACAACAGAACTCTTTTGGGTGGTAGGAGCACAATCTTTTTGAATGGATGGAAGGGCTCTCCTAGTACCGTATACAATACAAGGATTGATAGCAAAAAACATTCAATGATGGCCTGTTTAATCAATTTGTATAACCATATAGCAAACTGCCTAACCAAATTTTTTACGTTTAAATCCTGAAAGTAAAGACCACTGATCATATTAAGTCTTGAGGACATTCTCAGAAAGCATAATATAAAATGCATGGTTAGTAATATTTTGACCTTCAAATTTGTCAAATCTGATGATTTTATCAGAAAGAGCTTTATGTGATCTGATCTATAAGCAAAAAGTTATAGCTATCGAAATGCTTTGTAAAAAACCTTCTTCTTTAGGTATAATGTATTTATGATATAATGTAGTTTGAAGTACAATTTTTCACTGGGGTGCTTGTCTCCTATTACGTGTTACACTATAATGTTTTAATTTTGCAAGTTACACAACTGAAAATTCATTTCCTGGTGTAATTTGACATGCTGGATAAAATAAGATACAAGTCAAACTTTAAAACATCACAAAAAGGTATTTTTAGACTTTGGGACTGGTACCCCGCTTTACTTTCAACTTTCAACAAGCTTTTATGCCTTTATTGCGGAGAAAGAAAGAGAACAAAAGACAAAGTTACTCATACAGAGGGAGTAGCAGATAGTGCATTTCCACATATTGAGCGTGATCAAATGAAATTTGTCTTCTTATTTTCCATTATTTTTTTACTGTTTTTGCAACAGGATGAAATATATCAGTGTTTGAGCTGCATGTTTGAGCTGCATGAAAAGTTGAAGCTGAAATCAGGCACGGTATGCCATTCAAACCAAGAAGCACATATTCTGGCTGACAAGGCACGTCCGTGCCTGTATGCATGTTAAATTAATCCATGTGCACAAGTCAGCAGTTATCACCCACCCACTGGGCTCAAAATAGAAAAAAAGCAAAATAATTGACAGTGAAAGTGAATGCTCCATAATGATTAGAGAAAGTGTCTGGCCAATGAATATTTGACCCAAATCCATTGCCCTTTGTTTTTTAGGGAAAAGTAGTTACATTAGAATAACTATGAAAGTGTTTCTAGGCAAATGAGTTATGCAGTTATTTTTTTTTATATCTCTCTTAGCACTTGGAGACAGTAATTATACAAATTTTTGTAACTGTGGTAAAAGTATTGAAAAGAGAATCCTTGAACTAGGAGCAAAGCCATTTTACCCAACAGGATATGCAGATGATGCTGTTGGGTATGTGAATTTCAATTTTTCTATCTTGTCCACTTTGAAATGAGAATTGAAACATGCTCATGTATAAAGTTCAAATAAGTTTATAACAAAACAATTTCTAAAACTTTGGTCAAACAAGCTTTGTAGAACATCTAATAGCCATTGCATTTATTCTTTTAGACTAGAACTAGTAGTTGATCCTTGGATTGAAGGATTGTGGCCCTCTCTGCTTAAACATCTTGGAAAAAGTACCCAGGCTGTTGAAATTCATTCAGTTTTTGTAAGAAGTCAAGAAAAAGGAGAGGACAGAGCTGTAGAAGACAACAATAAACCAAAGAGTTTGGTTGATTTGAACAGCAAAAGTGGAAAGGCAAGGGAAATTGATTCCATCTCAAACAATTTAGAAATGGAATCTGACAATATTAAAGAAAGTGGCACACCTATGAGTGCAAAGAGAATTTGGAGTCAGCCTAGTCAGGATTTAATTGGAAAAGGTATGCCACTTTATTTTTAACAATTTACCAGAATGTTTGTTTGGTTTGTTTTAACAGCTGTTGAAAATTTGCATTGCTATATTTTGGGGAGTATACTTGAACACATCATTGAAAGTGCTGGACTAAATTATCATTTACCTTTTTTTGCAGGCTTGAAAGTTCCTCTTTCTCCTCATCCATTCCTTGAATTGGACTTCCAGCCTGAAGCTTCTGTTGTAAGTATTCGAGTAATTTCAATTAACCATTGCAGAATACCAGAAAATACCTACTTTTTCAAGCTGATGTTACTTCCTTGGTCCACTTAAGGAGTATGTTCAAATATAAAAGCGAGCTATTGATCTCTCTAAAAAGATGAAAGATAAGATTAATCCTTCAACAAATATTATTATCCTCAATGGCTCATTATTTTTCTTTATTATCACTGATCCAGTGCTCTCTGCTTTATATAGCCTTATGTGTTACCTCACATAACATCTCACCATTTTCTGGAAAGAACTATCTTCTGATACCTCTATGGAAATTCCTTTATGGAAAGGCCAGTTGATATGGCTCAGTAGTGTTTAAGTAACTCCCATTTCTACAATGATGCCATGAAAAGAAAGCCAGATTCTTCATCCTGTAGTTTTTTTTGTGTTAAAAAATATATGGAATTTGCCAACTGCTTTTTTAACATCAGGACATACAAAACTTGCCACTGCACAACAATGCAACTTTCCAAGCTGCAGTTTCAGATGTAAAAATGGTGAATATAGTGAGAGCTGAGCAACTCACTACAGATGATGCTGTGAAAACAGCTTTAGAGCTAGAGATTGATGTACAGGTAAGTTCACTGGATCTAATCAACTTGTAACAGTAACAACAAATAAGCTGGACAAGGTATTCAGGATTTGTTGTATTGTCTTATAGCCATCTCATGAAACTACATGTTCAAGCTTTCCAAATGACAAATCCTAAACTGTAATCTAAATTTAAACACATAATACTCTTGAAATATGTTACTTAATCAAGTATATCTTTATGGTCCTTTTATATTTTCTTTAAGTTGATTCAATAAAGACTGTGACTCTCTTTTGGCAGGAATTGAATATTACTTACGAGCCTGGCGATACATTTGGTATTGTATGCCCTAATGAAGACAAATCTGTAGAAGACTTAATCTCAAGGTTTTTATTTTCGCACAATTTTCTGCTTTTGATTACAAAGATGCATTTAATTTACATTTGTCAATGAACCACAAATTATTTTCTTCAGATTTTTTCAGGAATTTAGACTAAAATTTTTGTAACACAGGGCATACCATCATGAACTCTATGTCTTTTTCTGATTAAATTATGATTCGAATGACATTTCACTGTGATTGCACTTTTGCATTTTAAATTAAGTATGTTGTCATTGATGAATGTTTGATTGACTCCATGACTCACCTAAAACTAGTTATTTTATTTTAAGATTAAATGTGTTTTTGTGTGCTTTGCATCATGACTGATTCAAACCTTTTCATACTTTATAGAATAGGAATTAAAGCTGAAGCTGATATTCCAATCAGTTTGAAGATCCTTGCAAACACAAATAAACGAAGTCAGTACCAGATACAATATATTCGTTAACATGTTCTTAAATAATGAAACGCCCACTACTTTTTAAATGACGCCCACCAACTTGGTTTGTTTTGTAAAATTTTGATATAAAGTAAAGCAACCATTGAAGCAGTCAGTTTCATTATAGAGAACCGAGATGTGAAAAAAGATAATGCAATTTATCATATTCTACTTTATTTGAGCACACATTAAATTTTGTGTCACTGTCAATAATTTCAATCTTTAGATGCTGCAGTGCCCGAGTACATGCCAAACCCGTCAACACTGAGACATTTGTTACAGACTTGCATTGATATCAAGGCTGTTCCAAAACGGGTAACAAACTTTCTAATTCATTGATTTGTTTGAAGAAGCAGCACGGCAATCGAAAACATACCATGCTTGAATACTTTTTGCATGACACTTTTAGGAACATAAGCGACTGATAATGATTAAAAAAGGTGGTACTCAACCGAGGATCGAAAGTAACGTGCGTGTGATTTGATCCTTGTTTTGACAAATCTGTGAACGCTAACCTTTAACCTAATTAAAGATGTTGTGTAGGACGAAAATTATGGCATGTTCCGCTTTACCGTCCTATCTTCATATTTTGAGGTACTAAAGGCTAATTCGCCACTTGTTTGTGTTTTTTGTTTTTTATTAAGCCAAAAGAAGAAGATAACCAAAGAACAAACTATGTTTTAGGTTTACTCTTTCTATTTTTCTAAAGTTAAAGTAATAGTAGGTACAAAATTTACTTGCTGAATGACCCAGAAAATGAAAGTTTGTCCAAGTGAGAAGATTGCCAATCTAAGTGAAAGTTGCAAGTAGACAGTTTAATCGACAAAGTGACAAACTTAATCGACAGGTCGAGTTTAAAAAGTGCAGACAGTATAGCGTAATGAAGGGTTATCACGTTTCAGTTAAAATTAACAGTATCGTCTTTACTAGATGCAATGTTTTGAAATGTTACATGATACCAACAAGATATTTACAAACAAGTCTGTTCTTAGTGTTGATATCTTTATAATTGATGGGAGAACGCCACACTAAAACGGAGCATGTCAGCCTTAAATTGAATAGACAAAGGTGAATAGGACCGAAAAGATGAATAAGCGATAAAGTCGTGTTTCCTTTTTCAGGCATTGATCAGAATGCTTGTTGACTACACAGACGATGCTGATGAAAAGAGGAGGTTACAGGAACTTTGCAGTACTCAAGGTTGCTCAGAATTCTTTAATCTTTGGATTTTTAAGTGGCACATTTTGCTGCTCGTTAATCAAGATGTTTTATGCATAGTATTATTCATAGAGATGCCACTTGCAGCCATAGTCAATGCAGCCTTGACCTGATTCGATGTGACGTGGCGCGATGAATTGATTAAGATTGGAAAGATTTGAACAGTAACATAAACAGATAGAAAGCCACCTTTGTCGATATCTTCCCTAGACCAAACACAAAAAGTGGAAAAGTGTATCTGTCGTTTGATTTTTCCTGTTAATTTTGCGTAAATTAGTCATCTCACTAGTTTTTTTCAAGCCATCCTTCTGTCGTTATTCTAAACCAATGGTGCGATAGAGCTAACAGTTATTGTGTTTGGATACCATTTTCTCAGTTTGACAAAAATTGTGCTCGTCTTTTTATTCTAAGGATATTCTTTATCATAGGCAAGGTACATCTGAAGGATTCAATTTTTATGAAAACTTTATATGATAACTGATAAGAATCATTTTAATTTTAATTTTTGTTTGTGTGCGGTATATTGCCTAAATGGAGATAAACTTCGGACTGGGTAAAAGTTCCAGACATACGTACATTTCTTTTGCCGAAGCGTGTTTTTATTTTTTCATGAGATGCATAGCATAACAAACTGTTTCTATTTCAGTGTTATCAATTTATCAAATCCAGTTTTCATTTCTAGGTGCTAATGATTATATGACATATATTCGCGAACCATACACTGGTTTGATGGACGTTTTGAATGCCTTCCCTTCCTGCAATCCGCCAATCCAGAGATTACTCGGTAAGCAGTCTCTATATGGCTCTTATTTTCCGCGTCTGTCGTCAACAAAGACTTACATGTTTTAGTTTCAAATTACAGAAGAGACGAATGAGAAGATCTTCGATCCAGACCCGACAAACTTTCTTCTATATCATCTGTTATTGGAATAGAGAAGATGATAGTCTATGTTAAAAAGAAAGCCATAATTTTGCACCAAAAGCTGGCTATGCATCTTAATTTTTATTTTTAAAGTATTGCTTTTTCTTCCCTTGCAGAACTTCTTCCAAGATTGCAGCCAAGAGCCTATTCAATTACAAGGTATTTGCTTGAGAAGAATAATTTCAATTATCAGCTTACGACAGGGGTTATCTGCAGAACTGGTACAGAATAATTCTTAATTATTCGTACTATCCAATTTTAGTTGATTTTTGTCACCATTTTTATCAAATATGTGCTTCCATTTCCTTGCAGCTCGCCACTTCAAAATAAAAGGACAGTAAAATTCGTTTTCAACGTGACCATAATCAATGGTCTTGATGGAGTTACAGTAGATCGGTGAGTACTTACTGTGATTACTCAACTCTATGTTGATTATTTTGTAGCCTTACTAGAGTATTTGTCATAACTTTTTTGGAGCATCATCTCTTATCGTTGAAAGATATCGTTTTTTTATTTTATTTTCATTTCGAGCAACAAGTCTCGTTTTCGTCCGAAATTTCAACAGCTGCTCATCGCCTTTCAACGGCAACATCATGAAGCTTTTAAACGCTAAAGAGTGGTTTATTATTGGAGATGGCCGCTAAAATGCGCAGCTTTATTTTTTGCTCCAAGTATCAATATAGGATTTCGAATGGAAATACATTGAACTATTACGTTCGCCTGACATTTGCTATTGTCTCTTTAGGACTGGATTGTGTACAGGATGGCTAGAAAAGCTAACATCAAAAATAAGGTGCACAAACTGTAAGAAATGTGATGGGTGTGGCACTGTAGAGTTCGAAGATCTTGGCAAACAAGTTCAAAACCTCAGTATTCGAAATGACCTCAAGGTAAATCATTTTTCGAGAGAAAGACTTAGCCAGTGGCTGTTGATCTTTATCTTACTTTTATATAGGCTTATCTCGAGCCTGATATCAGGGGTTTAATAAAGGAGATCCATCTCTTTTTATTTTCTTCGTCGTGCCAAGTTTCCTTTATGCGCGCGGCATAACACAAGTTTCAAGTTGCCAGTGAACAAAACTGTCCCATTATCTTCAACCCTCTTTGATCTTTTTCACTCCTAGATTCCTGTGTACTGGCGGCGAGGCACAAATTTCAAGTTGCCAGTGGACGAAACTGTCCCAATGGCTTTCAACTCTTTTTATTCTTCTTCACTCCCAGATTCCTGTGTACTGACGGCATGGCACAAGTTTCAAGATGCCAGTAAGTGGACGAAACTGTCCCAATGGCTTTCAACTCTTTTTATTCTTCTTCACTCCCAGATTCCTGTGTACTGACGGCATGGCACAAGTTTCAAGATGCCAGTAAGTGGGCGAAACTGTCCCAATGGCTTTCAACTCTTTTTATTCTTCTTCACTCCCAGATTCCTGTGTACTGACGGCATGGCACAAGTTTCAAGATGCCAGTAAGTGGGCGAAACTGTCCCAATGGCTTTCAACTCTTTTTATTCTTCTTCACTCCCAGATTCCTGTGTACTGACGGCATGGCACAAGTTTCAAGATGCCAGTAAGTGGACGAAACTGTCCCAATGGCTTTCAACTCTTTTTATTCTTCTTCACTCCCAGATTCCTGTGTACTGACGGCATGGCACAAGTTTCAAGATGCCAGTAAGTGGACGAAACTGTCCCAATGGCTTTCAACTCTTTTTATTCTTCTTCACTCCCAGATTCCTGTGTACTGGCGGCGAGGCACAAGTTTCAAGATGCCAGTAAGTGGACGAAACTGTCCCAATGGCTTTCAACTCTTTTTATTCTTCTTCACTCCCAGATTCCTGTGTACTGGCGGCGAGGCACAAATTTCAAGTTGCTAGAGGACGAAACTGTTCCAATAATAATGATCGGACCTGGAACTGGTGTTGCTCCTTTCATCAGCTTCTTATGTCACAGGTATTGTTTATAAAAATTTCTCTCTTGTATCGAAAAAATATTTATGTATAGGATTTTTATTTACTGATTTTTAGTATTCACTTTCTTTGGCTTTCTTTATTTCTTTTCTAAGACAAGTTGTTGGTGAGTCCTTCAGTCAGTTTGAAGCGCTGTTACTGTAATCATTTGGCTTTATATCAATCGTCTTAAATTTATCAGAATCATCTTTTGTAAGACAAGAGATCATTCGGATGGGTGGCCCAATCCTTTGAGTGCTTTTGCTATAAACGAGGAGAGACATAACTTTGTGAAACGGTTAAAGAAAAGAAAAGATTCATAAATTGTTAGGCTTAATGACATGTTAGTTTTGAAAAATTATTTTCTTTAAGGATTAGCTTGAGTAGCTCGATATGCGTAGGTAACTTTGGGTTGACTGCATCGCTGTCGTTTTGCCAGAAAAAATGAATTCTTTTGGTTGAGAATCCAAGTCCATGTCTTATTTGATATCATGTTTTTTTTTAGAGAAATGCAAAAGAAATTGGAGAGCTCAAAAGAATTCGGACCAATGGTTCTATTTTATGGATGCCGTCATAAAGAACGAGACTTTCTGTACAGGTGATAATGTTGGAATAGATTTTGCTAAGAATGCAAACGACTTGATTTTGACCCTTAACTGAGTTTCTATTGCTTCCTACTTACATATTGATAAAGAAAAACTAATAAATTCTATGCTGTTTCAGGAAGAAGATTGAATCGCTGTTAGAGCAAAAAATTCTGACCAAGCTGTTTACTTCTTTCTCACGTGATGACCCATGTGATGCGGATGCTCCACGCTATGTTCAAGATAACCTAAAATTGCAGAAAGATTTCATACTGCCTTTGATATCAGAACAGAAAGCAATTGTTTATATTTGTGGGTAAGTTTTCCATTTCTCTCTTTATAGATAAATAGTATTTTATAGATGAATTTAAAAACATTTTGAATGGGGTAACAGCACTAGCTATTATCCTAGCCAATTATGAATAATTTATATTACTGTTATCATTCATCTCACTTGTGTTTAAAGCTACAATTTACTTAAGGAAAGGCTGCCAGATTCCTGTCTCTCTATCTTCTTTCTGACAAAGATGTATTGTCTTTCCTCCCCGTGGGTCTTTCTAATGGCCACCATTTCGCTGCCGTTTTAGGGATGCAAAGAATATGGCACGAAATGTTCACGAAACGTTCACTGACTTGTTCAAAGAACACTTAAACATCACTTCTGCAGAAGCAATGTCATATATCAAGAGACTTAGAGAGGAACAAAGATACCTTGAAGATATCTGGACTTGACTGGAAGCTACATAAAACCTCTTTGTTTCATAGGAAAAATGTAGATGTGGAAATAAAATATTAAATGAAGCTATTCCATAAAATTAGGCATTGCGATGTTAAATATATGACGAGCTTAGATAAAGTCCTACAATTATTTTGTCGTCTTTCCAAAATGCGATATCTCCCTGTTGTCATGTTTCGTTTCATGAAATATTTAGATTTTCTGTTTTAATTATACCTAATCCCGTGCTCATAGAAAGCATGTTTATGTCAATTCTATTGATACTGCTACAACTTTGCCAAATTGAAGACACAAGTGAATATTTATGTGGAAAGTGAAATTGCTGAGTATGGATTCTTTACGCACTAGTTATGAGATTTCATTATTTTGGGTTTATCGTAATCGTTTTATTAACACAAAACGAGATTTTAGAACTTTTTAGTTACATTCGGTTTCTTTGATGGTCAGTTGCGTGATGTTTGTGTTTTTAGGCCAATTCAACAGATTCCTAAGTCACATTGTTTCAGTTTTACTGATATTTCTATTAGGGTCTTGTGAGTTTATAAGTCTTTAGCAATAAAGATTGTAAGAAATTTATTTTGTAATAAAAGCTATCTTGTATTTTAGATTTGGGTTCCTTTTTTAAAGCTGCTCTAATATTTTTTTTATGTTTGGATTCACTGCTTAAGAAAAAAAATTGACATAGGAATGAAGCTTTATGCCTTCGTGTTTAGCGTTTCTTTATTTACGTCATCAGTCACGCGTCAGGTTGCAAGTCATTATGTTTATGTATTTTAGCTGGAGCCCTTTTGCCATGAATCAGCAAAGATGGGGTTTCAAGTTGTTAAGAAAAAGGAGTTTACCCTCTTGGCAACATTGCTAGCCTATGTACCTTGATGGTTGTAAACGGGGCTGTAGGAACTAGGCAACCAGGGGCATATGACGCACAAGTTTGTTTACAATGTCAAGCACGCCCTTAAAGGCAAAAGATTTGCATACGAGGCAAAATTTTTATTTTAGGAAAAACTCGTAGAAAATTTACCTTTAAATGCTGTTGATTTGAATGATATGTAGCAGATAACAGATGGATAAGAAGTAATGGTTTGTTGTGTTCAGAATCGAGGGGCAAATCACTCTTGTAAACAAGGTACGTGATTTCCACCAAAAATGTACGAAATTTTTAGTGGAGTGATTTGCCCCGTGTTCTGAATGTTTTGTTCAGATAGGTTGTCCACCATCCGAGAAACAAATAAAAAAAATTTGCAAAGCCTATGTTGCCGGCATAAAAGCCTGTTTGTGAAAAGGGAACGCCCAGGCTACTAACAGGGACACACACGACAATTTTTTGCTTTGATAGTGGCAGTTTAAAATGTGAAAGCAAATAATGTCACATGTTACCCCTCCCAAAAAGTTTTCTTATCAGATTTCGACAAACTAAAACTGTTTGACTCGACCCCAAGTCCCCTTTCCTGGGCTGCCGCGATTGATGAGAACGAAATGTTCATTTACTATCAATTTCACTTAATTTTGTATAAAGCATATGTAGAAATATCCTCATAAGGTTGTTGGTTCAATGAAGAACCAGATTAATTATTCTCCATGAACAATGCCACTGTTATAGTGACCACCCTTTTCCCAGTCGGTGTTGTAATTAAGTGCAAAAAATGATTTATATCTTTAGAAAATATGAAAAGTGAAAACTCGATAAACCATAATGTAATGCCGTGCCAAAAACTATCCGAAATAGGCAATTGCTTGCTGCAAAGCATTGTGGGCATCTGTAAATGGACAAGATCGTTTTGTAAATGTCATAGCACTCGGGCTCTTTGGTTTTTTGAAAACTTTGATACTTTGAACTACTCTATAATAATATGTCAGATGAAGAATCGAGACACTGTAAATTTTTTAAATACATTTTAGGCTAGAATGACTTAAATCATTCACCAACGAAGTCAGTTGTAAAAAATATAAATTGGTCACATTAAGCTTTTTTAATGGTTCTAGGTGACGTTCAGTCGCTAAAAAATTGTTTAACCTTCATTTCTGAAATTTACTTCTTGATTTCATTGCCCATCATTGAATTCGATTGTAGGGTAATCTAAGGCCGTTAATTATTTTTAGAACGGAAGGGCGAGATCGACAGTCTCGCGGCATATGACATTTACTGTAGTTTGCTGCATTAGTAGGAAGGTGGACAAACTGGACCCGGAAAGTTAGTTTCATCTTCCGATTTATACGTTATTCATTTAATGACCCAAATTAATCGTTAAGGTTATCTTATCTACTTTTGAAAGATTTGAATCGGTAAGTTGCTAGTTACTTCTTCGACTTTATATCGAGTACGGAAATGGTATGCTTCATGATCAAGTAGCACTCAGCTGGATCAAAATAATGGTCGCACTAGTAAGAAAACAACACTACTGTAATTTCTACTTTAATAACTAGAAAATTGAATGCCTTTTAAAGGAAGAAGAAGGGTTAAACTTAAAGAAGTGGAATATTGATACTGTCCTGACCTGTATTTTGCAAATTCGTAACATGAAAATTGCGGGCCTTAACATAGCCTGACTAGGCCAACTGTTTTTCTGAAAAATTGTAAATAGCATCGGGGAGATTGGTAAGGCTGGAAACCTTTAATTTATTTGTTATATGATAAAGTGATTCGATTGCCAGTTGATGAGTCAAATTTTTATGTTAATATCAAAGGTTTTTTGGAAGGCTCAAATAAATGTTCGTGTTTATTTCGACTATTTCAATGTTTGTTTTAAATATGAGCTGAATATGAGCTACATCTCATTCCTAAAAGAAACTTTCATTGCAATCATTTTAGATAAGTCATTCCATGTGGCAACCTTTTTTTTACGTTTGATACAATAAGTCAGAATATATACTTGCTTTGATGTCTTAGTCACGTTAATGAGTATAACTTGTAGAACCCTTCTACTAAATGATCCCATGGTAAAATTCTATGCAAGAAGGAATTTGAAAATTTGTTTAAAAAACACCTGGATAACTGCATATATGTCTCCTTAATGTATATTTAAAAGCCTCTACTAGCCTTTAATTATTCACTAACCTTTTAAGAACACAAGGCTGTCTGATTTTAGAATTAGTATTGTGCTGAGCATAATATTCAGTGCTTTGTTATATATTACCATCATCATTATACTGTCATTATACTTCTACCTTCTGAATGTATATGACAAAGCCTATCTGCAAAGTGCAGAATGAATGCACCTGGTATGGATTTCCACTACAGATGCAAAAGAAACTTATGGGTCACATTACACTATAATGTAGCATGGTGCATGATGTGTCTTGCCAGGAATGAGTCTCATACCCTTTTCACAATTCACTCTATTTTATCTAATTTAAAGCATTAATAATTGACCGTTATCAGGGTGTATAAAATAACTCAAAATTCCTCACTAATGTTTTACAGTATACTGTGACTTTAGTGTCCTGTACTACCCACAATGTTTGGAACATGTATATATGGTTTTTAGGTTTTATTTACTTTTAAACAGCTAATATATAAACCAAAAATACAATTTTGAAGGGAAGCTTGAAAAACAGCTCCTGTTGAAGGGGAGCCTTTCTTGAAAGAATATAATATGTCCTTGCTAAATCAGCAGATTACTTAAAAACATACTGTTCCCACATATCCTGTTTAGAAAACCATCATTTTTTACAAGTGAAGATGTTTGTTAAGGAAGTGGTTGCTTTTTTACTGCAATTGAAACACTTTACATCACTCAGCAATGTGCTTAGTGTGTTGGCTGATTCCAGTTCTAAATACATAGTTCCAAAATGTTGTCGAATATGTTTATTTACTTATAATTTTATCACCAACAATGTTTTTTGGTATTTTTTCTCATATAAACATAAACCTTACTTAAACAGACAGCAGAACTGCCATGTATCAACTTGTGGTTGCAGCTGGATATTCAAACCACAAATGGGCGTGTGATATTTTCTGTAAGCGAGATTTCACAGAGACCATTTAGCTGCTCAGTGCAGAATACAACCGATGGAACTGTTTACAATGCAAATTTTTGTTTCATAAATTTTATTATTTATTAAAAATTCAATTTCTTGTGTGGCGGCACTCAAATTATTTATCTCCTATCTTTTCCAGATGTTTAAAGCAATTTCTTGCAATGACTGTTGGTGAAGATTATCCTGTCAGATAGACAAATCATTGTTAAAGACCAAGAAATAAAGAAGAATGCCTCCACCACCCCCGCCCCCACCAGGACCTCCACCACCTCCTTCAGCTCCATCTGGTCCTGTGAAACCACCATCTGGACCTAAAGCACGGGGTGCTCTCCTTAGTGACATACATAAAGGTGCTAGATTAAAGAAGACAGTTACAAATGACCGAAGTGCGCCAACTGTTGGAAGTTAGTATTTGTTGACATTGCCAGTTTGAAAGTTTTTATCATATTACGCAAAAAATTCTTTCAATGACATAGCAGTGAGAGACCATAAACAAATTAATTTTACTTGTAGTCCTGTTGTTATTTCAACATTTTGGAAAGGCTCTGTTTCCAAGCTAACCCCGTGTTGATTATGCTTATAATCTGTATTGAATATCTAAAACCTAAACATTTTATTATCCAATTTCTAGATGTGAAACCTGCATCAAATGGTCCAAACAGAAGTAATGGGGGAGGTGGATCAGCCCCTCCTCCAACGTCTAGTGGTGCCGGTGGCCTTGGTGGCTTGTTTGCTGGAGGAATGCCAAAGTTGAGGCCAGCTGGAGAAAGAAAGCCACCAGGAGGTTGCCTTTTGATATATTAGTTTCTTTAGTTGTATTTCAATTATTCCTTAGATTTATCTTATTTAAGTTTCAATTTAGAGGCAAACATTAAAGAAACATTTGAAATGCTAATAAAAGTGACTCCAGGAACTGTAGAAAAACCATTTGATTTCTGGTTTAGTTTGAATTATTCACCAAAATTCATTCGAAAGATTTTCTGCCAAACTTTTTCTGAAACTGCAGATTTTGTTAGGTCTGTAGATTCTATTGATAGAGAGACAAGCAGCAGGTTTTTTTAGGGGAGGAGCTTTTTTGTTCCACCCTCTTGGAAAGCTTTCTCTTCAATATCCTCAAATAACACCTTCAGAATTCAAAAGTTTCAGATTGCATAAACAATGTAATCAATAGGGGGCTCCAATTAGAAAAAAAATTAAAAAGAAAATTTTTGAATAGAGGATTTGCCATTTTATTTAAATTTTGTATGTAAAAAGGACAATTACCTGGATTTTGCAAAATAATATGCCAACAGTTTGTTTCCTCATAAAACCTTTTTAATTTTATGGTTATAGATTGAAAGATATATCTTGCCGTTTTAAGTATATATTAAAGATTTTTATAAAATCATTTGCTGTTATGTACAACTGCCATGCCCCATTTGAGGTGTCATAAAGGAACCATATATGCCGTAAATTTTATAGATATTTTCATAACTTTCACTTTTTATTACAATGATAACAGCGACCAAGTTAGGCTATTTTATAATTATGGTGGTGTGGTTGCTTTGTCATTAGTTTTTTATCAATTTACAAAATTACAAGTTGACAACTAGTATGTAAAGTGTAGAATTTTTATCAGTTTTCCAAATTTTCCATTGAATTTTTTTCCTCCAGGAGCGGGTGGACCAGCTTTAAGACCTCCTGGCTCTCGAGGGCCTAAGCCATCAACTCCAAATACATTGCAAAATGGACGCCCTGGCAGCAAACCTCCTGCCTTTAAACCACAGAATGAGACTCCTAGGGAAAATTCGGGTGGAAAACCACAGATGCCAGTTCCAAATGCAAATTCAAAACCTCTTCCCCCAAGACGGACATCATCCGCTTCTGATGTGAAAGGGAGGCCAAATGACATAAATTCTGGGCCTCCACCACCTGCTCCAGGACGGGGAGGACTGCCAGCTCCCCCTAACCATGGTGGACTACCTGTACCACCTACACGGGGTGGATTGCCACCACCGCCACCTGGCAGGAATCTACCTCCACCACCACCAAGCAGGGGAGATACAGGAGGAAGCGCACAACCTCCGCCACCATCACAGACAAAAACACTGCCTGCCCCACCAGGGGGTCTACCTAGGCCATCATCATCACCTCACCTGGCAAATGAAAATAACTCGCGTGGCAAATCAAATGGTCTACCAGCGCCACCTCCTCAAAGAGGAAGGGGATTCCCACCCCCACCGCCAAGCTCTGCAGGACCACCTCCTCCACCACCTTCAAGGTCTGGGCCACCACTACCCCCTCCTCCAGCTCAAACTAATAACATGCCACCACCTCCATCTCGAGGCCCTCTCCCTCCAGCCCCAAATCAGTCAAACCTTGCAAGGTCTGCAAATCGAGGGCCTGGTACTCCGCCTCCTCCGCCAAACAGGCTCAGCAGTGCAACGTTAGAGAGAGAATTGCCACCGCCTCCTCCATCTCGTGGATCAGGCGGACAAAGACCTCCAGCCCCTCCATCAAATAGAGATTTGCCACCTCCCCCTTCAGCTTCGCGAGGACATGCTCCTCCCCCACCTATTTCACGTATTACAGACAGAGAGTTGCCTCCACCGCCAAACCAAAATTTTCCTCCACCGCCGCCAAATCGGTTCTCATTACCTCCTCCTCCTGATGATTTGTTAAATGGTAATTCAGGTAAGTGTCTCTAGGCTTTTATGCAATAGCTTGGCAATTCCTTTTTTTTGATACATGCAGTAGCAATAGTAAATTCATAATGATTTTTAAATTGAATTTCTGATTCATTAGTACATCATTAAATCAATGGAAATTTCCTCTCGAGTTATCTACATTTATCTCTCATTATTGTAAGTTTCGAACTTTGAATTATTCTTGACATTGAAAAAGTCGGTGTTTCTTGCGCTCTTTCTTGAGAACTGCAGGAACATTCGCCTCTTCAGATCTCACATGGTCTGTCACTCATTTGAGCTGTTCAGATATAATGGATTCTCAATAAGCTCTCTATTCTTTTGATTAGATTTTGAGTCACGATTCAATTTCCGTATGGATTTCCCTGCACCGGAACCATACAAAGACACCCCCAAAAGTTACCCAAGCAAGACTGGCAGAGGAACCCAGCGAAGTAAGTATGACAACTCATACCAGAAGTGCAACAGTTACCATCTTTAGTCACCTATGATGCTGGTCCAAAATTTTTATGATTTCTCGCTATTAGGCAAAAGATTTTCGCCTAGTGAATTCATAATGACAGTGACGGTCATTTTAAGACGGGCTGTTCTTCCCATTAAAAAGCAGACAGCAACGTTATGTTCTAATACTTACTCGAAACCCTTATACGTCTCAATACCAACTGCAACGGGATTTTCTCTGTAAGTGAATTGCCCTATGAAAAAGTAAAACAGTAGCAGGAGATGCAGCACACAGGTTAGTAAGAGATCCGTAATTTCCGCCTTTCTTTCCAGCTTGAACTTTTAGATGTAGTTGTAGAGCACTAGAAGATAAACTCTTATCTGTGAATTATTACGATGCCATTCGAGTTGGAATATAAGTTAACCTCGAGTATAAGACAAGATTGAATTACGTCAGAAATTGCAGACAAATGCTTTGACTCAGATGTGTTGCAGGCCACGTTTCAGTTTTTCATGTTGTCAGTTTTTGTAACAGGGATACTGAATAGAACTGTTCACTCACTGGTACACACCTTTATTCCATTTTAACTCTCTATGGACCTCGTACCTCTAAAACGTAGAGACAAAAATTAAGAGAACACTTATTTTGTCTCTATGATCGGTGGTTTCCGAAGATATACGAGAAAATCAATCTAATTCTCTGCATCCAATTTGGCTGCTAGACTAAGGGGGAGGAGGGGGGGGGGGCTGAATCGAGTGAGATTAATAGCGCTACTCTTACATAATAATTTTGTTCTTAAACTGAAATATTATTTGCTACATTTCAGTTTTTATATTTTTAGGGATTTTTAGATTTATTAAAAGATTAAAATCATAATTCCATTGTTCTTTTTTAGGGCCTGGACCAAGCAGAGATGCACCTCTTCCGCCAGCTCCACCCGCGAGAGGAGCTCCTCCGCCACCGCCTCCTGGAAGACGATAGTTCCAGTTCCCGTTTTGTAAAAGACAATAGTATTTTTCAATTAGAAAAATGTTCCCTTAAATCCGCACATCTCCAAAAGATAGGTGCCAGCAGATGCTCAGAGCGGAAGCAAATAAAGAAAATTCCAAATAAAAACACGATTTTACTCTCACCGTTCTCGAAATCTGAATGTGTTTTTGGTTATAAAATTGGCGCACAGGCAGCCCTTGTACGAGGAATGTAAGTTCATATTCACATCTTGTTTTCTGTCATTGTCGAAAGCCTGTATGGTCTAGGCAAGCACAAGTATCTTAAAGGGTAGGATCAATGTCAAAATAATTTGAACATTTGATAATCTTACTCGTAGCATTATAATGCATCTTAAGAACTGTTATTGATTGAAAAAGGCATCGAGATTTTGCTCGTTATGCCACGTTGACTAAGGTCCCAAAGTTCAGTACGAAACTGTGGAGATGGGTGGACGATTCCTTGCTAATGTTGGTCAATTAACTTGAAAAAATATATTTTATATATCGACTTTTTTGGTGCACCTTAGTGTTTTTGCTTAATTGTAACCATTCTTATAGATATTAGAACCAATGTTGTAAAATATGTGTTAAATGTGATAGTGATTGCAGGCAAGTAATTAATGGGTAAATGTTGTATAATCTAAGTTGAACAATTTTCTTAATTCCAGAATATTTAGACTCCAGCTTCGTTGGGGATTCCAATTTATATGCGTAGTCCGTTGCCATTTTTCTTACTTTCTTATCAAAGGTATCTGTTGCAATTGAAATATATTTGCGTGCCTGGAAACTGAAACATAGTTCCAATGATATTTTGATTGGTCATCGAAATCTGCCAACATTTCCCTCCAACAAATGCTCCAGGTTTTCTATTTAAAGTCAGTGTGATGAAAGGCATTGATCTATCCTCTACAGTCTTCAATTGCCTCGGTCCTTCTCCGTGTTGTCAGAGCGAAACCTTTGACAAATTATATGCCTTGCTGTTGCGATTAAATAGTCTAAATTCGTCACATTTTGGGCCATTGCCAATTTGTGATTCTGGGTACAGAAAAATTGGTTATGCGAAAGTTTATATATTGTAATGTTCATGTAATAATTTGTTTAACTTTTCTAGGTGGAGTGTAAACTAATTTTCATTATAAATTCGGCATTGAATTCTGTCTGTATACTGAATGATTCACTGCATTTATAAGAGTTTTGTGGCGTATGAAGCCGAAGCACAGGAAAGTATTGCAATATTTATTCGCAAAGTGTGATAAAAATACATCGTAGAGAAGCTTTTATTCTCAAAAGGAAATCCCAAGTTTATCTCGGTAATTGATATGTTGATCTCAGCAAGAACTGTTACAGACATTATTTTGCAACGAAGGAGAGTTGAAGCGGGATGTTTTTAATCGTGCCAACAGTTTTAGTAGGTCTATGCAAGTTGTTTCTTATTAACAAATGGATATCTACCAAAGGCTAGAGAGTTATTCGTTAAAAATTAGGCTGGTAGCTGGGATATTATAGAAATAATTTTCTTGAATTTTCCAATATGGATGCAGAATGGATAACGATTTGGATTGTTTGCCGGAAGTACAATTAATGTTAAAGCATTTGGTTTCTATAAAGGGGAAAATGTAGACCATTTAGAAAATCACTCCGGTATTGTTTCGTCTACAAAAACTGTATTAGGTCAAATGAATTGCTTAAAGTCAATCTCGTAAGATAAATTTTTGAATTGTGCAAATGCCCGCTTTTCATGGCTCCTGCCTCTCGTCTTGATCTCATTGCACGAGCCTTTAAACCGTTTGATGCTTCTTTAAATCTCCAAAATCCTATTTCCATTGGGTTCCGTAACCATGGATGTTTTTGTTTCAACTTTAATTATTAGATTCGTTGGGTATTTTGCCTTAAAGATTTGCCTATTGTTTCTTAGTTCAACTTTCAATTTCTTCAAACAGTTTTTTATCGAACAGAATCAATTTGGTGGATATGATTCCTAAAGAGTTTTTGTCTATATTCTAACATTTTATACTCTGAAGAGTATCAGACAAAAAAGCTTCAGTATGTTTCAAAATTTTACCATTTTCTAGACTTTGCAATTTTTTGTTACCATATTATTATAAAAGGCTCTTCGTAAGCGACAGTTTTTCAAACGAACTAAAATTTAGTTAACACATTCGATTAGAATTTTCCGGATTATCAATCTCGATATTCATTGAAATCTTTGTAAAGAAATCAATCTCTCAAAGGTCTGGTTGAAAATTGGCAACCCTTTAAATTTTAAATTAAACTTCTCTAACCTCAAAACGATCATGAGTGCGATCCATGATACTAGAATGGAAGTCGTATTTTTGTAACAACGTAAGGCAATGACGTAACGTAAAGTTTAGAAATTTTTTTAGCAAAAGTTTCCTACTTAAACAGGTTAGTTTGCTTCAATATGACCAAAACAAACAAAAATTGAATTTAGATCTGCCGTGAGTGTCATTTTTTCAATAAAATATCAACTTTTCAGACTTTGCATAAAAAGGTAAGGCTATAAAAATTGTCACATTTTTTCAAAATTTTTCTCTTCTGTAAAGAGATTTAATTTGGTCATAAATGGTCAGAATAAACAAGAATTGAACTGAATTCTGGAATTAAAGTCGAATTTTGAGAAATTAACGACTTTAGAGATGGGTTGATTTTGACGAAAAAGTAAGTTTGTTTGATTAAAAAGTAAGTAAATTTACCTTAAAGTTTGTTTGGGAGTAAAGGAAAAAAACTAATAATATTCTAAGCTTTTCAGGGAGCAAGGTGGATACTAACGATGTTTTTGGGGAAAAGCTCAAACACCGTCCACCAATAACTCGAAATCTGTTTACGTTTCTTTGAAAGAAAATTAATGTACCTGTATGTTGTGTTTATGAAAACTTGAAGGCTTTGTCAATATAGATATATTAGAAAAGGGGAATCTAGAGTACTGACACAGGAGTGAAACTTTGCACCTATATGCAAGGGCAAATAAAAAAATGCAAGGGCTACCAAAGATAAGAATATTTTGACGAAAAAACTATTAAATATTTCAAAGAAAAAAGAAATTGCTTATTAGGAAAATGGCAATATAGAATTTGACCCGATATAGTTTGGTTAAATTGGTTGATTCTTTGTTCTTTTATTGCCTTTCAGCAAAGATGGCTTTTTTTCGATCAGTTTTCGCTTTCTCTGATCTCTTTTTTGGAGATTCTTCTTCTGTTTCTTCTTTGCAAACTTCTCAGGGGCAACAACAGCCTAGGGAAAGAGACAATTTTTGTTTCTTCTTAGATAAGGAATGCCAATAGAGTTCTAAAGTGTGACGTCATCAAAAACCTTTTCTTAGAATTTTTGAATTTTAACCACATAGCGTAAAAGATCACCATGAAATACTTTCAAATACGCAAAATTGGCCAAATATGTCTAAAATCGGTTGAGATATGGCCAATGAAAGATTTGTAGTTTGCTAACGAATCACTGTTATTTTGGCTCTGTTCATAAAGTTATGAACATATACCAAAATACAGAGGTTTGATGGGGAGAGAACCAATAAACAATAAAATGTTTGGAAAACTTAATATAATTGTCGTAAAACTATAACAAGGACTCAGTACCAAGGAAAGGCATGATGCTAGATAAAAGTATTTAATGTTATGTCGAGAAGTGAGTATAGGGCTTTTACTGAGATCGGACGGAATGACAAAATATTTCTTGAATCATTCTATCTACGGATAAATGACCTTTCATTTTAATAGCAACATGATTTTTATCTCATAATCATAAATAAAATATGAAACACGACATTTGATTAAAAAAGGTATCATTCCAAAAGAAAGACCTAAGCGGAAAAATCTAAAAACCATCAGCTTAGGCAACTGACCTCTTCTGCATTTTTTCTTTTTCTGAATTCCTTTTTCTCGGATACTTTCCTCTGAACTTTGGCATATATCTCTGCAAAAACCTCCTTTCCAACAACTTCTTTGATCAATTCTATAACCTCTAATGCTAACTTGTACAACTCTGACTCTAAAAAATAAGAACAAATCAATGAAATTATTTCATTAAAATGAAAGAATGCTTTCGAGAAAACTAAAATTCCAATCCACGAAGCAGAAAAAACGATTTTTTAAAAACATACCCAAGTGGAAAAATCTCTCACCATGAAAAACAGCGAAATTGCTGTCAAAAGAGCACGTTGCTTGCAAAGATAACAGCTACAAACTAGCTTCGTTCATATAAAATCAACAAGTTTTCTGACCTTACGAAGCATAGTTATGTAGCAGCCCTTAAAAAGCATAGCGTATTGATAACAACGCGGAGAAAACAGCACTGCTAAACTACCAAAGAATATACGATCCTTAATATCACATAAAAACATCTTGATACCGCTTTATAAATGCACACACCTGGTGAAGAACTGACAAGCTCTCTATGAAGGGGTTTCAGAATCTCTGATATGTACGGGGTGATACCATCTTTTCCAAGGTCAATCGAAACAGCAGCCAAGCATCGAAATACGCACATTCGCTAAAGACAAGCAGAATAACAAAATGAAGAAACGAAGCTATCAAAGAATCAAGAGCCTGTCTAATTTATTCTGCAGAAAACATTGCCACATAAGAGAGCCTCATTGCAGAGAATCTTTTCTTGATAATATTGAAACTGTTTGAAAAGCGGGGGAATACAATGCCACATAAGAGAGCCTCGTTGCCATATTGAAGCACTTGAAGTACTCGCAGCTGAACGTTCAGCAATCACAAAAAGCAAAACAACCAATTGATTCTTGATTTATAATTGACGATGCATTCGCATAAAAAGATTTTTTGAAAAAAATCGTAATGGTTACATTCAAAAGAATGAAAAACTTTTTGGGAGAATTTATTTAATATTTCTATATAACGGATACCTTGATTTGAGCCTTTTGCTCTTGCGATGCTTCAAAGCTTGCTAAATTGGATAATTTGTTCAGAAGCCATCGCAATGTAGACAGTGTGCTGGCACTGCCATCGCCTTTGCCCCCTTTTTCTTCTACTGAGTTTGCATCAGCTCCATTTGCAACCTTAAAATCTTGGCTTGACAAATTTATCAGCTTTATCAAATAAATTAGATTCTTGGTGATCTACAAAACAAAAAACAGTTCCAATATTAGTCTTTTTAAGTTATGCTAAAAAGGCTTATACTTTAATCAAATGTATAAATGCAGGCAAAGTATGCTATATCTAAATTGCATTTTACTGTATAGATTTCTCAACTTTGCAAGTTTCGACGAAATAACATGTACCGGCTCCAGTCATTTTATGAATAAAAACTAAGAAATTAATTAAAATTTTCAATCTGAAGAAAAAACTGCACACGCGGAGGTTTTTCAACATACTAACTAAGGGAGCAATTGCCCCTCAAGCCCAAATGACTTTCCATTGTTTTAAACAAAAGGCAATTGTTCTCCTCTTTATATGAAAAAGGCTTGCTCTCGCAGCTAACATCTCTTCGAATAGGTTGTAACTACACATATCAATGGGAGCAACAAATGGTCAATATTTCAAAAGAAAAAAAATTGTAAACAATAACATACCTGTTCCCCAAATTCTTGGCTCAGGTTCTCCGATTTTAATTGGTCACAAAAATCCTTGCAAAGAAGTTTTACCTATAAAAATAATTCAAAAACTGATAAATCTTATTGTCAAGCGTAGTTATCAAAAATATCTAAAGCCACTTTGACTTTTTGAAAAAAGTAAGATAATTAATGGTTTCAAGTTTTTTGTCAAAAAAAGCTACGCTGGATATCGGATTTCCATGGAATGCAAAAAAACTATTTTTAGAAACAATAAGGAAGGGAAATGATGTATTGAATTCTAAGGAGACATAGGAAGAGCTACAGCCCGTAGTGACATATAGGCTTTATAATAAGGAAAATAACAAATTAATATGCGGTTTGGTTTCAAGATGACGATTCCAATTAAGAGCAGCTTTGTGCGCTCTAAAACTTATTGATCTGATGACCATTAATAAAGGTGGGCAAGGAAATTTTTACACTAAAAGACAAAATGCCAGACACATGACATGACTCGTTGTCATCTTCACCCACATTCTAATGAGTTTTCATTTGGATTCACATATTTGCCTAGGCAAATAGTTGATACGCAAAACAACCTCCAAAAAAATGTTTTCAATACCTTGGACGGAAGATCATCCGTGATATAGAATCGGTTTGCAGCACCTTCTCTTGAAAACGTAACAAGTTCAGAAGGGGGCCACGAAGCAAAAAGGAAACCAAATAACTGACTAGATACCAGACGCACCCAGGTATGTGGGTACTGCAAATGAGCCTGGATGCTGCCTGAAAAATAGATGTTGCAAGAAATAAAAAAGATTAATGTTGGCATATTAATCCAATAGTTTTAAAAATTGGTTGATTACGTTAATATAAATCATCATTATATGTCCATTATTCTTATTATCAAACTGTTCCCTATTCAGTAAACACATTAAGGCAGTAAGGTCTGAAAACGACAAAATATGCATTACATATTTACCCCAAATCTCAGTTAAAGATTCTTGAAACGAAATCTTCCTGATGACGTCACAGTTTTGAAAAATTTTCATGAGGGCAGTCAACGTATTGAAAAGAAACTGATCCTTTGATTTCATCTCATTGGACTGATCATCATAATCATCAGGCTGAAAACACAAAAACAGAAGATATTTATACCATTGCCTGTCTCTAATGAGAGGAAATCAAAACATGCTTTTGATCAACATAAAGGAATATTGCAAACAGGACGCCCATAATATCATTATTTCAAGACCTTTAGTCTTGATATATCATTACATTGTAATGGTGGACATAACATTTACTTGAAAAATACAAAAACTCACGGCTGTGTATGATGATGGCTTAATAGCACTGTTTATACTTTGTAATATTGCAGACAGCCTTTTCTCGAATGCTGCTCCTTCAACTTCAGCAAATATTCCAATAATCTGCATAGCAAGCCTTTGCACCGATACCTTGCAAAAAAAAACTGTCATTCAAACTTTTTGGCTAGCCAAAGAATGAACCATAAATGAAAATGAGACCAAACTACAAACTAGGGCCTAAAAATGTAACACAAATGCAACAAATGGTCCAAATTATTTGTACTTTTCCTGAGGCCAGCCACTCTGTTCCAGGACCTAAATCTTTATACGATTTGCAAAACAACTGCTACAGAAGAGCTAACAGCGAAGATGAACATAGGCCGTCGAAAAATAAGCACCCCTCCTTTATCGCCTTAATTTGACTAGAAAAGCGAGCATCGATTAGACGTACAGCAGATTTATTAGGATACACAGATAAATACCTTTTCCTGCTGCAGCCATTTCAAAGTCAGCTCAAGGAGTTCTGTCCTCTTCTCGGCGTTAGTCTGAAGCATAAAATGATATTAAAATGGCTTTAAAAAGCCTGCATAAAATGATGTGTTGTCTATAAAATGGCTTGATGTCTATGTTGAGCACAAGACTTGTAGTAGTGATTTAAAACTGTCTTATTCTACAAACTGAAGCGTGTTATTTTTTAGAATAGAATTATTTTTTAGAACATACAGAGGATAGCAAGTAGAATCAATAAAATACTGACATTTTGAAGAATATTCGTGTTTTATTCTTCATAGTGTTCATAGTGTTACTTTGAAGAATAGACGTCATAGTGTTTTAGTAAAAGCAATTGATTGTAAAAACTCACCCTTTGTAACAAAGTCTTCAGAACAGCATTTGATAATTTTCGACAGAGAGCAGATTCGTCATTGATCAGCCGCATGGCAAGAGGAAAATAGAAATAGCTGGAGTATTCATTAATGCGTTCCTAAAAGCAGAAATCGTGAAATAGAGCACATACATTTCTTTGTGGAAAGTTCACCAATCAAAATTTCCTATCATTTTAAATACAACCAAACAAATAGTCGCTGCTAATCTTTTAAAAATTTTGTTATTAATACTGGTACAACCTCATTTCTAACAAAGTAGTGAAGCAGCAAAAGCGAAAGATCAAAGCAGTATACGAATTTGCGTTATTTAGATCATAGTAATGTCTTAACGTACTTCCAACAGCCCGTGCGGACCCTACCATTTACGGTAACATGCAAATGGCTACCGTAATGTTACGAAAAGCGGACATGAACCTAAAAAAGAAAACTAACTTACTTCCGGAAAGTTTTTTATCAAAACGGCCATCATCTCCAACGCAGATCGTCGCCCACTTTCAATATCATACCTAAAGCGAAAAATGTTTGCTTTACATGATTGCTGCATTGAAAATAATAAATTCATCTTCGATAGGTGAGCAGGATTTAGGAAAATATACGGTCGCTGATCGCGGGTTTGAGTCCTGCCCAGGTCGTGTGTCATTCGGTCATACTTTCTCTCAGTAAATGCCTTTAACTGTAAAAAACATTTCCAAGGGTTCTTTACTTTTTGGAAATAATGTTATTCAATCTCATGAGTTTCCTCTCTCGTGAGAGAGAACCTTGTCCTCAATACAAGAATTTTAGCCTGTTTGCCTTACCCTAAGTTAGAAACATAAAACTGAAGATGTTTTTCAATGTTCTTTCCAAGTGGGTAATCAAGAAGATACTGCAACATCAGCTGAAAAGTAAAAAAGATAAATCATAAGAATAAGTGGTAAACAATGACAAAACAGTTATAAAATGCGATACAAAACTGCATGAACGTTAAAACGGTTTTTCCAGCCTTAGAAGAGCTACAGTGATCCCTAAGAAAATCAGTGCCAATATACCAAAACAATGTACATCTTATCTGACATTCTATGAACAAACAAAACCCAGTTGGCTTACCTGTCGACATTGAAGCTGTACCGAATCCGATTCACTGGTAACTGAAAGCTCAGCCACTTTTTTCATAACATCAACAATCTCCTTTGCATTTAACTTGCGTGATAAAATTGCCTGCAAAATAATCGTGGTCAATATGGCATTTAAAATTCTATAAAGATTTCTCCTAAAACTATGGCAAAATAAAACTGATAAGCAAAATGCATAAAATAAGAGAAGTTATCTAAAATAAGACTTTCAGCTCATTAGAATTTAATATCAAAATAGAAGCACTGTCTTTGACAAGCAAAACCAAAAGCAACGCCCAAATTGTTTGCAACAGTCTTTACTAAATCAAGGTGTCACTTGAATTAAGGTGTATTTACCTTCAACAAAGGGAATGCTGTCGCTTGTCTTGTGTAGTCATAAACATCCTCTTCAACGAATGCAAGCAAGATCTAGAAGATAATCAATAACTTTAACGCTTTAAAGATCAATAACAAGACTGTAGAAATCATTGAATTTGCAAAGACGTTTGTTTTATAGGACAGAAATATCCATTACGAAAGAAGATGAATCGAATAAAGCGCAAGGAAATAAAATCCATGTAGGCCCATAGACCCATGTGTACTCTAAAATAAATGTAAACAGTGCACAACAAGTCTAGCTGCACTCCGAGCAAACTCACTTTCAATTGTTCTTCTGTCACTTTATAGTGTTTATTGTCCCGGATAATGACCGTCATAGCCTGAAAGACATGGATGAAGCCTCAATTATTGTAATGATACTCTAAGAGGCTCGTGAAAGTAAATCAAGACAATTCCATTGAAAAATCGACCTAATACCTCAAATAAGATATGCGACAAACGATAAAATACTACCCAGCTGTAATGAAATGCCTTCAATAAATTCAAAAAATACAACGGAAAACGGAAACGTATCGCACTAAATGATTTTTCCTGGGGATACGAACGTCGGTAAATGACCAAAGGTAAGCCTAGCCTGCGCGCAGACTCCAAGTATCTTACTTGAACTGTAGAGTCTGCGAATTAACCCCAAAAGGCTGGTAAGATACTTGGCAAGATACTTGGAGTCTGCGCGCAGAATAAGGTAAGCCAAAATTCGTTCAGGATGAGGATCGAAAGAAACGTGAGAGAAAGAATGGCTCGTTTGAATCACAAACGGTTAACTCCTTGCATAATTGAAGCATAAATGAAAGTTTCTTAAACAATGACTATGATGCATAGTCCTCTGTGTTTACCGAACAAAAACAGCATATCCGATACACACCTTAAATGTTGATAGAACAAGCTCGTAGTTGTCCCCCGTTCCAGCGCCAATTCTTGCGTAATTCTTCAGTAGTTTGAACAGCAATGTAGCTAAAGTTTTCGTGTTGGTTTGAAGCGACGGAAGGGGGAAACGAATCAAAAGAGCCATGGATTTGGCAGCAAGTATTATAATCTAAAAATGAAATTTCTTGTTAATGAAATTAAATCAGAGTTAAAAGAAATATTTGACCAAATATTTTAATGATTGAATAGCTAGTTTAAAATCTCATTGCGACCGAATTTTCGTAAGCAGTTGGTGTACATATAAGTAAGCTACATCTCTAGTGATTTGATTAACTATAAAATGTTCTAATAATATAAGATAAATGCAGAAATTGTACTAACCCGATTGTACTTTGATTTGAGGCATTGAATAAGAACTGTCACGTACGGATCAAGCATTCTTATGTGTTCCTGGTTTGAGGGCATCAGCTTTTGATTTTTCAGAAATGAATGCAACAACTGAAATTTAGAACATCGTTGACATTAAACTCTTAAACATGTGTAATTATTTAATCACTTTAAACGTAGAAAACTTGTATAATTAGTGTATTATAATCATGGTTGCAAAAAGTATGGAATCTGGGTGGAAATTGGGTTCCCAGAAAATTTTCAGGGTTGGCAGAAAAATTTGTAAAACACAACAAATGCAAATTGAATTAGAAAATCTCTTTTTTTGCGGACCTTTTTGATGAAATATCTTCATCTGACAAATAAAGTTTCATAAAATACGTAGTTAGCATTATAAAGGCATTGTTTTGATAACTTTTGAAATAATCCAGTCAACAAATGCTTGAGTATACCTGCAGACAAAACTCTCCTAAAAGATGCAAATTGGCCTTTTTATCGTGTTCAACAATCTTCTGTCCACGCCCAGGCTCCTTTTTAACTAGATATATATCTTGTCTTCTGAATTCTTCCCCCTCTTTTTCCTTCCTGTAAATAAAGGAAGAGCAACTTTGAATGCTTCAACTAGCGACAAAAAACACAGGCACTGCTTCATAATGAATGCAGACAGCCTCTCGGCTAGCTGTACACTGTTACTATGAGTCACAAATGGCTCAAAATGTCTGGTTTGTTCCCCCTCCTTTAAACCTCCGGAATTGGATAACTGGATGAAAGGTAAAAATAAAATCACAAAAACTGGAAACTGGATATTAAAAGATTGAGTCTAGCATTGTCAGCTATTGATTGAGAAAAATACAGGGTCATCAGGAACACAGGTTTAAGCCGAGCGACATTATCTTTCGATTTTGAAAAATTGTGGGATTCTAATTCTATCTTAGTGGATGGTGAAATCTAGAAAAACTACATGCTTATCTGTGAATTTCACACCTTGATACTCTCAAAACAAATTCATAATGTCCACAAGGCATTAATGAAGTTATTATGGCGCATAGCATGAAAACTTATATTCGGTACTTTTCAACAGAATTGTGAAAATAAACTCAAGATTAACATAAATACCGTCATAAATAACCCATCACTACCTTAATTCTTTAGAATTACTCTCCATAATAACAGGCTGCAAACCCGAAAGTGTTTGATGAATAAAGACCAAGAGATCAGTCAAAGACAACGAGGAATTCTTTTGCAAGCCAACACCGATTCTCCGCAGCACTTCTTTGGCTTTGTTGCTCACCTTGTGTGTATGAGAGGTCTCTAGCAGCTAAGGCGGAAGAATCTTACAAATAATAAGGTGACAGATTAGATGATGGTTGAAGTGTAATGTCCTGAGACTCCTGTTTTTTTAAAAATAATGTTCATGAGAACCAAACAATAAACAAAACCAAACAACAAAATCTTAAGAGGCTTACTACTGCAAAAATGGCGAAGCATAGAACACCATTATATCACAAAATGACTCACCACTCTCACTGACTTTAAAAGGTTTCCCAAGGATGCAGGAGATACAAACTGTGACACTATTTCAAAGGAATCGTAGCTCTTGGTCGTCTTGGCTTCATGAAGCTTTCCAGTTATCCCTTCAACTTCCTTCTCTTCAGCAATATTTCCAAACACATCTTGCATCATAACCTGCAAAAGCAGTATTTTCGATTTGTCAAAATTTTTCAGCATAGAAAGCAAAAAGAGAAGGAGTTCGAATTAGTTCGTGATTAGCTCATAAAGCGATACACACAAAGGAGCAGAATATAATAAACAGTGAGGCACAAAGAAAAACGTTAATAGATACACGATATCATAAAACGCAATACAGTTTAATGAAGAAGATGTTGAGTTCCTTTGTGCTGTTAATCTTAGCATCAGTTCAGAGGAAAGAAATCTTCGATGCAAATCTCGCACATCCAACCAAATCGCTAGTTGATATCAATAACACGCCATTTTATTTTCACTCAAAACTTGGTGTCAACAAAAAAGTTTATGACTATGTGCAAGAGTCGAAGAGCAAAAAAGGGAATAGTTTACCTCAATAATGCTTGCAAGAGACTGATCCAAATCACCCGGCTTCAGTTGATCAAACAGGGCGTCAAATATTGATTTAAGTGTAAACGCCAATACATGCAACTGTAAAAAGAGAATTTGATAAAAGTAGCTGAAAGGGATGATTCAAAATATTGATGTTTTTAAATAAGTATATATTTTATCAGCTCTTAAACAAAATATAATTATAGAATAACAATGAACAGATAACATGGATCGGTTAATATTGAAAAATTTAGAAACCTATGCATACAACCAAGATATAATAAGGAACTAAGATAGTCTAACTAAAACCCCTCGATTTACCTCCCTTTTCGCATCCCAATTTTCGGTGGAACGGGCTCTGTTGTCCGAAACAAGATCACCTTTGACAAGAGCAAGCCTTGTCGAGGCGTATAAGCCGTTGCTCTGACATTTCTATCATGTTTTATTACGGTTTCCAGCCATTTTTCCTTCGCCAAATAAGGATGCGAAAAGGGAGGTAAATCGAGGGGTTTTAGTTAGACTATCTTAGTTCCTAATTTTATCTTGATACAACTTTATGGCCTGCAGGATTGTCTTTAAAGCCTATGCAGAAACCAAAACCACTGTGAAATAATCACCTTTCATTTAGCAGTTGTAGTGAAAGTACCCATAGAAACGTATCCTTCAACATTAGAACAATTTCTATGTTGGGGTACTCTATAAGCCGTAAAATGCCTTTCTGTCTTACCTGATAGCCTCGTTGCAAAGTCGATTTCATTTCTTTGAGCACATAAGGAAAGTACTCTGGGCCAAGCGACGATGCTATATGCACTAATGTCTCCCGAGCTGTTTCTCTGACTTCTCGGGCTCTGCTTTTCAAGGTCTGACAAACACGTAATAGAACACTGGAAGGGCAATTAGTATTACTGCATATAACTAGCCATAGCTACATATGAACAACCATAAAAATGTTTGATGCATTGCAGTTGATAGCACAACAGAGTAAAGATAATGGTTTTATACAGTAGAAAAAAATGGCAAATAATTAACTACTCAATGATTACGAAAGGGACATACCATGAAACTTGATTCAGTGAGATACAAAAACAAGTAACAAAAAAACAATTAGAGCTCACCCGGGCAGCTGTTCGTGTAATGTTGATTTGGGAAGCTTCTGTAGAAGTTTGATAATGGCAAGTGCAATCGGTACCCGAAGCACCGCGTCATCGTCAATCTCCTTGTTCCGTGACTTGCGATGGAAATCTTCAACAAAGGACTAGAAAAGGAATGAGAGACAATCCATTACTCTCATATTTAAAAGCTAAACGGAACCTCCTCAAACGCTAGTACTTGAATATTTATCAATGGTGCAAGTAGACTTGTTTCAATCCTCTTTTCGCCAGCTATTTCAAGGAGAGAGAAAAGAAAGAGGAGAAGGAATACATCCAGTCTAGGGAGAGGAGGGGACAGGAAAATTAGCAACAGAGACATAAACGAGAAAAGATTTGTCTCATTTTCCCTACCATCAAGCAACTTTACCTACTAATTAAAGATTTTACCGATCAACTGAAAATTATACAAAACAATAATGGAAAAATTGGGGGCGTCTCACAATACCATTCTTTTCACCCTGTTAGATACGCTCCTCATAGCAAACATTACTTTTCAACTGGTGGTGAAAGACGAGGTTCCAGGGCTCTTCTAATTGCACCAAGGAAACGGTTTCTTCAATAAGTTTCAATACACAGCAACTAAGCTGCTATTTCTCAAGTCGATAAACAAAAAGGAAAAATTTGTTCATACCTTCTTGACGAGAGATTTATGCAGCTGTGGCAAAATTGTTGTCAGAATAGTCTTGTGTATTTTCATCGCTGATGTAGATTCATTTTTTTTACAATCTTGATCATGATTATTGTCTGCCATGTCAGCTTCATCTTCATCCTCGTTATCTTCGTCTTCTACTGCATTTTCATTCTCCTTTATGATAGCTCCATTGTCCAGGTCTTGAATTCCTTCTGCCACCTTTTTCTGATTCACCTTTTCTATAAAATCCAATAGCAATTCCCCTGAATGTGGCGCTATAAATTCCATTACATACTAGATACTGTCTAGACAGAATTTAGACCATTTCTATGCTGAATACTTCTCTAACTGAGATTTTATGCTATGCAAGAGCTATCATCAGAAAAATATCGCCTCTGCTTATTAGCCTTCTAGAGCATATGGTTATTCTCTCTCTGCCCTACTACATTCAAGTAAGAACTTTTATGAAGGCATTAAAGCTCTTTCAGAACATCTATTCCTTACACAAGAACTGATCGCTCATAAAGAAAAGTAGTATAAAAAGGCGCTAAAACCTAATCAGGAAACTCTACACATGCCTAAATACATGTCAGGTAGCAAGCAAGTACAGTAAAATCTATTGTAGAAGCTGAAGCAATGCTAAATAGATGACGAATCAAATTCTCAGTCATAATATGGATCCATCTATTACTCATCAAAACATCCGTTACTTATCAAAACATAAATCAGTCATCGAACTTCCATAAAAATTTACCTGGCTTGATATCATCGTCACTTAACATCGTCATGTCGAAGTGGAAAGCATCCAGAACAGCAACAACAACTCTTAAACAGAAATCAAATTTTAACGATACCAAACTGATTTCAGGTCTCTTTAAAAGCGGAATATTTTTATATCCTTGAATAAATGATGTAGTAGACTTTCATGAGAACAGAGATACTTAGATATTTTCGATATTAATCAACGTTTTTACAAAATATCATTAAGATTTCTTTGTTGCAAACGACCATTTTAGCAGTAAGGAGAAAAGATCAACAACTCTAAACGCTGAATGTTCATTAAACAGTACACATAGCTTTCCTTATTTCTCTCCAACCATCCTCACCTTATGATTATTTTCTTTTTGGCTTTCTCTTTTGGCAATAGACGTAAATAATTTCTCAAGACATGAGAATACCGCTGCCAGGGCAAAGCATGCACGATAGCTCCCATTGCTTCTATGGTTGCCGTGACAAGGTTATGGTCTTTCGATGCCACGTTATCGAAGATAAAATTGCTGATGAGTGGAAGCAGAAAGGCATAGAGGGAATTTTGCTTTAGCTTTCCTTCTTTCGACAGCTGTGCTAGATGTCTAACAGCTCGAATTCTGCGGTGCATCTGTACAAAAGATTAAAATTGAAATCAGCCACAGTAAGAAAATGTCTGTATGAGATGTATAGATAGGAATTCATTAACACGAAAGGCAATCAACCTTACTCACGATGTGGAAGAAATATTGGATTTTTTCAAATCCAGAAAAACCTGCAAAACCTTTTGTCAATTGAAACAATAAAAACAAATAACATTAAAGATGCTTGTACCTGTATGTGCCTGACGTTCTCAAAGAAATCAACTTCTGGATCTTCGTTTGTTAAAATTCTCATATCCGAAACCGAAGACTCGTCGATATGTTTAACAACCCTTGAGAGAATCTTGGTGTACTCGCCTCGCACAATCTGCAAGACAATTTTTTGCGATCAATAGAGCAGATATTCGATATAGGGAAATATTCTCATAAATGAGTTCCCATCAGGAGTGAAAAAAAACTGATTATCACCACTAAAATTTGATAAATGATTCAGATTCAATGCAAAATACAGGAGAGCGTGACAAGCAAAAAATCTTAATGAAATCCCCTGTGCCTTAAAATAGTACCATTTTCCATTAAAATCTAATTATCATTTATACTTGCTTATCGTTAAAATACAAATATAACTTAAAATACAGAAGTTTTGTTGAAGACAAACCTCATTCTTGGACCTCACAGCCTTTCTGACAACAGGCAAAAGCAGCCCAGTTAGCAAATCATCGACAACGACCCTACTGCCACTAGCTTTGATAAAATCAATCATATGGATAATGAAACTGATGGACACGTCCCTCAACGACATGTCCTGAACTTCCAATGAAAAGTACAAGCAATTGGCTAAAACTGGCTTGATTTGCTTGCTTGAGAGATCTACTGCTTTGAGCATCGATGTTGCCCTGCTGAATGCTTGGAAACGTAGTTCGAAATCAGGTTCATCAACAAACTTCTTATCCCAAGAATTCATGTCACGAATGATGCAGCATATTTCGGACGAATCAAATACAACCTGAAACAATTCACAGAGAATAGTCCTTGGTTTTCTTTCCTTTAGACTCATAAACAAATTCATCGTTTCGACGGCTATCTGTCGTGTATTTCCACAATGCTTTACAAGGTTCTTCACAGTGATTAACGTATTAACTTGATCAGTTTCATTTTTTATCCATTTCAGTGTTGGAAATAAAATAGAAACAACTGTTTGGCACTGCGAGGGATCTGTCACAAATGAGCTAATAAGAGCCAAGACGCTCAGTTCTGCTTGAAAGGTTTCGTCTTTAGCTTTGATCTTGGATAGCTGTGCTCCTGTCTTCCGTTTGACTGCTTCGAAGAGATGGTTCAGCAGATTATCAATGTGGCCATCAATCATCTTTAGCGCAGAACTTCGTAATGCATTATCCCCTCTTTGTGATCAAAACATAAAACATGGGTTACAAATGCAACTGAATAAAAATTATCCCGAGAAAAATATTGTATTAATTGTGCGACGGATAAAAAAACTCGGAACAACAGGTTATGCTAGGAAGATCTAGCTCCTTGTAGAGGCATAAAGTTGATCTTCAAACTAACTGAAAAACGTGTCACTGCTTTCTATCAAAAATTATTTACTACGCAACATGTACCCAAAGGCGGCTACTGATATAATTAGGCAGACATCACAAGGCAACCAGAACCAAGCAACCAGGCACATCACCTGAAGCCTGTGCTAAACAAAACTTAATTGTGAGGTAACTCCAGATGTCTGTCTGTATTTAATGTTATAAATTCTCATTTCAATACTTTAGAAATGCAAAAACTATTGGTATTCCTGGCTCCATACCAATTGTAACACCCTTAACACAGGAACAAGAAACCTTACCGTTCTACACCCTCAATGGCATCATCATCATCATCACCATTTGCTTTCATTTGAATAATACTTTGCACCATTTTCATCAACATCTTTACAACAGTTTCCGATTTGTCTTTAACGCCCAGGATCTTAAGTATAAAGCGCAGGGGAGTTTCTGTCTGCAGATCATTTGAAACTGGCACAACAGTGGTCTCGCGTAAAGCACCTGCCTCCTCTGTTTGTAGTGACGATGCTTTGATGTGAAAGCATCTTAGATCTTTATTCAGCCACTCATAATACTTGGGTGACGTACTCCAATGGTAAAGGAGCTTTAACAGAGGTGAAGGGTGTTGTTGCGACTCTTGATGCAGGCGAGAAATCTACGAACCAATAACATTAACTAAAGTAATACAATATCATGTTAGACATCAGTAGCCAGGCCTGTTGTTATAAGGGGGTTTGTGGGGCGTGACACCCAAAAACATTATATTGCAAAAGCGAAGTGTTTTTGCCACCTAGCTTAGTCTGCAAATTTCCAAACTAATCGGCAAATAAAGGATGGCTCAGCCACTTTGTCGGCACTTGGAAATAACCCCCTCCCCCTCCCTTAGCACACTAGCTAGCTGCGGGACTGCCAGTAACAAATCACGAAAAAGCTCAAATACAGTCACACTGAAATCTGTATTTCATTACTTTATTTGAGATACCTATATATAATTTCTTTAGTTTCAGATCCACCAAAGATGCTTGTGAAAAGAACTATAAAATAGCAAGGCAGAGAGAAACAGTTTGCAGAATAAAACAAGTTCAATAAGAGTACCACAAAATGCAACAGCGTTATTGATATCAAAACAAATAGGCAAATGAATGAAAAATGTTTGGAATTACCTGTGGCATCACTGCATTTATGAAGATCATGTCGACATACGGCAAGAAATCAAAATCAGGCAATATTTCAAAAAACTCTGTGATTCTTGAGATACTCAACTGTCGAATTGATTTCAGCTGTCCGATGAAGGTCGAGTTTATCTGTTAAAATAGTATTCCCTAATCAATTTTCACAATGCAACAAACAATTCTAAAATGGAGACATGTTTCGGATTATTGGTAAAGCCCGATCGTCGTTCCATCTAGCAGTTTTGGAATCTATCTAGATAAGGGCGAAAAAACCGCTATTGTGTAGACAAAAGGAGTTCGATTTTACCTTAGGACTCCATTGGTAACATTATCAAATAGGCAAGCGGCACTGATTGATCAACCTCAACAGTCATGTGCTCGCGTTTCTAATTGGCCTATTTCGATCCACAACTGGGTATATATATTTCCTAGTGTAGAGTTTTTGTTCCAGCGTTTTAAACTCTGAAGAGTGTCAGACAAAAAGCTTTAGTTTACTCAAATGTTTGCTTTTTTTCAAAGCCATTTTCAAACAATTCTATAATAAACAAGACATTGAAGTTTCATAAAGACAGAGTAAACTAACATCGTATTATTAAGGGGGAAACAGAAACAACAATGAAGGGTTCAATTTAAAGATCAAGCAAACTCAATTTTGCTTAAGTCTGAATACAAAAACAAAATAAAAGTACTGCCATAAACATATGCTTACTTGGTTGCGTCTTTCAAGGCACATCTGGCATTTCTCAAGAATATCGAGAAGAGTTTTCAGCAAATGATCGACATGTGGAACGATGAGGCCACTCAGTCTTGTCAGAATTGTATGCAGCATATGGAGAAAGCCAATTTGCTTTCGTAGTGGAATTACTTCATGTATGCTGTCTACAGAATTTTTAAAAAAGGATATATTAAAAGGTGGCTACCTATGAAAATGAGAATTACAATGGCACTCAAACGTAGGAACTTTTGCTACTAAAAAGGCTTTAGCTTCACACAAATATAAACTATACTTAGAACTGGTTTATAAAAGACAAGAACAGACATTGATTACAATACGAAAAGACGGTCAGAGGAAATCAAGTCTTTCAATGCCGACTAGATATGAATATTTTGTTTCTCAACACTCTTTACACGCAAACATTACTGGTTACACTATAAAGTTTATATCATTTTATATCATAGACAAAAAACGATGCGAAAATTAAACGACCGTTGAAAAATGCCTGATTTGCTTCATAGAAAAAAGGACTTAAATATACACTTACCCTTCTTGCTGTCTTTAAATGGTTCGGTTATTAAGTTGACGAAGGTAGTAAGCTCTTCCTCCGGGCAACAAGAAATGAAGTTGATGATTATGTTCCTTCTTGCTGATTGGCTGGATTTACCACTAACTCCGAGTCCTGATCGCCTCTGCAACTTACCATAAAGCAACCTGAAAAAATGTCATTCGTCAGAAAAGAATTATTCTTAGTGAGAATTATTCTTAGTGAAGAGCAAAACAGACGTTAGAACAATGGACTATATCCTTCTGCTACTTAAAGTAAAGTACAAGAAACGTGACTAAGATGAATCCCACAATGAGTAACAACAGTGCTTTTACTGCCATGCATTTATTGGGAACATTGTCTAATAAACTGTAAAATCGAAGGTTGAATTGAAATAAATGACTACATAACTTTAGGAAAAAGCTAGAGAGTAACGATAATAATATAAACTTAAGAGAAAGCATATGAAAACAGTTTCCAGATAAGCTTATTTATTTGAAGGGATATCAGGTTTCCGTTGGGATTTTGAGTGGAACTTTTAATATTTTCTGTAAATAACCCCTAAACGTTTTCTCTTGTAAATTACACATAATGGTTGATAGTAGCAAATTCATTTTGTGAACACGTTTACCTATACAAATATGGCTTTTATGATCATTTCCATCATATTGTGAAATTGAAAAACTTCCTCTGAGCGTTAAAAGTTGAAACCCTGCTATAGCCCAAGTATAAAGTTGACATAGTAACACCGTGGCAACCCTAAACAAGCCTTTGTAAACCACACTGCTGTGCTCATAGGCTCTTTTAAACAGGGAATCAGATTGGAATATGATCAGATTGGAAGATCCATCTTTAAAGACAAGTTTGAAACGTTATAGCATCAAATAGTACTCGATATCCATAATTAATTGAAGCTGGTGTTTACACAAACCTGATAAGAATATTAATGACATCATTTCGGTGGTCTTTCTTGACCATTTCTACTTCATCTCCAGCTGCAAAAAGCGTAAGCGCATCTTTGAAAGTATTATCTTGCAACAGCTTATCAAACTGCTCCTCATAAGGTTTCAAGTAAGGAAACTTGTACGTCTTCAGGCAGTTATAAACATGCTGTTGTATTTCATTTTCCCGATGCATTAGAAGCTGTAGGTAAGCTTTATACATCTGTGGCTCTTTGAAGAGTGCTCTTGGGTTTTTGAAATGGCCGAAGAGCTTCAACAAGGCTGCCAATGTTTTCAGTTTCTTTCCTGATTCTTGCTTCCTGCCAACTCTTTTTTTCGCTTCACCTTCCTCAATATGTTCGGTACCTCTAAGCTGCTCATCCTGGCCTTCAACTTCTTCATCGATGTGTCCAAGAACCTCTTGATTATTCTTGAAGAAAGGTCTTGCGCTGGCCTAAATGAATCATCGAATTTCCCATATTCTTTGCTAAAATAGTTTGAAGAAGAAAGTATAAAAAAACTGATGAGAATATAACAGCATTTTCTTCAAGTTTTAAGATTTGTTTATAGAAAAATATATGTTTCTAGCCAAAACGAATCCTTTTAAGCAGCAAAATTCGTTTCTTCAAACAAGTTCAGACCAAGGAAAAAGTTGTCATAAATACTGGCCTCAAAGAAATGGTTGGTTTGTGATGGTTAAAAAAGGTCAAACTCGCATGTAGACTTTCAATTGTCAATTATTATGTCATTTATTTTGAACATTTCATATTTTAAGTCCAAAAATACGCACTCGTGTACGAAACTGCAAACAACTGACAATTCTATACAGTTAACTGATAAAAGTTTCAAGCGTTAGCCTCAAAGTTTACAACTTAGGAACGTCTTGCTCCACACATATAAGCGCGTACAGCTGGCTAAAAGTAATTCTTATTAGGTCTAAATATCTTCAACTAATATCTGCTGATGTTCAGAGCATTCAGAAATTTACAGACACAGAAGATACTATACAATTCACAACAAACCTTAAAAATGTTAAAAACATTGGGACAACATCTCTTGACTTCGCTTCAACGATATGCGGAAACTCTTCCATCGTCTGGCACAACAGCAAACATAAGTTATTGTGATCAGATCTGCTCAAAGCATCTGTTTCAGATGCCAATGGTCGATATTTCTCTATAATACCACTGCCTATCATATCACTATCAGCAACCTCCATATCTTTCTCCCCTATGAAAAAAACTAACATTTCTCAGCAGATCGGGTTAGAGTTACATTTAACAAGAAAAAGAAACTGAACAAGGTAACTAAGTCTTCCTCCTACTTATTGAAAATCTGAGTCACCCGGGACACGATTTATGGAATTCAATGATATGAAGGAAGTATATTAGGTGACAGCGCAAAGCAAGTCATCAAATAAATTTCTATGTGCGAGAGCAAAATTTTGTTAAGATTGTCAAAAATTAATTGTTAATGCTGAATTAAATTTTGCAGTCTAATTAAGTTTCAAACTAGCACATCAGTAATATTATAACCAATCGTATCCTACAGTATGTATACTGGGAAATTTTTTCTCGAGCCATTTATAACTAACATTTTTCTGCATCGTGCATGATTTCTTGACAAAATGTAACTAGCTGTTTTGCTGGCTTAGGTTGACTTTTGCTTAAAGATATTTCCTTAAATAGCATGATTATTTTACTATTCTTGTCAGTAATCTCACCGTTATTATCGAAGGCAAATGCAAGCAGTTCTTTGAAAACTATCCAAAAGTCTTTTTGGTTTTCATCTACCGAATGGGTTCTAATAACATCCATAACGGGTTGCCACATTGGTCGAAGGTTGATGCGAAGATTTCCAACGAGATATCTTACTAAGATTTCATTGTTGAAAAGCCTTGCTTCTTTGCTTTCGCTCGACTTGTACACGAGCTTTCTTAGATGCAACAATCGGTTAAGATAGCTTGCAAACGCTGCTGGGATGTTCTCAGCATCTAAACACTGTCTTATTACAATGCTTTGTTGACTGAGCGTCTGAAAGTATATGTTCAGAACATTTCAAAAAGATATCACGAAATCATCAGAAAAAGAAGCTAAATTTTAGTAAGTTGCCTAGTACTGAGCAACATGGAAGTGAAACATCAAGAAACATCATCTTCTTCAAAGGCCACAGCTGGGAAATGTGGTACTTCGTAAAACAAATGAGATACAACAAACGCTGTTTAAAGGAAATCGGACTGACGTAGTTCTGGGACGTCCTGAAGAAAGAATTTTAAAAGGGGCCGAATATGGTGGAGTTTGCGAAAGTGAATTCTAAATACATGCCCCTAAGTAGAAAACTGTAAAATTCAAAAATAAGTTGAAAAATCACCAAAATTAACAATGAATCGAGCAAAAAATTGCTGAGACCCAGGGCAAGGTTTTGAAAACAAATAGGCCAGCGCCCACAATTGTTTCGCTTGTATGCTTATATATATAAAAATTTGCAACTAGTTTACAGAAAATGATTGTAAGAAATTTTTACTTACCACCGGACTTTCAAGTGAATTTGACAAATGGAGAAAAATGAGAAGAGTGAGTTTTCGTAAGATTGCCAGGTTTGACGACAAATTGTGTTTTAGGAGATCAAAAACTTCTTGAAACAATCTTACAGCTAATTCATCATTTTGATCTTTCATATTGTCGCTAAAGATTTCAAACGCTTGCAGCAAATGTACATTTGCTGGGTATAATCTGAAAGTTAACATGATAAAATGGTAATCAGAAAGTGCCTTTGCATTCAAATAATTTTACTTGTACAAATATATACATTTTAAAAAATGGAAATGCAACTGTCACTACGAATGCTCTGTGAATGGTAGGTGCTACATTGAAGGAGAAGAAAGTGAACAAAAATGCGAGAGAATTGGAGATATTATGAAAGTGATGCAGTGCAGTGCGCATGTTGGTTTGGACATGTGGAATGAAAAGAAAACAAACCAAGCCTAGCAAAGTTCAAATCCAAGAAATTGATGGAAGAAGGCCAAGAGGTAGACCAAGAAATAGAATAAGGAGGTCTTTATTAAAAAATTTGAAGATTCGAGCAAATACAGTGGAGAATTAGGTGTGGTTAACCTGAGTTCACAGGGAAGCATCATAAACCTAAGATGACTATAATTATGATCATGATTGGCGATGATGACAATAATAATTATTAAGGCAACACAATTTAAGATGATTATGAATGGTCATTAAGAAGACAATAGTGCTATAACTTTAAAAAGATTCTGAAAAATAGAGATTGATTCCTTGATTGAAATTTCAACATTTCACTTTCGTTAATTTTTCCATAAAAAGATGGGGAAATAAAATAATGATCAGCATTTATAAGATTATCACCAACAGTGTCAGGCACAAGATTTTTACAAAAATCTGTCACTGCAAGAAATTTGTGAAAAAATCTAATACCTTAATAAACAGCATAGGTCTTCATATTCAAAAGCAACATCACATTTACACTTTTGGGCTGATTTGATCATGTAAAATGATCTGATGGCTTGAGAAAAAAGAAATATGACTCTATGACTTCTTCCTTGTTTTTCCATTACAGCAGTTGACAATAGCATAGCCAAATTATGCAGGCTTTCTAAGGCTCTTTCTACTGACAGTGGCCTGCAAAGAAAAGTCTCATGTGTCAGCATGCAAATGAAAGCAATACAGTTGGGGCCATCATAATGAGCGGTAAGGTTTGCAGCCCCAGTTCCCAAAGAATTATTTCTAATCACCCCCAGCAGCTCCCAGAAGCTTCCAGAAGCTCCCAGCAGCTAAGAAGGTGATGAGAAGCACATTTCAGAAATCCTATTGAATCACTAGATTCTTGGATTACCCCAGTATTGAATCACTAGGTCCCTGGATTAACATTGAGAACTATAGACCTGGCAATTTTAATAGAGCCAGTATGTTACAGCTTATGCAACTTGAAGCTTGCAGCCCTAATTGCTCCAGCATGACATTTCATGATACGCTTAACAACAGCAAGATCTCATTAAGCCATTGGCATATCAGCTGAATCAAGAAAAACGTAATACAACTCTAAGCAAAAATACAAATTCCTTACAAACCTTACATATGGTAGACAAACCAAACAAGACCAAAGGAGATCCAGCTCATTTTCTGGGGCATCAAAAACTGCTTTTTGCTCCCTATAAAAAGTACTGATTTTATCCAGCAAAACATCAGACACTGATACAGCATCATTGTTAGGGAAATGCAGTAGTTCATTTTCAGTATATGGGCTGCTGAAAACACCAGTGAAGTGATCCTTTTTAGTTGCAATATGTTCAGCAAGAGAGAAGATTAAGGACTCTGCTTCTTCTTTTGAAACATCTGTGTTTGTAAGGCCTTTTCCAACATACAGAAGAAACAATAACACTGACATAGATTCAAATTTACCACCAGCTCTACAATCTTTCATCAGATATGATATCTTGTTTGCACCAAACTTTTTTGTAAAAAGTAATGTCATTGTCTGCTGTACATCTTTGTCAGGTAAAGTAACACCACTGCAATGTATAACTTGAGTGAAGAGCCGAATTATTGTATCTTGGCAGATGACAGGGTAGTCCACACCCAGAAGTTGATTCAATAGCTGAAAACCACAAAATATCAGAAAATGTTAAGTCAGCAAGTCAACTGCAAATTATCAAAACAATAACAAAAAACAAACCAGAGATTGTATTTAACAACATAAACATACAATAGCCAAAGTCTGTATAAGTACTATTTTGAGATAATAAATTAGCAATACACATATCAATATAAAAAATTATAGGAATTAATGTTAATTTATTTGATTCTATATGTTTCTAGAAAAATCATACCCAGATAGACATCCTTTTAAATTTTTCTATAAATTTAGTTACACAAACCTCCAGAATTTTCTCAGCAAAAGTTCCAACTAAAACCCCAGACTTCCATTCTACCACCAAAGTAACAAGCTCCAGTAAATGCAACAATCTTTGCTGACTAGATATATTTATTTCCTCTGTGACACTGCTTTCCAGTCTTCTAATGGTCATTTCTGTTTGGGAGATTAGCTCTTTCCATAGAAGATCAAAGTATTCTTTTGAAATGTATTTACAAGTTGCAAGGAAGGTGACAGAAATGCATTGATATACCTAAAAAAGAATTAAAACAATCACATTCTAGCTAAAATTTTAACCACTACTTGAGTTGAAATTTTATTTCCAATTGCTTGATGGAACTAGAAATACCTTGACAGTATATAAATAACAGCTTTTTGAACCCATTTTTTAAGCCAAGGACTTGGTTAACTTCCACATGGCTTCTGCACTTTATCTCTGCATCCAAGATGCATCACTGTATTTCTGGATTATATGTTTTATATGTCACTTTATAAATTATCTATAAATGTATGGCACACATAAAGTTAACTGCATGTTTAGTGGTTACTTGAAACTAAATTTGCTAATTTGTTTGACATTAAATAAAATCATATTTACCTCAGAGCCGCTACAGCTGCTACCTGCAAAGCTTTTTTCGCTAAGCTTACCCAGGGCCATTTGTAGGACATTGGCAGCTTGAGAATTGAACATTTTGTTGACACCTTTTATAGTTTCAAATAACAGCAAACCAACTCCTTCTGTGAGACTAGGATCATCACAGACAGACTGGAAAATCAGGTCCAAAAATACATCTTTATTTTTAAACTTCCTTACTAGAAAGGCAATACTTTCAGCTGCAAACTGCCGGATGTATGGCTTTTGGGAGCTTCTAAGCAATGACTTGTAATACCTGGTTTGGAAAAAATTGATCATTCAAGATTAAAGCACAAAGCTGGTTGCATTACTGGAGCCACAGATCTCTAGTACTAACTCTGATCTTAGAAAAATAATTGTTGACACAGTTTCAAATTGATCAAACAAGAAAAATTGGCAAAAAAATTATTCAAACAAATTTGCAACTGTGGATCAAAAATAAAAACAACTATTATTTATAGCAGTTAAGCAATAATTTAGGAGGGTAACCACAATCCCTTGCTTTTGCATAATCTACTTGCTTTTACTATTTTAGACCTCGGCGAATATTATGCATGGCATGATTTCCGAAATAATATAATAAATTAACTCCCTTTTTGGTCCTCCTACCTCCCTCCAAGTAATTGGACAACAATCGATTGATGCAGAATATATTTTTAGTCTAGCTAGAATCATGTATGCATAAAAACGAGAAAAATAAATACGGGGCGCACTGATACTTACCCATAAACTTTTTGCGAATCTTGAAGCATATACCTCCACAAATATTTAAAAATATAAGCAAGGCATACAAATGCATTTTCAATGATTTCAGGATCGCGGCTTCTCAAAACTTTTGTCAATGCAGTGTAGATTTCTTCAAAATATTGGTAAGCTTCATGCTGCAAATCACGTGTGAATTGCGCTAATAAATCTAACAATGCATCAAGACACTTGGAATTTTCCGACTGAATATGTTTGCACAGAATTCGTAATACCTCCTCTTTATGATACAAAAGCTGTTTCAGATTCTGAACATATCCTTTAACTTCATGATAAAATTTTGTGAAATCTTGGGTACAATTCAAATCTATCCATTTCGTTAGAGTTTCCTGAAAGAAAGTTTCTTTCTCATCCTCTGGAATTTCGCGAGTTTCACTGATCCTATGAGCGACATCTATCTTAATTGTTGCGATTCTTTGATTGAAGCTTTGGAATTTAAACCGATTTTCCTCCATTTCTTCCAAAAATTTCACCTTCCCACATGTGAGGATTCAATTACTTTGCCAGCCTATTTGATCAATCTCGATATGGGATTTCAAACGAGGCTCTTTCTTTCCAGTGTTTTACCCTTCGGATAAGCCCTCGTTCTAGCCTTCGGGGTGTGAACTATGCCTAATTTTGGACGGGGACGTGCCATTTTGGTTAAAATTTTGGACCCATGATAATTCCGCAAATGTCTGAAAAATGTGACCCATAATCCCGCAAACATATTGAAAACTATACCCATAATTCTGCAGAGCAAATAGATTTTTAAAGCACATGAAAAATCATCATTCAAATTTTGCATGTCCTATGCCCAAAATCTCTATGTTACACATATGTAATACTTTTATTTCTAACTTGACATTTATTTTGGTAATGCTAAATCTACCTAATCTAGATAATTTCCCGAAAATGGTACCAATAATTCTGCATGTTTCTTCAAATGGTACCCATAGTTCCGCACAAGTTTCAAAAACTGATACCGATAATTCCACACTTTTCAGAAAAGTATGGCTAAAATGGGTGCTCGCTCCTCGATTAGGTTACCTATGGAGAGAGTTCCTTCTTAAGAAATTCCCCTCCATACATTTTCTTTTCCATTTAGCTTCCCTTGTATCTTGTATTTGGTATTTAGTTTCTCTGTAATTTCTTTTTTGTTTATGTATATGTAGCTTTAATTTTTCTTTTATTTTTTTATACACAATTGAGGGTGTTTGTAATGGAATTTTAAAATATGAAACTGAAACTCAAACTGAAATTGCTTCATTTTTCCAGGGGTGGGGGGGGGGGGGGTACCAGGTATTTCGGCGTATTTTCGATGCGTGAAATAGTAAAACAAATTTTTATAATGCGTGAATGCGTGACGTGAAAGACATTCGCGAGTGACCTGTGAATTTGCATTACTCTTGCATGATTGCGCGAAAACCCGTGAAAATGATTGCTGCAAGCGGATTTCGAAATGCGTTGCCTACTTTTTTACCAGCAGAAGGTCTTGGTTTCCGGTACCAGACATTTGTCTCCAGTATTCAGAGAATCAAATGCCGAGGCCTCTGCCAACAAGAGCTACATGTAGAATACTGTAATGATCGAAGATTCGAAGATGAGTAGAAGAGAGTAGAAAAAGTTTTTGTTAAAAATTTCAAGAAATTTATATTAGATAGCTATTAAATATTATACAACGCACTAGCAATATAAGACATACATTGTCCATAACCCTGTTCATTCTGTTCCATTTTTGTTCCTTCTTGTTTTGCATTTAATTTTATCTTTCAGTTATTGTTTTTTAATAAACATTAGTTTTGACTGTTATTAAGCTTCTGCAAAATAGAGTACTTTACCATCCTTAGCATACTTACATTTTGCTATATTTTTGCTGCTAACTTGCAACTTTAATGTTCTGTTTTATTTGATGCATATACGTCACGAACTCAAAAGTCCTTTAGAGTTATTTTCATATGTCTGACAGCACTTTTCTATTACCTTCGATGTAACTTTTAAAAATCTAATTCTATCTTGATGATAATTTTTATATAAAGCATCTTTACATTAATACAAATTTGCAATTAATTGCTGGAAATATACATAGAATGAAATAGAAATGAAAAGAGAGAAGAGGCGGCATCAAACGACTGGAGCACAGGCTACAGAGAGGTAGTCTACTATCAGGCAAGAGACGACAATGGAACGGTAAGAAACATTACCAGAATCATGTTACCGCTCAAAAAGACCAAGTTGATGAATATAGTTGACGCCAGAGAAGTGGAGCCGTAGCGAGGGCCCAGGGCGGCTCAGCCCCCTTTGTTAAAATTCAGAGAGATTCTGGGTGGCGTCATCGTGAAATCTTGTTTCCAGTGCCATGAAAGCGTGATTTGCAATTATTTTACGCGTGATTGCGTGATTCAGCATGGATACCTGGACCCCCCTTTTCAATATGTTCTTTATGTTCGTATTCAACTTCAAATGCGACAACTTGGTTGAAAACGAGCCAATAGCTTCTATAAGGGTCTATTTGAAATAGAGAAGCCAAAACCTCTACTGACAGGGGGTAATATAAGCAAGTATGTTTGCCCAGACAAAGCTAAGTCATCAATTCATCCCCTTTTTCATGTTATAGATTTTACGTGAATACCCATTTCCTGTCAGCATTTTTCAATCGGTTAATAGTTTGAATGATTTATGTACAAGAGAATTAATCTTTATAACAATTGCAAGTATATTAAATTTCGTCATGGGTGTGGCTTTTAGAAGTTTTCACAGCACAGCCCTCCTCCCAACTCTTTAGGGTGGCAGCGCTCAATAGAGATCACGATCCTCATGCTATTACTGCAGAAGAAATGAAGATAAGCAGGGAGTAAGGAATAATTAAAAAGGAAAGATTAAGATTAGAAAAAAAATGAGTGGTTGAAAACTGGAAAGGGTATAAAGAAACAGGATCTAAGGTTAGGTCTCTAGAAATCCTTTGAGATGTGCCTTCAGCTGAGCGGGTGCTTGCATGCTTGTCATCACTAAAATACAATCTTTGAAAAACTTTCTAGAGTTATTGTAAAAATAAGTACTGATGGAAAAAATGTTTGGAAGAAATTGGACCAAACTGGATGCAAAATTTCCCCCACAATAACACTTCGTAGCCACGCAACCAAAGTGAAAAGGCCTAATAGAAACTTTCCATTTGTTTTCCAGTACAGCCTGTTTCTAAATAGCCTAATCTCCAACCTAGAAATTGTTGTATTCTGATTCTTTCTCTTTTATCACAAATATTTGCTAATTGGAGCAAGTTTCGGATTTCCTTTTTGAAGCTCACATCGACGAAGGGATGGCTATGATCCATCAAAAGGGACAAGAAAGATTCTAAAGCCTTGAGCAGACGACTTTAGAATCATACATTCTTAAAGAACTAGATACCGTACTTTCGGCGCAAAACATGGATTAAGATTAGCATGCGATTATCTGTATAACGGACAAAACAAGGCTATTTTGATGTATGATACTTCTCCTTGGCAGTCTTTATCAACTGTGTTTTTTCCATACTTCTATAAATACAAACAGTCTTTTAAAGTTCATCAAGGCAAGCTGAAATTGCAATTTGAGGGCGGGATCTGCAAATATTGTCCGAAGAAAGGTGCTCAGACCACGTGCAGCTCACCATCTGCCTCGGCTTGTGCTAATACTGGGTGATATTTTCAATGAAGAGCTCCTTGCATTAGAGGGTAGTCGTCTTAAACCTAAATGTTTATATTTTGAGTTTATTGTTATAAACAGTATGCCATAAACAGTATGACAGTTAAATCAAATTCGAAGTCTGTTGGTGAAAGATGCAGGAATGAGATAGCTTGAGTACCCCCCTCCCAGGAATTTCTTATGCCAGAAAGTTTACCGCTTGTTCCTAGCTGTTCCTATTTAATGATTTATAAACAATGTAACCGCCTAGGACTCGCAGAACAACTACTTAAAACACCAGATTCATCTGCGACAGGGTATCAGTTTTATTCATCTTAGGATCTTATAATAGGCAATTGAAGGACTTTTTAACAACAAATTTCACTTTATTTAAAGAAAACGCCTCTACCCCCGCAGAACTACAAGAAGTTATAATCCGTAAACAAGTTGTCTGTTAGCTTTAGCAATTCTAAACATAACTAAAAAACCGCAGCTTATGACAAAATTTCTTTGACACTAATCAAAATATACCTAGAAGCAATTTTAAGTGAGCCATTTTTTGTTACAATTTGTTCCAAACAAAAGTTGTTACATACAAATAACATATTTAAATAATGTGATATATCAGGGGCTTGGAAGGGTATTATGAAAAACTGTCCATAAGCTTGTGAAAAATTCTTATCGTTTTATAAACATGTAATTGCCTACAGTGTATGTGATACATATAAAAAGAGAGCTATTGGTGAGGTATGAATTTTTTTATAATAGTAAAGGTGATTAAATTAGTTGGTATGCAACATATGGAAAACTAGTAGTTAACTTGCCACGAAAGATTGAACCAAAGTAGGGAGGTTGCTACATCTATTAAAAGTTTTCTCTTACTTGTCTTCCCAACAATAAAACTAAGAAAAACTTTTTAAGAAATCGTGCATCATCCTGTGTTTCCTTGCAATATTTAATTGTAATTAGATTTTGTTTTGATACATTGTTTTCTGCAAGGCAAGTGACATGTTAGGTGCAAAAAAATAAACTTTGACAATTAAACATAAACAATTCTCTTAGGAAGTGAAATGTCGTATGACATTGTCTATCTTTGCTCTACATATAGGACATTTTTCACCCTTAGTCTTTAAAATCCAAGCACATCGCATGCAACAGCAAATATGTCCGGTATTTCCATGTACAATTGTTGCATTTTTGCGGCGAACCAAACATATATCACATCTTTGTGATTCATCAGGTTCTTCCTGGTCATCTTCTGGCCTGAATTCTACAAATAAAACAGTTTCTCTGGAAACTGTGTCACAGATAAATGGCTCCTAGACAATTTCTAAAGATATGTATTAATGCACTGATATAAATAACAATAATTTCTGTGACAATAGAATCTTTCACTTTATTTTAACGTTGATACATAAAACATGCAAAGAAATTTTTCATCATAAAAATGATGGTGGTGCACACACAATTTTTTTGCTGTAGTAGTATTGTTAGATACTTTGATTATAGAATGAATATAAAATTCAAAGTTCTGACTAGGTACTTGATAATATGAGGAAAGATGATTAAAACCGAATTGCACAAGGAAAATTCAAAGAACATTTTTTTATAATTTGGGGAAAAAGATTACATAGGTCTGAAAATAATCTAGAAAAATAACTCAAGATCATCATACAATGATTCAATCCGGGTGATCTTTAAAGATAGCCATACCATAATTAATCTTGAAAAGTAACCAGTAAAAGTTAATCTCAAAAAAATGATTGTAAGAATCAATAAACATACCTGGTAGTGGAATCTGCTGTTGGGTTATTGGTGGATTTGGACAAGGAACATCTGTTCCAAAATCTGATAAAAAATAGCATAAAACCTTCATAATCAGCACATTAAAAACAAAATATATATAAATACAACCTTATGTAATATACATACAGCCTTTTCTGCAAAATTAAGCAAAGGAGGGGAAAAAAATTCAGATATCACAAGCAAAACATAGGTTTGGTTTTAAGATGTCTCAGCAATTGATGTCAATAAATGATGATTTTGCACCAAGTTAAGACAATCTAAAATAAAGTAAGATAAAGAAGATGAAAAACGTCTTTAGTTTTCCTAGCAACAAAGGTTTTTAAGAATAAGTCAGATGACTAATGACTGATGACTTATTAAATAAATTACAAGCATTCTGAAAAAAACTGATGCCAGATTACAAAACTTAGACACCTTTCACATGGTATTTCTATTTGAAATTCCTATTTCTATTTCTATTTCTAAATTTCTATTTGAATATTTTAAATAAAAAAACATTCTACCATTTGATCAAGCAAAAAAACGTTAAATATATTTACTTCCTCTAGGCCAGTTAGTAAGATTTTTCACACAATACAGACAGACATCGTATCTGCATGTTGAACAGTGAAAAGATTTGTCTCTTCCATTTATTCCCTGTCCTCCAGAAGAATGACACACATCACAGGTCCATCTACCATTAAAGTCATTGTATGAAAGTCTTGAGTCTGTTATAGTCAAGGGATGATGATGGAAAGGAAAGTCATATTCTTTCATACAGTAGTCACAAGCATCAAAATCACATTCTGCGCAGTGCCAAGGAAAACGACTAAAAGGAAAGAAACCCACAACTAACATGTGCTGCATGTTTACAAGCATCTTAAAAATTAAAAACAATGAAGCGACTAAGTTTCACCTTTGGGAAGGTTGTTTGCACAAAGGAACATCATCATCACCACATTCTGTTTGCTATCTGTTTTACAAGCTAGGGGACCCTGGACAGGATTTAGTAAGTAACTTCTGAGCTGACCTTTCTTCAGCTGGGCCTATCTTTTTCTCAAATCCCGTATTATCATTTCAGCCCATTTTGTCTTTAGGCTACCTCTTCCAAATGGACCTGCTACCTCAACTGTTCTGCATACATGCACCAAAGTACTGTCATCTATTCCCTCAATGTGACCAAACCAGTGAAGAGTTTTATTCTACACACATGTACTAATACTCTCCACATTGAATCCAACTCTAAACTCACTGGGTCTAAGTCTGTCTTTTAGGCTTACATTACAAATCCAATGTATCATTTTCATATCATTTCTTTCCAGGCAACACATATCCTCTCCGTCATCACTTTAATAGATTGAGATTTTGGAAAACACAGCTTAATAATGAAATTAATAACCAGTACAACGACAAAGAAAGAAGACATCATGTATTTGTCAACTTCTTGCTACATCACAGACAATTCAAATTAAGACATTGATATAAAACATCCATTAAGAACATTCCATTAAAGACAGTTCCAATTTAGGCAGTTCTATTACGACAAGCCCATTAAATTAAATTAAATTACGTTTCGACTCTGGCTAGAGTCATCTTCAATATAATTCCAGGTGAGAAAAAATCAACCTAAATAAGAAAGAGCTAAACAAAGAGGATCCTAAACCATGTGATAAAGAAGTATGCTGGAGAAGCAATCAGGATGCGAGAGAAGACATAAGGAATAAACAACCTAGAGAAATAAACAAGGAATAAAGGCCAAACAAAGAAAACAAGGCGGAAGTCAAAACAAAATCATAGGAACAGAGGATTGTTGGGAATTAAGCGAAGGTCTGTCCTGGTAAATGAGGAGGCTTTCATAAATAAGTAGACCAAAGAAGTTGTTTGTTTTGGAGAGAATAGAAAAATCCTCAACAGAAACTATGCCTCAAGTTTTGGAAATATGATCATGAATGTAGGAATGGAGGTTTTAACACCCTGGCCATGTTTGTTGATTCCCAAGTGTTCTTGATTTGATGTAGAGAGCACTTGCCGTCTTTTTTCTTTGTCGTCGCACTGGTTATTAATACAACATCACACTGTGCACGCCTGCCTGATAGGCTCTGCCCTTGGCCAGCAATGGTAACAACCTTCTGGTTAGAAATGGTAGAGGAACAAACTTGAAATTTCTAATTATTCTATAAAAGGTAAAACATTATTGGTCTTTGAGGACTGCAACTATAAGAAGGGATTTTTAAATCTCTTCATCTGCCTCTGCCATGTGTTGAACAAAGGATTTACAGTTGAACACACCAGTAAAGATATTCTTTAGCCTTCTTGGTTGTTTCTTTCTTTGCATAAATGGATGAAATGTGGATTAAAACAACAAAAAACCAGAATGAATCTTTTACCTTCCAATTTCACTGCCACTTAGACAACATGAGTCGCAAAGCCACAAACCAGTTGATTCCCCATACATAATGATTGAATCAGCAGGTTTCAGAGTATGGACATGAATTTGGTGTCGCTTTCCATGAAAACACTCATGACAAAGATCAAACTGGTCTAAAGGGCAGTGGTACCCATGGGTTTGTTGCAGCTGCTGCTTGTTTCTTCCACAGTGATCACATTTCCAACCACCTTGGAACTCTGGATAAACTCGTGCCATGTCCATACGGTATAGTGGATGTTGGTGCCTTAAATGTCTATGTCCCTGAAAACATTCATCACAGACATCATAATTGCAAGTAGCACAATGGTATGGCATTCGAGTATTGCCTTGTGAATTCTGGCATCCATCACATGTCCACCTTCCATGATATTGCTGATAAACAACATTGGGGTCAACTTTAACAAGAGGATGTTCATGAATTGCCCTTTGCATTTTGAACTGCCTACAAATTCAAAAGACCTCAATAGCAAGTTCTACAATCAACTTTTAACAAAAAATGATTGTTAGGGTATAGACAGCAGTTAGGATTGGTATGTAGGATGTACTAGTCAATGATTAGTCAGGCCTGGCTGTTTGTATTGTTGCAGGTGAGATGTGAATTGCTTGCCCTGTTGTTCAGGCAATCTCAATCAAAAACACATCTAATGTACTTGTAATGTGCTAGAGGCAAAGGAAAATGCTAAAAATAAATGCAGCATCATTATGAGTAACAATTTATATGTAAGTCTGATAGGGAATAAACAGAGCTATGATATAAACCACTATTTAGAATCATAGAAAGAGTATCAAAAGAATTTTGCAATATTTCGAGTTCCAATTAATAGAATCACATGTCATTAAATGGTTGTTTCAGATTGATCTGAATCTTCAAAGTTAATAGCTTCTCTTTCAATCTCTACTTTTGAGCAATCATAATGATGATGTGATAATGATTCCCAAATCAAACTCAACTATTTACAATTCAAACAAATCTAACAATATACAAAATTACATTACTGAGGTCACATTTATAATTTAGCTTTAACCAACAGATGTAAATTTTGAGATATGTTAACAAGTATAATCCTTGTGGAGGTCTAGTAAAAGACAACAGCATGTCCTTAAATAGAGACAAAGCCCAAGCCATGATTGCTGGATCCTCAAAAGATCTGCACCTGTCTAGCCAAGTTTCACAGATCATGTGTGAATCTCATGCATTCCACAAGGAAGAAACAATAGAAAGTTCAATAAAAACAAAAGAATTAATGAGGCAGAACAAAAGTTTTCATGCATTCAGGAACCCTGAACTTGACAAGCATGCTGCATATGTTAAAAACATTTAAGGTGATTCCTAGTTTCCTCTTGTTCATGAAATTGATTGTCTTGGTCTGATGATTGATGATCATCTAAACAAGTCTAGTGAGACTTGGATCTTTTGTATATCAGAAAAAACTACAAGATAGAGATACTTTTACCTGGTAAGTTGGTATTACAGGGTATAGAGAATTGTAATGGGTAGCTCTTATAGTAAAAAAACTTTCAAACAACATTAATATACTACTATGCAATCTTCAACTTGTCATCTTTGCAATGCCAAAACAAAATACCATCAACATGTTTGATGAAGCCTGATATATTTCAATAGCTGCAAAAGATCTACACAATTTTAGGCATCTTGTATACACGGTTAAGTACTAAAGATGCTATTAGGTAGGACTGGTGCATCGGTTAAAAGTGAAGAAAGAGGTTTTATTGTTCATTCCCTCCAAATTATCAATCAGATTTAGGGGGTAATTGTGTAACTTCCCTTAGTGACCCCTTCCTGTTAGAGGTTTATGTTAAGTTGAGCAATCTGCGTTGATGCACCAACAGTCCATCTCGCTCTCAAGACGTGGGAATGTAGCCTCAGGAGAGGTTTTATGGGGCAGCTTTTAACCCTTCATTGGGCTATTCCATTTGATATCTGTACATGGGTATGGAAGTAAAATTCCAGGGGGGTCTGGCACGAAGGATATTCCAGGGGGTATCAGACAAATGTATGCTTTTTCCAGGGGGTTGAAAGAAAAAAATATATGAAGTTTTCCAAGGAGTATTAAAAAATGTACAATTTTTTCTCAAATGGGTCAAGAAAATTCATTAAAAAGAATGACATTAATTTTCCGGGGGGTTGAAAGAATCAAAATCAGAGTGGTCATGATCTTCAAATTCACTTTCCGGGGGATATATGATTAACAGAAATCTTACTTCCATCCCCCTGTATGGAGAAAAAATGGAATAGCCCATTATGCATTTGTATTTTATTCCTGAGTAAGAAAACTTATTAGTGAATATTTGCATATTTTCTTATGAAAACTGAGGTGAGGTTTTCTTATGAAAACTGAGGTGTTATGAAAACTTATGAAAACTGAGGGATTAATGTCTTCTAATAAATTTCCTTGCATCTAATCGCCTTGCATCTAATTTGTGAAACACAACGTATTTACTACTACTAGGTCGGCCAACTACGAACGATGGCCTAAAAATATAACACCCTTTCAAAATTGGAGCTATGTTTATATATTAGGAATTGAAAAATTCAATATTACAATAATTCCGATGAAAATATGAAAAGGATGTGGATATATCACCTTAACTGCATTTGTAGGAATAATCCCAAGTTGATAAGAACGATCCTATCTTGCGATTTCAATGATCATCGTTATAGATTTCTAGGGCAAATTTGCCGCTGCACAGGAGAACAGCCTCGCCTGGCGGTCTAGCATGCAGATGGCAAATTTGTTCAAAAAATTTGTTTTTAGAATCTTTAACAAATAACTTGAAGATTGTGGAATAAGTTGAACTAGCCTCGACTGGTTTCATTGAACATGGTGTGCCCCAAGGAAGTGAATTAGGACCTCTCATATTCTTACTTTACATAAACATCATCTTGCCAAATGCTTCTAGAATACTAAATTTCCATTGCTTTTGTTGATGACACAAGTCTTATCTATTCTGACACAACTACCGGCCAAAATCCATACTCTCGGCATTCTCCAAGCTAATCGAGAAAATCGCAAAAGATCAAGTCTCCACCTTTCTGAAGGAAAAAAGCATGCTCTCAAAATGTCAGCATACATTTTGAAAGCTGCACAACACGTTGACCTCATTACTCAATGTTACTGACTCATGGTTCTCAAATGCCGATAAAAATAAATATTAGCATCTTCCTTGATCTAAAGAAAGCATTTGACACTGTGGATCACAAAATTCCGCTCTCTAAGTTTTCAAAGCATGGGATAGGAGGAACCCCTCATCAGTGGTTTACATCATACCTAACTGATAGGATACAATACTGCCAAATCAATGGTTCCAGCTCACAACAAAAGAAGGCTCAGTGAGGTATTCCCCAGGGTTCGTACCTTGGGCCCCTATTTTTCATCCTATACGTAAACGATTTTGAGCGATGCTTAGAAAAAAGCTCAACAAATATGTATGCAGACGACACTAGCATAACATGCTCTGCAAAAAACATTGAGGAACTGTGCAATGACTTTAAAACTGAGGGTAAGAACATTGCAGAGTGGATGCGGCAAAATAAGCTTAGTCAAAACACCTGTAAAACTGAATATATGGTCATTGATAATAAAAGACGAATTAACCATATCCAGGGGGAGATAAACGTGGAAATAAAAGGAGAAAAAAATCAAACGAGCCCATGAAGTAAAATATCTCGGAGTCACTATCGATGAAAACCTATCTTGGAACAAGCAGTACAAGAGGCTTAAGTGTAAACTTAAAAGTGGTCTTTCTTCGTTGAGGAAACTTAAAAAACATACTCCCACAGTCGAAATTGTACCAGGTTTACAGGGCACTTTTCGAGAGCCATGAAGTCTGTCCGCTACAAAGCTTGAACATCTTCAGCGTCTTCAAGACAGGGCTGAAAGTGCTAAATTTAAGGACGGGTGGATTTGTAAATGGCTTTCAGTTTCGAATCTAATTAAATATGACAGGGCCATAATGACGTACAAAATGATGAATGGTCTTTGCCCAGACAGCCTTAAAGGTAAATTTATCGCTAGATCAGAGATATCCAGGTATTCGACAAGGACATCCCAAGGCAAAACGTGGTATTCTCAAAGGGGAGTTTCTTTCACTCTGGTTTCAAAACATGGAATGAGATTCCAAGAAACATCAGAATGAGCCCCACAATTTCCATGTTTGAAAGAAACTTGAAGGGATTCCTACAAAGTTAATAAATTCCCAAAACAAAACACGATCCCTAGGTAGAACAACAACATCTTTATTTTATATATACTAAAGTATTAATTTGTAGTAGGAGTAGTTTATTTATATTATAGCTGATAGGGAATTCGTGTATAAAGATTTTTAAAATGAAAAAAAACTGTCCAGACAAAACATGAGATAGTGACTCCGTTTACAAGAGATAAATGACTATGTTTCTATTCAGGTTTTGTAGCTACTGTTTGTTTTGCTGCTGTTTTGACATGTTTTGAAATGTTCAAAATTGGGGCCATTTCCTCGCTACGCTTGCATGGCTAAGACACCTGGGGTTTGCAGGGGTTTGCCCTGATTGCAACAAAAAAATTTCCTATAAAAAAATATGATTATAAATGTGCAGTATTGAAAATTTTTATAAAAATGTGCAGTATTGAAAATTTCTTAAAATAGGCCCTGGATCTTTCCTTGGACCATCAAATATCCCTTAATAGTTAAGTCTGCTCTAGGAATGATAAAGGATAACATTTTTTAAACGTTCTGTGACAGGCTATTTAATTTGCATTTCAACTAAGAACTCAAAGGCATCTTGATTTTGTATTTGAGGCGCTAAAACTCCTGCGTTTTGTACTAAAAAGAAATTTTGTCCAACTTTATTCAAAAGTCGTGTCTAGTGACAAACGGGGCTTTTTATCCCCTGACTAATGACCAGCTGTACCCCCCCCCCCCTTCTCCTTGTTTGGAACTTGGCAGAAACACCTCAAACCTGGAATTCTACAGAAAGAGCCTGGAAAATATGAAACTCCTACAAGTATTAATGGAAGATTATGCCGTATGTTTTGAAAATAACTTATCAAAGTATTCCAATCTTTCCTCAAACCTAAATAATGTTCGTTACTGAATAATCTCTGTGTTTTTTCTTAAGAGATTCTTTGTCCTTTTTACCATGTCTTTCTCATACAGAAGGAGCCCATCAATCTGCAAAATTATCAATTTGCACAAACGGGAGGCAGGAGGATCCTTCAGAACCCATTTTTCCAAATGATGATGTCAGATATCTTTCTGAAAAGTCAATAGTTTTATAAGCACATGTTCAATGCCTGACCATAATTACGCATAATTGTACGGGCATTAGACTAGGCTAGTAGGAGCTAAAGCCCCTCTTTATTTTTCAAAGAAACGCTTTAAAACTTTCCAAAATTCATAAATTACCGTTTGATGAGAATGAAGTCATTATTTTGCTAAATTTCAGAAGATTGCGTGTTTAATCGAAAAAAATCTCGTCTCCTACGCTAGAAAGAGAAGTAGCTTTCTCTGTAAAATCTTAGAAGATAGTGTTGCGCTAACTGAAAAATGGCTTTAGGCTTTGGGCTTTAGTCTAACTTTCAAAATCTACAAACCACTTTACATCATTTGACACCTAAATATTTTGCCACCCTTTCAGAGTTTCAAATACAGTCAATTTGACTGAAAATCTTCTTCCCAAAGCAAATTGTGAAAAGAAAATACATTAAATTTCGGCATTTTCTGAATTTCCAAAAAGCGTGATTTAAAATATTTTTCCGGGGACAAGCCCCCGTTTTGCTTGCAGTCTAATTCCCCATTCCGTCATGCATTGAATGGGGTTTGAAGAATAAGTTATGACATAAATATACTAATTTGATAACGGGCTATGCTCGAAACGTCGTTTATTAATTCGTTGATTTTCCCAAGTATAATTCCTAGTTTAATTGAATAATGATATGGTTTGCAATAGACTGATTCTCTGCTACACAAAATTGAGACACACTATTGTAAATGATATTGTAAATGAGACATGCGACCACAACCGCAAAGCAACGATAATCGGCTTAACAGGTCAAGAGATTTTCAGACCTCAACTAGTAGTTTTGATAAAGAAAATATGGAAACTTCGTTTACATGGAATTTTTTGCTGTTTCAAAACTTCTGCTGGTTTCAAAAATGTGTGCCTTAAAAGCTCGGCTCTAGAATGTGGAGAAATAGAAAAATGGTTCCGTTCAAAAACGTTTACCGTAACTTAAAGTCTAATAGAAAGCACAAGCTGTGCGAAAAGATGCAGAAAAAATTGGCGCCTTTTTCAATTCGCAACATTATTTCGCATGCGCAGAAGAAAAGTTAGCCGGGTTCAACCCTCTTTCGCATTGACAATACATTATTTCGAACCGCCGAGTCAGCCCGGGCCGAGTCAGCCCCGGCCGAGTCAGCCCCGGCCGAGTCAGCCCGGGCCGAGTCAGCCCGGGCCGAGTCAGCCCGGGCCGAGTCAGCCCGGGCCGAGTCAGCCCCGGCCGAGTCAGCCCCGGCCGAGTCAGCCCGGGCCGAGTCAGCCCGGGCCGAGTCAGCCCGGGCCGAGTCAGCCCGGGCCGAGTCAGCCCGGGCCGAGTCAGCCCGGGCCGAGTCAGCCCGGGCCGAGTCAGCCCGGCCCGAGTCAGCCCGGCCCGAGTCAGCCCGGGCCGAGTCAGCCCGGGCCGAGTCAGCCCGGGCCGAGTCAGCCCGGCCCGAGTCAGCCCGGGCCGAGTCAGCCCGGGCCGAGTCAGCCCGGGCCGAGTCAGCCCGGGCCGAGTCAGCCCGGGCCGAGTCAGCCCGGGCCGAGTCAGCCCGGGCCGAGTCAGCCCGGGCCGAGTCATCCGGGACTGAGTCATCCGGGACTGAGTCATCCGGGACTGAGTCATCCGGGACTGAGTCATCCGGGACTGAGTCATCCGGGACTGAGTCATCCGGGACTGAGTCATCCGGGACTGAGTCATCCGGGACTGAGTCATCCGGGACTGAGTCATCCGGGACTGAGTCACCCGAGATCAACCTTGGCAAGGTAACTTTGTGTTCGCACTACAGAAAATGTTTCTTAGGTTCACTCTACCCCCTACCCAGGCTGAAACAAGGTTTGATAGTATAGTGTAGATAGGACATTTGACATTCATGACAGGTTCATACATATGTAAATCTTTAAGGTTTTACAGATAAACGTAGACGAAAGAAGGACAACAACAAATGTACAAAATTTCTATTCGATATCCAAACGGCGGCAATAAACTTGAACAAAACGAGGATGTATCAAAACCTGACACTACAAATATTCGGCGACTCCACAATAACGAATTCGCGTAACGGCAACTTTTAACACGACTAAAGGTAACGACAACTTAAACTCGACTGAATTTACGAACAAGGGTACAGCAAATATACCACATGACAAACACACCCTAATTATGTTTAAACACGATAATTTTATCAAACAAAGGGACTGATGAAAACAATAGTGGTGATGGGATGATGCAATAACATAGAATGTTGATGGCAAGGCGACAAACAACAGTACTGATGCAAACATTGGAACACAACACAATTAGTTTACTACAAACAAAACATGCAAAACTGGTTGTATAACACATAAATGATATCACCTATAATTTCAAGTTTTTTAGGCCTCATGCCCCCTTATGTCAGCATCTCTCTGAACCCCTCTATTATATTGCCAATTATGTCACTTCTCACACTCCCTACCCCCGCCCTTCGCTATACATTTATTTGAAAAAGA